GAGGGGCAAAGTGCAGCAGTACTCTGTGCACTGCCTCCATCTCCAGCAGGTTGATGTGACGGGCTGAGTCCGACCAGCAGCTTCCTACAGAGCTCTGGCCGAGGACCCCGCCCCATCCTTCGAGCGACGCGTCCGTGAACACCTCGACGTGAGACACAGCGCAGGCCAGAGTCACTCCGTCCCGCAATAGACCCGGAGTGAGCCAGAACCTGATGTCCGATGCTGCCCCTTGGGGAACCCAGATCAGCCTCCCCCCGTCCCGGGAGGGGTGAAGCCTGAGGCGCGAGAACCACCTCTGAAAATTTCTCATGTGGAGCAGGCCTAGCCGCACCACAGCATGAGCCGCTGCCATCATTCCCAGCAGGGACCTGAGGCGCCGAGCGGGGACTCTGGGGCCCGCCAGAACCTCCCGGGCCAGACGGGTAATACTCATCCGTCTGTCCACGGACAATGCAGCACGGAATATCACAGAGTCTAGCTGCAGACCGAGGTAAACCATGCGTTGGGCTGGCTGCAGCTTGCTCTTCTCCCTGTTCACCACAAAGCCCAGACGCTGTATGTGGGACAGGACCCAGTGCGTGTGGCTCACGGCCACTTCCCTGGATGGGGCCAGTATTAACCAATCGTCTATATAGGTTAATATTCTTACCCCCGCACGTCTGATCGGCTCCAGAGCTGCTTCCACACATTTGGAAAAGGTGCGAGGCGCGAGTGCGTACCCGAAGGGGAGACGGCAGTACTCGTAATTCCTCTCTCCCACTGCGAAGCGCAGAAACCTCCTGTGTTCTGGCACTATGGGCACGTGGAAGTATGCGTCTGTCAGGTCTATGGAAGTCATCCAGTCTCCTTCCCTGACACACTCGAGGAGCTGCCTTGTGGACAGCATCCGGAACTGCCGTTTGGAAATGCACTCGTTTAACACGCGCAGATCCAGAATGGGACGCACCCCGCCTGATTTCTTTGGCACTAAGAAGTAAGGGGAGTACAGCCCCCTGGTGGCGTCCTGCGGGTCTACCTCCACCGCTGCGCCTCGACTCAGCAGAGAGGAGACCTCCGCTTGCAGTGCCTCTAATGATCCCCGTACCTGAGAGCGTGCTGCCCGTACGCCTCGGAATGGTGGTGGCTTTCGGAAAAATTGCAGCGCGTAACCTCTGCGCAGAGTTTTCTCCAGCCAAATATCTGTCAGTAGGCCCTGCTCCTTCCAGATGCTGTAGAAATCTGTGAGGGGCGGAACGGGAGTTGGAACACGAGACGTCACGGCCCCGCCCCCTCCTGGTGTTCCTAGCAGGGAGGGGGGGTGGCTGAAAGGGCCGGGGGGGCCCCTGCGTCACACCGTGAGCGCCGAGGGCGGTCACGTGTTCTGCAGGCCCGACGTCATAAGTACGGGACTGCTCACCACACGTGACTCGGCTGCTGTGCCCCCCCCTGGCTCTTGCCTCATGGAGGGGGGGGCGAGCCCCTGGAGTGGGAAACCCCGTGTTAGCCTTGTAGCTCTGCTCACCACACGTGACACGGCTGCTGTGCCCCCCCTCGGCTCTTGCCTCATGGAGGGGGGGACGAGCCCCTGGATTGGGAAACCCCGTGTTAGCCTTGTAGCTCAGAGATGCTAACACGCGTTCGGCTGGAGCACACACATTATCACTTACCAGATCCCTCCGCCTGCCCTCTCTCCGGGAGGGCAAAACATGAACCCGTGAATCGGAGCCCGTGGTCCGCGTAGCGCGCTGCACGCCCTTCTCTGGGGGCTGCAGGCCTAGCGGAGCCACGTTATATGCTCGAGAAGTAACACAATCAGAATTCAAATCATTTGACATGTTACATACCCCCAAATGAGACTCAGACAGCGAGTACTGATGAAATGCCGCACGGCCTTTATTGAAAGCATTTTTCCCACCCCGACCTCCTCTGCCATAGGGAGGCCGTCGGTGGGTGTGTTGGTCCCGCGAACCTCCCGTGTGCCTGTCTGGGCCCGGGGGTCTCGTCGCTGGGGAACGACGGACCACGGAGCGTGGATATGGTCCGGGGCGCCTGCCGGGCGAGCGCTCCCTGCCTCTGTCTCGGCTCCGCGCTGGTGGGCGGGCCTCGCGTCTCGCAGCTAGATGCTTGGCTAGGCTAGCAGAGTCCTTAGCTGCGGTGTCCAGCCTCGTCATCAGCGTCTGCATCTCCGGACCGAAGAGTGACGTTTGGGAGATGGGCAGGTCCAGCAGCTGCCTCTTCTCCGCCTCTCTGAGATTCACCGATCCCAGCCAGAGGTGTCTGGCCCCAACTTGTGCTGCTGCCATCGTGCGGCCGCCATCGACAGCTAGCGCTTGGCACATGCGCAAGATCGCCGCTGAAGTGGTCCTCGCCTGGGATAAGGTGTCTCCACTGAGTGCCTGGTCAGAGGAGAGAGACCTATCCAGGGCCCCGGTGATGAAGGCCATGTTGTTAGCCACCGCGACGACCTGAGCCGCATTGGCGTAACATCTGTCGTGCATTGCCAAAGACATCCTATCCCGCTCGGAGGGAAGGAGAGGTCTGGTGCTGGGCCACACGGATGTGGAGGGGTACAGGGCCGCCCGAACCGAGTCCTCGATGTCCGGGACCCCGCCGGTCCAGGACCAGTCCTGCACGTTACAGTACATGCCATACCCCAGAGCAGGCCTCTTGGCCGCTAGGGGCTTTGGCCACTCACGTGTCGCGTAATGGACGATCGGGTCCATACGCGGGCACAACGTGGGCTGGGCTCTCCTCCTCCCTCGAGGGGTGGCGTAACCAGAGGTGAAGTCCTCCACCCTCTGGTTCGGTTGCGGTGGCAGGGGGGCATCCATGATGGCCGCCGCCGTGGCGTAGAGCCCAGGCATGTGGTCCAGCGGGAAGCGGTCCGGCTCCGGGTTGGACACCACCTCGTCCAGCGTGAGGAGAGAGCCGACCTCCGACACCTCTCCGTCCTCGCAGTCACCCCACTCCGCGGGCACGGGTGGAAGGTCGAGGGGGGCCCAGTCAATCGCAGACTCCTCGTCCTGAGAGGGGTCCGGACGGGGCGCTGTAGCGGCGAAGAACGCGCGCCTGCGTTCACTCTCCTCCCTGGGGAGAGCGAGACACGAGGCGCAGGTGGCGCTCAACGCCGCATGGCCCGAACCCAGGCACAGGAAGCAGCTGGAGTGCTGGTCCTTGCGCTGGAGCTTGACCCGACAAGTCAAGCAACGACGACGTCCGACGCCGGATGGCGAAGGGGAACTCGGACGAGCATCAGAAGACATCTTTCCTCAGGTAATTGAATGTAGATCTCAATCGGCGCCAGAGTGAAAGAGGGGGTGCGGCCTTGTGCAGGGGCATTTATAGAGGAAGGTGGCTGGTGATTGGAGCAAATTATTTTGATCTCTCTGGCGTGTGACCTGGGGGTCACGAGTGATATCCCACTAGCGAAGTCCTAAGGGACGTAGCACCATGACGTAGAAATGTATGTATGTATGTGTGTGTGTGTATGTATATATGTATGTATGCATGTGCGTACTGTCTGTTTAATCGTGCAGAGACCATGTGTGTGTATATGTATATACAGTAATGCATACAGTATGTATGTGTATATAATGCATACAGTATGTATATGTATATAATGCATACAGTATGTATATGTATATAATGCATACAGTATGTATATGTATATAATGCGTCATCCTTATGCTGCTTATTCCATTAAACCTGATGTACATTTGTGGATAATTATAATACTTAACCAAATGCATTATTGACTTTCTAATGAATCCAGAGTAATCATCATTCACTCCATCAGATTATGCACGGCCGCGGGAACACGGCCTCCGAGCGGTCTCTGCATTATTATAATTATGATCTTATGGAAAGTAGCACAAAGCTATGACTCAATATGTGGCTAGTCATTCAAAAATAGCAAGAAGTAAATACAAATGAGTGGTTATTTGAAGATGTGAACGTAAAGGAGAAGGTCAGACGAGAGTTCAGGACTAAACAGAAAATCAATAAGTTTATTGCCTCATATGTATATCTCATTATTCCAATGCACTTTCCACTCAATGATTGGTGCATGAGGCCATTCAAAGAAATCAATACTTTAAACAATATATATACAGTATACAAATTCACTTAAAACATGTTATTTGTTCAGGCAAAATGGTAAATGTGACTTTGCAGAATGCCTCATTAATAATTCAATATTGACAACATTTTATGAATTGTTTAGTGCGTTGCTCTATAATACTATTTTCCTTTCTCCTCCTACAAAGGCTTTCTACTTTGCTAATTCATTTTTATTTCCATAGTCTAGTTTTATCTACCCAAGGATATTGTCACTCTTCAGGGTGTGAGCAAATTGCAAACAATGCTTCTTTCAAAATGATAAGACAAAAACACAAAATCACAGTCGCCGTAAAGCCACTGTCACAGCACAGCATGAAGCATCAGCAGCTTATTTTAGTTATTTTAATGTCAGCCTTTACTCCATACACTTTACTCAATCAAGTTTAGGAAAATCTTTTGATATTTTAATTTGAAAACCTGTAAAAACCTGACTTTAAATCATAGGCCTCTCTGTTGGTGCCTCTCTCATTTTAAAAACCGTCAACATTCAGAAACAGCTTACCACGTAGAACTGTTAATTGCTTTTTGCCAATCTAAAACACATGGATTTGCCCCGTTCGAAATGTGTGGGGGGAAAAGCTACGTTAAAGATCTCTGCTTCGCTCGCTGCTCCCGACAGAGATGTTTTCAGGCTGTGTCCAATTACAAACGCACATTTAATGAAGGAATGCTTAATCTGGATCAGTTTTATTAATAGATTTCCCCTCAGGGCAAAAGGAGGAGAGGGAGGAAGGGGCAAAACACTTTCAAGTGGATTATGGATACTCCTACTTGACTTAATTAAGACGTTGGTTTCACATAGTTAGCGATGTGTAGTTTTGTGGGCGGACTCAGTCTTATGTAATTTATCCTGTACTGTTTATCCTGTATTTTTTCAATAACGGTTCATTTTTGTGTTGTAGTTCCCGAAGACCTGTCCTTAGAGGAGAGGGATGAGCTGTCAAACATCCGCCGGAGAAAAAGAGAACTCCTGGACGACATTGAGGTGACGTTTTCCTCCTATTTGTTTTTTTAGGGCTGTATCGATTTGCATGTGGAAGTTATATTATGCAAAAAGGTTCCCTCGTTCGGCCGCTCGACGCCACAACGTCCCGCCTTTGCATATGCAGCAGTCTGAGCTCATTTCTGGACCTGGCATTAAGTACAAATTGTGTGTGTTTTCGTGGCGTTGCAGAGGCTGAAGTTCGAGATCGCGGAGGTGATGACAGAAATCGAGCAGCTCACATGTGTGGGCGAGAGGTAAGGTCGTGATCCGTTAGAATTTCTTTAAACACAACCTTAAACATGGAGGTTTCTGTGCACTCTTTCACTTTCTCACCAAAAGAACTAAGCCTCAGAAAAGGGCTGATGCATCGTGATGTCTGTTTGTTTTGGGTTGACTGGATTGAAGTATGGGACATGCACTGGATCCATATATTGGACTATTTATGTTCATGTGCAACTGAAAATGCACGGTAGATAAGTCTCCCACGCCCTTTGATGATCCCGATACATATTTAGATAGATACTTGATCCCTGTAGGAGAAATTTAGGTGTTCAGTAGCGGCAGAAACACATGCATTCATACAAACAAAACTAGATCATTCCAAAACAGGTGTCTCCAACCTTTTTCACCCATAGAGCTACTTTCCCGGGACGATAAAGGCAGAGAGCCACTCCTTTTAGCTGCCCTGGGGGAAATTGGGTGATATTTGGTTTGAACGAGCCAGACATTATTTATCATGGCCCTTTTGCTACTAAGTAAGTGCATTTACAATAACAAAAAATGACATCAAATAATACAGTTTGGAATATTAAGTATATTATTTGATTTACTCATTTCTAAATCCTTTGGCGAGCTACCGGGAAGGGGGCAACAAAATGTAGACAAACCGTTATGGATAAAGGAAAACTATGAACACATATTTAAGACACTGATAACGTGTTTTTACAAAGGTCTGGACTCCAAACCTGAACAGTGCAGTTTTTAAAATCCAAGCTCCTGATTTTGAATTTGACCTTTTCAGAGCTGCACAGTTCTGATTGGGGGTTTAAACATACAGCATTCTTTGACTCATAATGATGCAGATTCAGATTCATTTTCCATTTGCAGTAAAACCACATTGGAATATGTTTGCAAGTCCACAGAGTGCACAAGATAAGTACATACAAGTTAAAAGTACAGGACTAAAGCAAACTAAAGAAATAAAGGTGCAGGAAACAATGGACTCTTGGACAATACATGTGCAAGATCATTCAATTGTTCTGTTTAAACTGATGGGAAGAAGCTGGAACATGGCTTTTCCAGGGTTGCCAGAAGAGTCAGATTAAACGATCAAACTAATATATGCACAACATCAATTGACAAAGGACATTATACAATACATGAATGAGTCAATGTTTACATCACATGTTCGAAAACAGTTTTAAAGTCCAAAAAAACTGTTGTGATTTAGCTATAAAAAAACACATTGAAATTGAAACAACACTCACACGTTATGATGAATGAATGACGGATCGATTCACAACTATTTTCTTTGTTTCTGTCTAGCAAAACCTCGCAGAGAAACAAGCAAATCGCTATGGGCCGAAAGAAATTCAATATGGATCCCAAAAAGGTATTTTTTTATAATAATATCAATAATAGTGATAATAATAAAACCCGTTGCTGTGGTTGACGGAGACGGGTGAGTGACTGTCTGCTCCTCTGTCCTCTCCAGGGAATACAGTTCTTATTGGAGAACGACCTACTTCAGCACACTCCAGAAGACATTGCCCAGTTCTTGTACAAGGGAGAGGGCCTGAACAAGACCGTGATAGGAGACTACTTAGGAGAGAGGTGAGCTGAGAGGAGATTTGGTCCGGTCTGTGGTTAGAGGAGGACATTATGGACTGATGTATGTGATAGAGAGGCTGGCCGACCCTCTCTGAGGCTGTAGCACGGAGAAGCTCTGGACTCTGTAAGAAAGCTGTGATGTACGAGTGGGAGGGTCTTTACAAGGTGAACCTGGGAAAGATGCAGGGGGCGGATCAAAAAGAAATAAGTGGGAGCTCAGGGAAAATTGCATGAAAAGGTTAGGTTGGATTAGACAATGGACTGGCATTGTTTTTTCAGATAATATTTACAGATGAACAGATCATGGGCACAATTGGTATCACCATAATATACAATACAATACATTATATACAATTAACTGTTAACCAATAAAATCACACGCATTGAGATCATTTAAAGCTGGAGCCCCTAACTTTTTTGTTTCATTATAATACAGCAAGACATTTTATCCATCCATCCATCTTCTTCCCTTAATCCATTTCTGGGTCGGACAAACCGGACCACTGCAGGCTGTCTCTATTTGATGAGGCAAGCCTTTAGGAAAAGCCCAGCAAGTCACTATTTGACGCTTTGGGTTGAGAGCTGATTGGCTGAGTAAGGGCGGCCTCTATTTTGTCTTAAAAGGCTGATGTAAAGATGTGACAGAAGCCAACAAACTAGTGATCAAAGGTTTTTTTCTGAGAGTTTAGACACAAGTCATTTTTAGTCCTATTTTGTGCTGTTTGAAAGTTAGGTAACCCAGCTTTAATGCTAATGATGGTAAAGCGCAGTTTAAACAGTGGGAAACATGGCGGTGGAATATTAAGGCCTCTAGTCCTGGATGTTCACTCCTTGAAGAAAGCCATGTAACTATTTCTTGTTTTGATTTTTTTAACCCACAATTTAATAGATTAAGATTAAGATTAGGATATCCTTTATTCGTCCCACGGTGGGGAAATTTCAGTGTTGCATTGCAAGTTACAGATCAGTATGAGGAGCACACAGTACAAGACAAGTGAACATTAGCTCTATACTAATTAAAATAAAACAAAATCTATAACTCTAGCATCAAAAAGGAAAGTATAAATAGTATCTTGAACATAATAATAATAATAATAATAATAGGCCTTTACTAAATGGTTGAGGTCGGTTTGATGGTAAAAGTGCCTGAAACCAAGTGATAGAGATGCCCCAATGAGGTAGATTAAGGTTCCAAGCTTCAAGTAGACAGAAACTAGCGTCAGAGGAGAATACAGAGATGGTGTGTGTCCGGCCTGTGTGAGAGTGAAGTCCTCTTGTAGTAAACAGAATACCAGTGCGACAGATGCTGAGAAGAACAAAGTCTGTGAATGGATCTGACAGTGGGGGAACAGCACCCCGGGGACCCGCACTCCGCAGAGGGCTTTATTCACGGAGGATCTTCAAAGGGGCCACCTACCCCGCGAAAATCACACTAAACACAGGCTCAGGCTTCACTCCAAGTAATTACCCCTAATTGAGCTTATGCAAGGGAGACGGAACCCTTCATTACGCGGCCAGCACAGAGCCAGATTAAGCGGGAGGCTGGGGATAGAGGAGTTTGGAGCTCGCATGAGGAAAGATGGAGGAGAGATGGAGGAGATGGAGGAGAAGTGGAAAAATTCAGGTGTCCAGTAGCAGCAAACATAAAAAATGAAATTGATCATTCTAAAAATCTAACAATAGTAATAATCAGCAACAGCCCTTCAGGTCACAGCAGCAGAGGTGGAGTAGCCTCTGGGTGGAGCAGGACAGGTCACAAGGTGGAGTAGCCGCTTGGTTCGGACCATTTTATCTGCTCTAGTCCAAAGTAAAAGGCGAAATGCTTCATTATTATTTTTTTTAAAGTTAGCATTCCTCCAGTGGATTTTCACCTGATCCACTTGGTTCGGACCATGAATCCTCTCTGCTCTGGTCCGGACCAGTGTAAATCCATGAACACTGTACTGCAGCAACATTTTAGGTAGAAAAAAAGAACAGTTTCAGAGCTACTGAGGACTTCCAGCTATTTTCCAGCGCATTCAAAAGCGCTGGAAAGATATGGAGGAGAGATGGAGGAGAGATGGAGGAGAGATGGAGGAGAGATGGAGGAGAGATGGAGGAGAGATGGAGGAGAGATGGAGGAGAGATGGAGGAGAGGTGGAGCAGAGATGGAGGAGAGGTGGAGCAGAGATGGAGGAGAGATGGAGGAGAGGTGGAGCAGAGATGGAGGAGACATGGAGGAGAGATGGATGAGAGATGGAGGAGAGATGGAGGAGAGGTGGAGCAGAGATGGAGGAGAGATAAAGGAGAGATGGAGGAGAGATGGAGGAGAGGTGGAGGAGAGATGGAGGAGAGATGGAGGAGAGGTGGAGCAGAGATGGAGGAGACATGGAGGAGAGATGGATGAGAGATGGAGGAGAGATGGATGAGAGGTGGAGCAGAGATGGAGGAGAGATAAAGGAGAGATGGAGGAGAGATGGAGGAGAGGTGGAGGAGAGATGGAGGAGAGGTGGAGCAGAGATGGAGGAGAGATGGAGGAGAGATGAAGGAGAGATGGAGGAGAGGTGGAGGAGAGATGGAGGAGAGATGGAGGAGAGATGGAGGGGAGGTGGAGCAGAGATGGAGGAGAGATGGAGGAGAGGTGGAGGAGAGATGGAGAAGAGGTGGAGGAGAGATGGAGGAGAGATGGAGGAGAGATAGAGGAGAGGTGGAGCAGAGATGGAGGAGACATGGAGGAGAGATGGATGAGAGATGGAGGAGAGATGGAGGAGAGGTGGAGCAGAGATGGAGGAGAGATCAAGGAGAGATGGAGGAGAGATGGAGGAGAGGTGGAGGAGAGGTGGAGGAGAGGTGGAGCAGAGATGGAGGAGAGATGGAGGAGAGATGAAGGAGAGATGGAGGAGAGGTGGAGGAGAGATGGAGGAGAGATGGAGGAGAGATGGAGGAGAGGTGGAGCAGAGATGGAGGAGAGATGGAGGAGAGGTGGAGGAGAGATGGAGGAGAGATGGAGGTGAGGTGGAGCAGAGATGGAGGAGAGATGGAGGAGAGGTGGAGGAGAGATGGAGGAGAGATGGAGGAGAGGTGGAGCAGAGATGAAGGAGAGATGGAGGAGAGGTGGAGGAGAGATGGAGGAGAGATGGAGGAGAGGTGGAGCAGAGATGGAGGAGAGATGGAGGAGAGGTGGAGGAGAGATGGAGGAGAGATGGAGGTGAGGTGGAGCAGAGATGGAGGAGAGATGGAGGAGAGGTGGAGGAGAGATGGAGGAGAGATGGAGGAGAGGTGGAGCAGAGATGGAGGAGAGATGGAGGAGAGGTGGAGGAGAGATGGAGGAGAGATGGAGGAGAGGTGGAGCAGAGATGGAGGAGAGATGGAGGAGAGGTGGAGGAGAGATGGAGGAGAGATGGAGGAGAGGTGGAGGAGAGATGGAGGAGAGATGGAGGAGAGGTGGAGCAGAGATGAAGGAGAGGTGGAGGAGAGATGGAGGAGAGATGGAGGAGAGGTGGAGGAGAGATGGAGGAGAGATGGAGGAGAGGTGGAGCAGAGATGGAGGAGAGATGGAGGGGAGGTGGAGGAGAGGTGGAGCAGAGATGGAGGAGAGATGGAGGAGAGGTGGAGCAGAGATGGAGGAGAGATGGATGTGGGCTGAGTGGGTGCTTGGCTCGTAAATGACCTCCGCAGACACGGGCCACATGGAGAACATCTGTTTGTCGCTTCCTGTTCTATGCGAGCTGAGGAGCAGGGAGTCACCAAAGCCTGCAGAAGAAAACAGTGTGTTTAAATATATGTTAGACGCTGAATTTGTTCACAAAGGAGCAAAACAAGAGAGACGTTTTTCCAAATAAGCACCAGTTAAACCCACCCCCACAGCTTCCTGATTGAACACAATTAATTAAATCCTTGATAGACAGCTGAGGCCCCCATCACACTAAATGTTCTTATTCCAAGGGGAGAGGCTGTTTATATATGAAGAGTTTATCTGCAAAGTGCCATGGAAACATATCGGAAAAGCTTACAATTTCCTCTTTACCAAGTAGTTTTGTGAAATCTATTTTAGTGCCTTATAAAGTTTCACCTGTTCTTGCGCAAATTCCTTCAAGCGTACTGCCATTTACAGAACATGTGGAAGATTGTAACGGCAGGAAAACAATATTTGGACAACATTTCAAAACGGAGATATCTGTTTTTGCATATAAATATCATAGATGGTACTACAGGGTCGTATGGTCAAAAACATGTTTAGCTCCAAAATGAAATACAATGGGAGTTGCAGACATTACCTTTAAAAGCACAAGAGTATTGAAAGACCAGAATCGACCAGAGAGTGCCCCTTCTGACCTTTAACATGCATGTAATTGAATTGGTCGGACCTAAGTGGCACTAATGAATATTGTGAATGGTTGCCTGTTTGCCTCTAATTCTGCAACAAATGACCATTGTCTGCGAACTATCTGAAGCCTCCGGTCACATTTGAAGCATGGCGAGCTTTCGAATCGTACCACTTCTGAGTCTTCCTATTGACGTCAGGGATATACAGCAGACAGACAGCAACAGGCCCACGTAACGTACACAATCCACAAAGGCTATGTTGAATTAACTTGTGCTGTCGACAAGAAAAGGCAACGAAATAAGAGGAAAATCCCCCGTGTTCGGCCAAATAATCAAAAGAATGTTATTGCAACTTGAGTCTGCATTTTCTTTGTAGTAAAACAGCACACTTTGTACTTTTTCAATAGACTGCTCCAAGTCTTTCCACAGAAAACAAACCTCTATGATAAGTTGTTTGTGACATTTCTGCAAAAGTATTCAGATTCTTGCACAGAACTCGGCAGAAGCATGCGTGGGCCTGGTCAAGCTGGTTCTGATCAGCAAACGCCGTCCAGCTGTTTCAATGTCTTCCAGGCACCTCTCCTCTGTGTCCGGTTTGAAGAAGAGCGCAAACATGGGAGGAATTTCACAAAGAGGAATCCTGTTTGAGAAATAGTTAGGATGAAAGGAAACATGTTCTTTACCCAGAGTTCCTGCTGCGTTTTTTGAGTTATATATCTCTGCATTGTGCCAGTTTAATGTCTTTGCAGTGATGTATTGCTTCCCTTACCTAGAAAAACAACAATTATTTTTTACTGAGAGGACACAAAATGAACGTAAATGCCAGAGGATTGCAAGGAGGAGTCTGTTTGTGAATAGGCCTTATCGTTTCTGAAAAAAAACTTAGATAATCGTGCTGCTAATGTGATTGATTTGGTTTTTGGCTTTGCTCTGATGTGACCTCGCTCTGTATCTTCGCGAGGCTGTACTGAAGGCTGAGGTGTTGTGTTGTGTTGCTTTTAAATGCACACAGCTGCATTGATTTGGTTTGTAAAATGGAGCTGTTTTTTTTTTGCTAAAATGAGAAGATTCTTACACATATTGAATGAATTGGAGTGATATTCAAAAGTAGAACTTATTGGTTATTAATGCTGATGGTGTGGATTTTTTTTTGGTAGATTTCCTGTCCCTTTGCCCTGTTGATGGTCTGCCCCGCCCTAATGTGTTTCACCCATGTCTCTGTGTCTATATGTACCTGTGTCTCTGTGTCTGTATGTACCTGTGTGTCTGTGTCTGTATGTACCTGTGTCTCTGTCTATATGTACCTGTGTCTCTATGTGTTTATATGTACCTGTGTCTCTGTGTCTATATGTACCTGTGTCTCTGTGTCTATATGTACCTGTGTCTCTCTGTGTTTGTATGTACCTGTGTCTCTGTGTCTATATGTACCTGTGTCTCTGTGTCTGTATGTACCTGTGTCTCTGTCTATATGTACCTGTGTCTCTGTGTCTGTATGTACCTGTGTCTCTGTCTATATGTACCTGTGTCTCTGTGTCTGTATGTACCTGTGTCTCTGTGTCTATATGTACCTGTGTCTATGTGTCTATATGTACCTGTGTCTCTCTGTGTTTGTATGTACCTGTGTCTCTGTCTATATGTACCTGTGTCTCTATGTGTTTATATGTACCTGTGTCTCTGTCTATATGTACCTGTGTCTCTGTGTCTGTATGTACCTGTGTCTCTGTGTCTGTATGTACCTGTGTCTCTGTGTCTATATGTACCTGTGTCTCTGTGTCTGTATGTACCTGTGTCTCTGTGTCTATATGTACCTGTGTCTCTGTCTATATGTACCTGTGTCTCTATGTGTTTATATGTACCTGTGTCTCTGTGTCTATATGTACCTGTGTCTCTGTGTCTATATGTACCTGTGTCTCTCTGTGTTTGTATGTACCTGTGTCTCTGTCTATATGTACCTGTGTCTCTCTGTGTTTGTATGTACCTGTGTGTCTGTGTCTGTATGTACCTGTGTCTCTGTGTCTATATGTACCTGTGTCTCTGTGTCTGTATGTACCTGTGTCTCTGTGTCTGTATGTACCTGTGTCTCTGTGTCTATATGTACCTGTGTCTATGTGTCTATATGTACCTGTGTCTCTCTGTGTTTGTATGTACCTGTGTCTCTGTCTATATGTACCTGTGTCTCTATGTGTTTATATGTACCTGTGTCTCTGTGTCTATATGTACCTGTGTCTCTGTGTCTGTATGTACCTGTGTGTCTGTGTCTGTATGTACCTGTGTCTCTGTGTCTATATGTACCTGTGTCTCTGTGTCTGTATGTACCTGTGTCTCTGTGTCTGTATGTACCTGTGTCTCTGTGTCTATATGTACCTGTGTCTCTGTGTCTGTATGTACCTGTGTCTCTCTGTGTTTGTATGTACCTGTGTCTCTGTCTATATGTACCTGTGTCTCTATGTGTTTATATGTACCTGTGTCTCTGTCTATATGTACCTGTGTCTCTGTGTCTGTATGTACCTGTGTCTCTGTGTCTACAGTATATGTACCTGTGTCTCTGTGTCTATATGTACCTGTGTCTCTGTGTCTGTATGTACCTGTGTCTCTGTGTCTATATGTACCTGTGTCTCTGTCTATATGTACCTGTGTCTCTGTGTCTGTATGTACCTGTGTCTCTGTGTCTATATGTACCTGTGTCTCTGTCTATATGTACCTGTGTCTCTGTGTCTGTATGTACCTGTGTCTCTGTGTCTATATGTACCTGTGTCTATGTGTCTATATGTACCTGTGTCTCTCTGTGTTTGTATGTACCTGTGTCTCTGTCTATATGTACCTGTGTCTCTCTGTGTTTGTATGTACCTGTGTCTCTGTGTCTATATGTACCTGTGTCTCTGTGTCTATATGTACCTGTGTCTCTCTGTGTTTGTATGTACAGTACCTGTGTCTCTGTCTATATGTACCTGTGCTCCTCTCCCCTTGTGTGTTTGTCTCTTCACTTCTGTCTGTTCCTGGTTCGGTTTTCCCTCTGGACTTTTTTTTTATCATCCTTAAATAATCATAATTTTTTGCCTTCCTGCATCTTGGCTCCTCCTTCATCTCGCCACATGACAGATGGCTCATTTTTTGGAAAAGTATAAATAAAAATAATATTAAAATAGAATGTGGCTATGAATGACATCATCTCCGAAAAGTCAAATGAAAGGAATCCGGAACGAACATTTGTTGAAGAATCCAAAACTAGATTCTGTTTCTGAACCTCTTCCTCCTCCGTCCACAGAGACGACTTCAACATCAAGGTTCTCCAGGCCTTCGTGGAGCTGCATGAGTTTGCGGACCTCAACCTCGTCCAGGCCTTACGGTAAGACGAAACCAGTTTGTGCAAAGTGTCTGTTCTAAACTAAAACCGAGCTATTCATAAATATGAAACCAGCTGCATCCGCTCTGCATGACGCTTTCACTTCTCTTTCCCGCTCGTAGGCAGTTTCTGTGGAGCTTCCGTCTGCCAGGAGAAGCCCAGAAGATCGACCGAATGATGGAGGCCTTTGCTTCCCGCTACTGCCAGTGTAACCCCGGGGTCTTCCAGTCCACAGGTCCGACACGCTGCCGTTAACACAAATCTTATTCATATGAGCTGGCCCATTGTGTGGATGGTCAATATGTTCACTGACTGGAAAACTGACGGCTTGTTTTAATGCTCCCCGATCATTAAACCATTAGTGTGTGGAGAATAACTAAGGCTCAAGCGGGATTAACCAGATTACAACGAACCACAGTGGCTCATATGAAACTAAGAACTGTCAACAAACAACCCAAATGTATTATTTAGAATCGACTCAACAAGCATCGGGGTGTATGTACGGTCGTGTTGTGCAGCAAGAAAAACAATGACAATATCTCAATTATTTACGTGGGTTGTGTAGGAGTGTGTTATGGGCCAGTGGAGAAATGGGCTTTCAATTTGACACATATAAGCGTATCAATTATGTAGGAAATGTGAGTTTTCTATGATGGAATTTCTCAGCAATAGTCTGCACATCCTTCCAGTACAAATACAACCAAACGACATGGATAACATACATGTGTAGGTTTGAGCCACTGTACCTGTGATCTGAAATACATGGTTTGTAAAGTGGGCTCTGTAAGTGAGATATAAAAACCTGCACACATGGGATTTTGATTTAATTGTGGTGTTGTGTGCCACCATCCAAGCTCCACTCCCTTTATATAAACTTCTCTAGAGGAGCTTAATGCGGTCTCGCTTTATTGTGGTCGTGTTGTACAATCTGCCTTTTTGACGAGTGGGTGGAGGGCTTACATTGTGCAGAAACTGTCACTGTATAAACATGAAGAATGACAAAGGGGCTTTAATTACGGCTGCATCTCTGCGGCGGTTATTTTGCTCATCACTTTTTGACTGCGCTGACGTCCCTCCCACAGCCATAGTGTATATATAGGCTCTTTTTATAGCGTGTGCGTGCTCAGTGGCAGACAATAGACAGCGCAGGACGGCCCGGGCCTAAGTGTGTCAGTGAGACGGGGCAGACGGAGCAGAATGAATGATTCAGTTACAGGCAGCCACTGGGCCTTGTGTGTGTGTGTGTGTGTGTGTGTGTGTGTGTGTGTGTGTGTGTGGGGGTGTGTGTGTGTGTGTGTGTGTGTGTGTGTGTATATGTGTGTGTGTATAAGTGTAGCATGAGCACACAGCGTACAGCCCACTTCACCCGCCCCCTCCCCCCCGCCATCCACTTTTCAATTACCGTAATAGAGAGTAATGTTTCATCCAGACGGCATTACACCGGGATTGACCAAAGTAAACAAAACAATGTGTAGACTGTGCAGAAATATGCAACCGGTGATATGTAGATAAAGTTAAATATTCTAGATTCAAATTAAAATATTTGTAACATAACTTTATTGAGACTTCCTTGTGTGCAGATTTAATCCAACACAGAAATGTACAAAGAATATTATGCTGTACGCACTTTTAACCAGGAGTTATCGCTCGTGTCTGGGTTCCATTCTCGGGCCACAGTTCTCCCGCGTATAGTTTGCATGTTCTCTCTGTGTCTGTGTAGCTTCCCTCTAGGCGCTCCGGTTTAACCTAAACCCTTAAACTATAGGAATGTTTGGAGAGGGTTGGAAGGTCTCGTCAGTGCATCTGCTTCTTGCCCGGGAGTCCTGCGAGAAAGAGGTTCTTAATCTCAATGGGAACTTCCTGGTTTAATAAAGGTTAAATAAGAAAAAAAGAAAAACACAGCAGATTGTGTGACCTTGGTGTGACATGTGGGCAATTCAGTAATGAACCTATATATCATGTATCATTGACAAACTTTAGAATCTGATTAAACTAAATAGTGTTTTTGACCATTTGACCGGAGATGTCCAAATGTCCAATTAGAATGTTTACAATTATATTTAATAATAATTTCTACGATCGTACTCTGAGGTTGAATGAACATAACAATAATATATGGATTGGTTGCTGAGATTACGCATGCCTCCAGGGACGCTATCCACTCATGGTTCGAATCCCGGTCGGAACAAGGCCTTTCTGAGTGGAGTTTAGATATTCTCCCTGTGTCTGCGTAGGTTTCCTCCGGGTGCTCCAGTTTCCCCTACCAAAAAAGGTGCAACAGGTGTGAATGTAACGAGTGAGTGAATGGATGGTGTTGGTTGGGGCTTTGATGCTGCAGTGTGTTCGCCGACTCGCTTCCGTCATCACCGTGAGTGCAGCATAGGAAAAATATCTGAACTCTGAACATTATAAAGCGCTTTGGGGGACCATGGTCTGTAGAAATGCGCTATATAAATAAACATTACTTACTTACTTGATTATAGTAATTTTACCACCACAATTTGAACATAAAATAAATAATAATGCGCTTGTTTTGCAGACACATGCTACGTGCTGTCATTCGCCGTCATCATGTTAAACACCAGTCTGCACAACCCAAACGTCCGGGACAAGCCCCCCGTGGAGCGCTTCATCTCCATGAACCGGGGCATCAACGAGGGGGGCGACCTGCCGGAGGAGCTGCTGAGGGTGCGTGGCCATTGGCTCAGTGTGTTTGTCTGCCCTCTGCCGCACCTCCACATTACCACAGAGCATTTCCTCTGCTGTCTTCCTGTTGAGTAATAGTGTCTCTCCTCACGTGCAGAATCTTTACGACAGCATCAAAAACGAGCCGTTCAAGATCCCCGAAGACGATGGCAACGATCTGACGCACACGTTTTTCAACCCAGACAGAGAGGGCTGGCTGCTGAAACTAGGTATACTCACACACAAAGATTTGTTTTACAGAATTACATCAAAATCATCAAACTCTGCCCCCTCTGTCTAAAATCTCTAGTCTGGTTTTTGTGCAGAATTTCACAGAAACTCAGAGATATCTACGTAATCTTCAGAATCAGAGCGTTTATGAGGAACACACACACACACACACACACACACACGCAGCCACACACACACACACACACACACACACACACACACACACACACACACACACACACACACACACACACACACACACACACACAGCAGCCACAACAACAGAAATGTGCAGAAATGTACCAGGATTGTCATTTGCACGGATGACAGTCTCAGTCAAGTTGAAACGTCTGAGTTTCTGAGATTGCATGAACGCCGCATCAGTCCTGTATTAGTATGATGTCATTGTACGTCACAATAAGCGTTTTCTGCCCATAAACTTGTTTTTTTTCCTTTTTCAGGTGATAATATGTAGTTTAAAATGAAGTCATTTTCAAATTTTCAGACAAACATTAAATCAAATGTAACCCCTCCTTCTGGTGGTAGAAGATAGAGTTATAGGCAGCCAGCTTTTTTTAAATTATAAAGACATTATTTCACATTGTGAAACGTGAAAGGACAAAGTAAATAGGATTTTTGATGGCCAAAAATGTTGTGTAAATAGGATTTTTGATGGCCAAAAATGTTGTGTAAATAGGATTTTTGATGGCCAAAAATGTTGTGTAATAATTCTTTTGAAAGGATGAACAAGGCACATTTGGTTAAAACACTGTAGAAAACCTCTTTGATTCAGTAAAAAGTAGGACAAGACAAGATGATAAAATAATTACCACCAAATCCCCGCTCTCCAGAATCCCTGCTGCACATTCCTGACTCGCCCTGAGACACGCGTGTAATACAGTCATTGATTAAACGAACGTCTAAGTTGTTTTTCCTCTTTCACAACAGTCCCTTGATAGCTAATTATCTCACACCAAATGTTATCGCAGGCATTTTGGATATTTTCTGTCGAGAACCAGATGTTCGCTTGAGCAGACGCAATAATCTGTGTGGCGTAAAATCAAATTATTATTGTGTTGAGTGGTGTCTATTTTTGACCCAGAAAACCGTCAGCGTTCACAAACCCGGTTGCCATAGAGACCTGTGACGCAACAACAACCCCTTTCTTTTCCCTGTGCTTCATGTGTGTAACCTGGTTGATTTGTTGTGATGTCGGTGCTTGTTTCTGTGTGTGTTTTATGTTTCCCGCACTGTGTCTAACTTTTCATATTGTCACCTCTGTTTTGTGATGGCTGTTCCTTATATCTCGCTTTATTAGGAGGTAGGTAAAGCTGCTTCCTCCGCATCAGAATTCCTTCATATTTGCACTTGGCTGGCATTTCTGCACAGAGCAAATCATTCTCAGCCCCGGCACACGATTCAAACCCAGAGAATCGTTAGTGCAATGGCCGAGGATTGAACAAAAGCTTGACGTCCGATGCCCGGGTGAAGTGTCTTGCCCATAGACGGCATGTGCTTGTGGATTTTGCCGTGAAAAATATGAGAGTGTCATTCTAAACATGGTCTCCCGGTTGTATTATCTGTACAATCTTTCCCAAACTGGTCTGAAAATGTCGGCTCGCGCTGGTCGGCTCGCCTCACGCTGCGGTTAATCAAAGGCACGCTCCAGCTCCCCTCAATGCCCGGCTTTACGCTGCTTTGTGCGAATGTGAATGGGCTGTACCCACCTTCCTCTCGCCTGCCGCTGGGACCCTCAACTTTCCTTCCTTTGAGCGCCTGCAGATGCTTTTCACTCCCCGCGTCCCTCTTGCCAGATCGACTGAGGCCCTAAAGCAGAATCTTCTATCTCCCTCCAGCTCCAGCACAGGGTCATTGACTTAACAAGGGGAAGATTTTTATATTCATTAGTGAGAGCTGACTGGACATTTCATCGATAAGGGGTGAGAAAGTCATTACGCAGCATTGCTAACCAGAGATTCTGCTTAGACTGCGCTAACAGCAGTGACAAAGCATACGCCTCTCCAAACATTACACATGGTTTCATTTGTTCAATCTCTTAAACTCACATTACACCACTTTAAAGGGGCCGTATGTTAAATGTGTCTTTGAATTATTATATCTCATAGTTTAATTGTGTCCCCAGTTAATAGATCAACGTGTAAGAATCATATTGAGCAAAACATTTACCTGGAGTTATTTATGTTTACTGCGTTTGAGGTGAAATGTAGCCGGTTATAGAATAAGTACACACAGAGTTTGTACTGTTTTTAGCTAAACTCCAGCAGGTGGATTGCATCAGTAATCAGTGCTTAGGAGCTACATGTGTCACCAACAGTAGGTTCAGCCCAGAAGTGACGCCTTCATTAGACCACGAGCAGCGCGTGTCACATGCTTCTGTAAAGCAAACAAATAAAATACTGATTTCTACCATTGGTTCTGACTTGGCCTGGAGCTTCACCTGCTCGTCGTGTCTACTTAGAGAAATGCCATTCTGTGAAACATACCAGGCAGAAACTCCAGCAGAGAAGCCGATGGCAAACTCTTCCCAAAATAACTTGCACCAATCATCTGCAAACACAGGTGTGATTAGATCCTTCTCTGCAGGGCCCTCAGACGGTCTCTGTCTGTAGGAACCTGAAAGAGCTAAATTGTGTCTGGGGTCTGTCTAAATAATGAATATTGGTGCAAATAGCTCAGAAATATGGCTCAAACATTACATATTGCTTACATCAGTAACGGCGTCCTCTCTGTGCTCTGTCAGCAGAAGCTCCTGATGCTCATTTAGGTATTTACAGTTAAATTAACCCCACAATCCCACTAATCCCAATAATCTACTTTTATCAGTTGATGAAGTCAGAGAAGTCTATTGTCTTTCATAAGAAGATAACAACGGCCCATTCTTCATGTGGCCTCAAACAAACGCAGGAGTTTGTTTGTGAAATATGTTTATTTTATCTGGACTAATGGTGTTTGTACTCTGCAAAAACTGATCAAATATAAGGCTGTAAATCCTTGTTTTATGTCTTAAAATAATTTGCCAATGGGACGACTTTAAGGGTGGAGAGAACTTCTCATATAAAACAAGATACTTTTGCGTCTTCCATTGGCAAATACTGTTTTAAGACAGACACAAAACAAGGTTTAATAGAACATCTTATTTGACTTTTCCTGAATAAAAAAGTGAATCTTAATTCAAAGTAAAATGGAATGATAGAGATAATAAAAAGCACCACACATTTGTTTAAAGTAAGACACACAATAATGAGCCATACATAATACACAGATATTGAAGCTAAACTCCAGCAGGTGGATTACATCAGTAACCAGTGCTTAGGAGCTACATGTGTCACAGGAGGAAGATTGTGATTGTAATGTCTTAAATTAACCGCTGAGATTGCATTTGACATACTGTCCCTTTAAACTAATTCAAGAGATTGTCCGACTTGTTGCCCCTGTTCCTTACATTAAGTGTTTTAGCAGAATATCAGACATTAGCAGAATATCAGACATTAGCAGAATATTAGACATTAGCAGAATATTAGACATTAGCAGAATATTAGACATTAGCAGAATATTAGACATTAGCAGAATATCAGACATTAGTGATGCAATATTTTATTCCAATACGTTGATAACACTGGATGACAGATGACCCTCCCCCATCGGACAGCCCAGCGGCGTGTGTCTAGCTTCACTGAACCGTACCGCTACATGTGCTGGAATTATAAAGCCAATTCCTCTGTTTTTACAGAGTGCCCCTCCAGTGCTCCAGTCCCCTCTCCCCAGATGGGGCCAGGCTCCCAGGGGACAGCTGAGCAGGGAGGCTGTGATTGAGGTCTAATAACACACCGCGAGTTGATCAGGACCAGATGTGGCACGTGGGACGGGGGGAGCTGGGGTCTCCTGCAGGTCCAAAGCTCTGGAAATGTGCCGTAGCATTAACGCCTTGAATACTGTGTGTTGTGCAGGCGGCCGCGTCAAGACGTGGAAGAGGAGGTGGTTTATTCTCACAGACAACTGCCTCTACTACTTTGAGTACACCACAGTAAGTATAGAACCCATTCTCACTCACAAACACCATATTTAAAAACAACTCATTGATTAAAGCTGAGGTACCTAACATTCAAACCTCAAAATTGGACCCAATGCAAACAAATTCATGCAACTGGAATGACTCTTTAATCATAATTATCACTAGTTTTTACATTTTTGGAAAACGGAAAAGTGAAAAAGAGAGGAACCCCCTGAAGCCACCGATCCGCTCTTGATAATAATCATTTTAAGGAGGATGATATGTTTATGTGTGTTGCGCATTTTGTACAAATACATGGAACCCATTGCTAAACAACTAAAACATTTCAAATCCATTAAAAATCCAACAGTCCGACAAAGCTTTATTTTATCTTCATCGTTTCTAATTCTGTTGCCCCTGGCCCCTTTGGTCTTAAAAGCAATAAGGGTGATTTTGTTTCACACATTCAGCTCAGATCTGTGAAGAAAATGCATTTGTCTTTGTCCAGACCAACATATTCCGGTAGTTTTTGTGTGGATTAGTGTGGATTAGAGAGTAAATGGGGAGCAGAGACGTTGCCCTGGGGTCCCCTCTGCACCAGACGCAGCCCCTTTGACCCAAACGAACCTCGCTCGGGCAATTAACATGCGGCATCATGGGAAACATCTGTAAAGCCCGCCGCACACATCTGGCTGCGCTAAGCCATAAGCCCAGCGCCTGTTTCAAACCCGCAGCCGCTTCAACGACGCCGCCCTCCCCCACGCGCACAGGCAGGCGGGCAGATATCCCGGGGCACTTCCTTCCCCCGCCGTGGCTCCTCATTAGGGTGAAGATGACGGGCGGGACAGGGCCGCACACCTCTGGACGGAGCACTGCGGGACGGGAAGGGTCGGGTTACGCTTCCCCTGGAGGTGGAGCTCTGATGTGACCGCCGCTGACACACGGGCACAAAGGGCTTTCATCAGGGCAAATCATTCACAGAGGGGAGTTTACAAATGTTTTAGGCTTAGATGGGGGAGGGGGAAATGTATATGTACATAAGTCAGTGGGAAAGCATTTAAGATGGATAGAAATAAACAAATCTCAAACGCTTGTTATTGTTTCTGGATCCCTCAACAGTGTTTGTGTGGGTGAAAAGGATGTAGGGAAGTGTCCATTAAAACTTGACTTTTCTGGTTTCATAAATACATGTTGTTTGTCCCAACAGAGAGAGTCTTAATCAAGCAACATTTTGTGAACATTTTCTCTTTTATCCTATTTGAAAACATGTATTTATTTATTTATTTGATAGGGACAATGCACATCAATGAACATCAGTATAAAACAAATGTAATTATGCAGGATTATAGCGACCAAGCTAGTTTTCATCCGTAGTCCCTATAGGCAGGAAAATACATAAGAAATGACAACATACAATACAATAGAATACAAAATAACACAATACAAGACAGATTTATTGTTTGATTTGGGTTTTAAAGGTGACCAGTGCAGGACTCTCCCGTAAGTGCAGAGGGAGACTGTTCCAGATGTTCATGGCCCTCACAGAGAGAGGGTTCTGTCCAAAGGAAGTTTTTTCTGAAGGGGACCTCACTCTGGAGGAGGCCCTAGTTCTCAGACCACTTGAATCCTAGGTTGGAATAAGGCCGACACAGGAGGTTGGTGCTAGTCCATGAAGGGCTTTGTAAAAGAAGCATACATACTTAGTTGATAAAACGTTCAAAATGTAAAAGATTGTACATATTTTTGACATACTGAGAGCTGAGAACCACACACTGTTATCAGAGGAAAGAACTAGTTATTTCTGTTTTTTTGGTGTATTCCAATGACAATATTAGCATTCTTTTTTCACAATTACTACATGTAGTTTGTCCCAGCAGGAGGTAAAATGTATAAAGGTATAAAGGTAAAATGTTGTGACCCAAAAACACCACAACATGCTACAGTGACTTGCGAAAGTATTCGGCCCCCTTGAACCTTTCAACATTTCGCCACATTTCAGGCTTCGAACATAAAGATATAAAAAACAATTTTTTTGTCATGAATCAACAACAAGTGGGACACAATTGTGAAGTGGAACGAAATTTATTGGATAATTTAAACTTTTTTAACAAATAAAAAACTGAAAAGGGGGGCGTGCAATATTATTCGGCCCCTTTACTTTCAGTGCAGCAAACTCAGTCCAGAAGTTCAGTGAGGATCTTTGAATGATCCAATGTTGTCCTAAATGACTGATGATGATAAATAGAATGCACCTGTGTGTAATCAAGTCTCCGTATAAATGCACCTGCTCTTTGATAGTCTCAGGGTTCTGTTTAAAGCACAGAGAGAACCATGAAGACAAAGGAACACACCAGGCAGGTCCGAGATACTGTTGTGGAGAAGTTTAAAGCCGGATTTGGATACAAAAAGATTTCCCAAGTTTTAAACATCTCAAGGAGCACTGTGCAAGCAATTATATTGAAATGGAAGGAGTATCAGACCACTGCAAATCTACCAAGACCCGGCCGTCCCTCCAAACTTTCATCTCAAACAAGGAGAAGACTGATCAGAGATGCAGCCAAGAGGCCCATGATCACTCTGGATGAACTGCAGATAACTACAGCTGAGGTGGGAGAGTCTGTCCATAGGACAACAATCAGTCGTGCACTGCACACATCTGGCCTTTATGGAAGAGTGGCAAGAAGAAAGCCATTTCTCAAAGATATCCATAAAAAGTCTCGTTTAAAGTTTGCCACAAGCCACCTGGGAGACACACCAAACATGTGGAAGAAGGTGCTCTGGTCAGATGAAACCAAAATCGAACTTTTTGGCCACAATGCAAAACGATATGTTTGGCGTAAAAGCAACACAGCTCATCACCCTGAACACACCATCCCCACTGTCAAACATGGTGGTGGCAGCATCATGCTTTGGGCCTGCTTTTCTTCAGCAGGGACAGGGAAGATGGCTAAAATTGATGGGAAGATGGATGGAGCCAAATACAGGACCATTCTGGAAGAAAACCTGTTGGAGTCTGCAAAAGACCTGAGACTGGGACGGAGATTTATCTTCCAACAGGACAATGATCCAAAACATAAAGCCAAATCTACAATGGAATGGTTCACAAATAGACGTATCCAGGTGTTAGAATGGCCAAGTCAAAGTCCAGACCTGAATCCAATCGAGAATCTGTGGAAAGAGCTGAAGACTGCTGTTCACAAACGCTCTCCATCCAACCTCACTGAGCTCGAGCTGTTTTGCAAGGAAGAATGGGCAAGAATTCCAGTCTCTCGATGTGAAAAACTGATAGAGACATACCCCAAGCGACTTGCAGCTGTAATTGCAGCAAAAGGTGGCGCTGCAAAGTATTAGCGCAAGGGGGCCGAATAATATTGCACGTCCCACTTTTCAGTTTTTTATTTGTTAAAAAAGTTTTAATTATCCAATACATTTTGTTCCACTTCACGATTGTGTCCCACTTGTTGATTCTAGACAAAAAAATTAATTTTTATATCTTTATGTTTGAAGCCTGAAATGTGGCGAAATGAAAGGTTCAAATACTTTCGCAAGGCACTGTATATTCAAACATGGGCTGAGAGCTGATTGGCCAAGTGAGGGTGGTCCTCTCTTTTTCACTTCTGTCTGAAAAGGCTGATCTAAAGATGTGATAGAGGCCAGAACCACATGTGATTGAACCAAACTGTTTAAAGCCAGGAGTTTATTACAGAGTTTACCTTTTTAGTGGTTTGAAAGATCGACAGTGAGAGAGTCCCTCTGTTTATCAGCGCTGCAAACCTCCTCGTGGAGAATCCCTTCTGGATGAATGCTTATTGATGTTTTCTGTCTTTTCAGGACAAAGAGCCTCGGGGAATAATCCCTCTGGAAAATCTCAGCATCAGAGAAGTGGATGAACCCCGGAAACCTGTAAGGGAATCGCGCAATTCAAGCCACTTTTTCCATCGGAACCAACTCATTCTGATCACGGCACTTTGTCTTCCAGAACTGCTTCGAGCTGTACAACCCAAGCCACAAAGGCCAAGTGATCAAGGCGTGCAAAACCGAAGCGGACGGGCGTGTGGTGGAGGGCAACCACGTGGTGTACCGGATATCAGCGCCCACGCCAGAGGAGAAGGAGGAGTGGATCAAATCTATCAAGTGAGTGTCCATTTACACCGAGAGGGCACTTAGGCTAACAGCGCTCTGCTCCTCTGCGCCACTTTCTCATGTCTGACCTTGACTCCCAAAATGTGACACGTACACACACACACCCTGGCTGTTTTCTCACACTCTGCCGCCGATAACACTCGCCGGTGACTTCTGCTTTGCTCGATAATCTCACTTCCCTCTGGTTCGGGCTCTTTGCGATCTGCTTTTTACTGAGTACATTTTACACACTCTCAGTTGTATCCCCCAAGTGCAAACGGAGTGCTCCTGTCAAGTAATAAGATCAATATCTAACACTAAATTACATTATACAATCTGTCTGTGTTCTACAGATGGGTCAAAACCAACTTAGCATTGACGAAGGGAATGCAATTATATCAGTAGCGATTGGAAAGTGTCCAGGTGAAGCGTGTTTGGGAGAGGAGCGGCGATCATTTTGTCATGTAGTTGACAGATGACCTTGACATGACATGTCCTGTTTGAGAGTTGAGAGCTGGACGTGAAGTGGAGCTCAGTGTGATTGTAAGACTGTAAATGGACTGATACAGAGTCAAAGGAAGGCCTTGTATGATTGGTGGTTAATAAACATGCCACATTTAATTCAATTTAAAACGGCTGCTTGTGTGAAAGAGGCATATTCTCAGTTTTACTCAAGCCCCGGTGACCTGTTCAAAGCAATGGCCTGTGCTCTTTGGCGTTTGGTCTCACCATGAAAGCATGAAAAGTGAGACATTTCAGCTGTGGTCCTCTCGGCCCTGCACAGTGCGATGTTGGTGGCTGATGTTTTAGCATTTATCATCATTCTTGTACTACCTTCACAAATGTAACATCTCAAACTAGCCTGGTCGTACCACACCATAGTACAAATTACATTTCAGGGAAATGATAATTGAGCAGAGTGTACGGATGGCTAAGGCCAGGCTTATCTCAAACATGTTATTTTGAAACTTTTGCTAAATTAACAAAATGAAATTGATGGAGAACTATTTAACTGATGTATTTAACTCTTTACTATTACAGTATGTACTGTGTGCAGTTGAATTATTAGAAATAAGATCAAACTTCAGCCACAGCTGCCCTGGGGTAGTCTAACGGTCGGCACTAGATCATATACGGAATCGGGACGAAACCGGAAGTAACACTCGTACTTTCGAATTAGTTTTAGACTAATAAGTCCTTAAGTGATGACTGGTTAAGTTTTAGGCGTCTGAGTAAGATGGTTAAGGTTAGGGTTAAGGCTGGGTTGGGGTTATTTTATGGGAATAGCTGGTTAAATATAGGCATTAATAGGTAATTTGTAATATTTACTTCCGCTTCCGTCCCGATTCCGTATATGATCTAGTGCTGACCCTAGTCTAACAGAAGTGCGGCAGCCAATCTGAGACATTGGCCCCTTTAACTACCAACAATACATTTACACACTCACCAGATTTATATTGGGCACCGTGGATGAAGTGTTTTTAGCACTTTACCATTCTGGCACCTGGTATTCCCCAACTGTCTCCCATCACTTTACTAACCAGGCCCTGCACTGCTTAGCTTCTGAGATCTGATAGGATTTTGACAAGCAATACAATAGCCACACGAAAGCAATGAATAATCATGTTGTAGTTTGATTCTAAATACATATAAAAATATGTCCAACATGTTTTTCTGCCTGACTTCTGCAGAGCCAGCATCAGCAGGGACCCATTCTACGACATGCTCGCCACCAGAAAAAGAAGGATAGCCAATAAAAAATGATGACTCCTGATTGCGTTCTCCACCGAAAATGTCTGCAACCAGCACCGTCCAGGGGGATCTGTGGAGCATGAATCTGTGTGGACCTCAATTCTTGAATGAACTCTAAAGAAAGAATCTGAAATGGAACACAGAACTGTAAAAAGAAAGGTGTCTTTTAAAGCTGTGACCATTCTGCCCCCTGCTGGACACGCAACGGCTTCATTGGAAGAAAGGGAGTTTAAAAGTCCCGATCTAACAGGAATGATGCCAGATGTTCTTTGGAATTGCCCAATGTCATTTTATTAGCACTACAAAAGCCTCAAGTCTGAATCAGCGGGTCTGATTTAACCAACAACACAATTGAATTACCAAGTTTCAAGTTACGTTTTAGCATTTGTCATACAAAATCCAACCCACTTTTGTAATTTATACCGACCATTCTCAGTGTTGTTTTTTGTATTTATTTTTTATACCAATTACAAAAAGGCAAAATTCATGTGTGGAATAATGTACATATATTTCTTTATGTTAGAATGTTGGACATACCCGTGCCCATGTGTGGGTTTCATACAGTTATCAGTCTCTCATTCTACACTCGGGGAGAGGACCACCTCAAACTGAAGCTTCCCAACATGTGAACCTAGAGCAGACACTTGAAATAATCATTCACCACCTGCCGAAAAACCTTTATAGTGTCGGCTTGATCTGGTTCAGAGAAGAATGAATAATGATGTAAGACTTTTAATAAAAATGTACAAATGTAAATTATTTTTTGTCCTCTGTATAAAGCAGTAACCAACCAATCATATCAAGTCTTTGGCTGTAAAAAACCCCAAAACGTTTCAATTGGTATAGGGCCCTGACCTCTAGAGATGTCCATATGGAAATGTACAGTACGCACATTATTCTGTGTTGGTTTCAAAGCCTTCCATATAAAAACAACACAGACCAAAGCCAGGTTTTCATTGACATTATTCAGTCTTTTGAATTCTATGAGGGCAATCTCTCTCTCTCACACACACACAAAATACAATTTCTGGTAATGACAAGTTGTATTTTTTTAAGGCTTAACCTCTCAAACAATATAGAAATCCTGACATGCCAAACGTAATTAAACAGTACTTTTCAACTTTTAAGTTGAATACATCAAAAGAAAACAAGAACATTATCATTCATTTCCATAAGGTATGGTCAGAGTGAAGATCTAAAACAAGCCAAAATGAATCAACTACAAATATTCCTGATACAGGATAGTTACATACAACTGATAGTACAGTTCAAACTCAACTTCACAGTATTCCTTATGACGCTAAAGACACAATCAAACTGTATTGTCATTAAAAATCAAACGTGGTCCAAAGCCATAACAAAATGATGCTTCTCTTTTGAAATGGGGTTGAGTAAAAAATGTAGATTCCAAATGTGGAAACACAAGCGATGTCCTCAAGTCTGTTCAGGGTTATGATCAGGGTGACGGAGGAGGTGACGGAGGTGACGGAGGAGGTGACGGAGGAGGCGGGCCTCAGAGAACAACTCAGAGGTTGGACACAATGATGAATGTTTCAAGTCCTGAGTACCACTGAGCAGCAGTTGTGATGTTCGAGCCCCAAAAGCTTCGGTGTTTACACAAGTATATATTATTCTGTCTTTGATTTGAACAAATTATCACATGGTTGATGATACTTACAAGTAACTCAACACTGTGACATAAAAGACGCAATGTTTAAAATATTTCTGGTTGTGGTACAAATACATTTAAAGCAGCACCACAATCCAAAAATGTTGATGCCACTCTGGGGTTAAAAAAGGTCTGAGTCTGGAATAATAGGTGCGTAGATAATCAGGTTCTTATGGTGGTCAACAGTTGGATAATTTGTGAGAGTCACTGTTTTGGCTGGAGCCATTTCCTGTAAAACAAGAGTTAGGATTAGGACCAAGAGCCCAGTAAAAAGTCGGCGTGGCGCTCAGACAAACCGTTTGAAGTCGAGGTGGTGTCGGTCGGGTGGGGGTATTCAGAGCGGCGGCGCTTTTCTGGCGAGCCACCATCGTGTCTGTCGTCATCAAGACGGCACTTGCGGGACTCTTTTTCCTGACTGTCGTGCCCCCTCTTTTTCTTCTTTTTCCGTTTTGCTTCAGTGTCCCGATCTGAATCAGCATCAGAACTTCTAGAAAATGGCAAGAAATCTTCATAAACAATCAAAAGACTTTTCAGTCAAAGCAGAGTAATAAAAGCACTCTTACCCGCTGTTGCGGTGTCTGTCTTTGGATTTCTTCTTCTTGCTCTTTTTATGTTTTTTACTGTAGCCACCGTCAGAGCTGCTGTCCCTTTCTTTGGTGACCGGGACGTAAACACGTTTGTAATGCTGCTCATCTCGACTGGAGGCCGATGCTGACTTCATGTGAGTAGTGTCTGTCCCATTGGTTGAAAAAGAGGAGACCTCTTTAAAAGAATGGTAATCTCTTTCTCTCCCATTGCTCTTGTCCTTCATGCCCCTATAATCTCGACTTTCATGCCACTTCCAGCGATAGTCGTCTTTGTAAGAATAGCTGTGTCTGCGATCGCGGTCCCAATGGTGGCGGTAGTGAGGGTGGTGGTAATGGTGAGCACATCTGTCTCGATCCCGCTCCCTTGGGTGGTAGGTCCTCTCCCACCGCCGGTCTGAATCTGTTTCTCTGTAGGAGCGATTGTAGACAGGTAAGCGGTCCCTGTAGGAGCGATGATGATCTCTGTAGTCCCGCCTCGACCTGAACCGGTCTCCTTCACTTTCTCGTTCGTTACTCCGGTCTCTGTAGTACCGGTCTCTGCTCCATTCGGAGACATGGCCTCGGTCCCGCTCTCGAGACCCTTGCCTCTCATGGTTGCTCCTGGAGACGGTCTTGTGATGATGTGGCTCCTTAGCTTTTGTGGATTCATCTGACACTAGAGACAGCCCATTGGTTTGTCCTGAATCTCTGCCATCATTCATGCTTTTATGTGAAGTACCCTCAGTGTTCTGAGTATAGTTCAAGTCAGAGGGGTCTTCTAAGGCAGCAGACTTCTCAAGATTTTCTCTTGTTGGGACTGAATCAATATCAGAAGCTTCCGGCACAGAGTTAAAAGCAGAGAGGTCTGTGTGCTGCTGCTGCTGCAGCGGTTCACTCTGAGTGGACATTCTTTCAACCATTGCATCAGAAGTGGAGATGTCATTTTTAATATCTGGATTAATACTTTGAACACGAGCAGCTGGGGCCTGATTGATGACGTCACTGCAGACACACACAATAATTAGTTGTGGCTTTATAGCACTATATTAATGACTCTTTACCTTAAATGACCGTTGTGATTGGGTTCCTCTGCAGAAACTTCAGGGGGTAAACCAGTAAGATTACATTCCAATATCTGAAAATAAATAAACAAACAATTATCAAACTTATTTAATCACAAATCATTAAAAAACACATTGTTGAACAAGTTCTTTAACTATACCTGTTCAGAACTTCCATGTCCATTGAGTTTGTGGTGCCCATTATGATGGCCATTTTGGTTAGATTTGGAGATACAGTGATTGGCTCCATTTAATCGGTTTCCGTTGTGAAGCACTTTGGTTTCTCCGTTGGTATTGTGTGAAGCTGCATTAAGATCTTCAGCAGATCCATTGCTGCTAATGGCACTAGATTTGCCATTATCCAAAGCGCTGTTCTCCTGATCAGACTCCTCAGAGGACTCCTGGCTGTACGGCACCAAGAGCGACGCACCGTTGCCCCCTGGTTGGTGGCTTCCGTTGGCCCGAGAGCCATTCGTGTGGTTGAGTTGACGTGGAATGAAGCGTGCGTCGGACAGGGCGTCTGAGGTAGACTGCGAGGATGAGCTGGCAGAAGAGGACGGCTGACTGTGAGACGCGGACGAGGCTGTACTCCGGATGGGTTTACCTTGGCCAATGAAAAATGAAAGTTTTTGCCGTTTGTCCTGGTCCGGGATTGTCGTGGGTCGGCTAATGGAATGAGAAATGGAGGAAGAAGCAGTTGATCCCAGACCGCTGCTGCAAGGTTTTGAACTGGGGTAGTCCCTCAGAGATCCGTTTCCATTGATGTAAAGTGAACCCTGTAAAACAAGGAAGTAAAACAGACATGTAAAACTGCAATGATTATGGAGGAATATTTTCAACTACCTGGTTGGGTGGCAGCTGTGGTCCTATGAAGCCCACATTGTTGCTGTGGACAGAGGCGTTCATGCGCGGTATTACGACAGGTCGTGGTGAGGACTGACCAGGGATCCCAATATTATGGTTTGTGTGGTCATAGTCAGAGGATTTTTTCGTGTCATTATTCCTGGGGCACAGAAAATCCACACGCAACCATTATTAACATTGTTTTAAAATAATGGACCATATACAAATTGGAAAGTTTTAGAGCAATTCAAATGAGAAGCAACATAATAAGGATAAATCATTTTCATCTTTAAAAATACAACCTGAGAGATAAGGAGAGAGATCCAAAGAAACTCCTCACCTGATGTAGAACAGAACATAAGCTTGTTGGTTTAAAACTGAACGTATATCACTGACAGAAACAGAGGAGTCATTCATTTGAAACCACTGCCCATTGCTTGCCTGTAAAAACAAAGGAAATTATGGATGATTCAAAAATGTTACCGTCATGGACCAATGAAAGTGAACCTTACCTTCACATAACAGAAGTAGTGTCCTGCGTGGCAACTGAACCCTGAATGCACTAGGACAGCGTATAGTCCATAGGTCTGAGCCTCTCCCTGTGACTGAGACATGTATGGTCGCAGGTCCAAATATTCGGAATATTTCACATCCTGTATGATCATAACAAGGTATTTAATTACCCATATTCAACACTTGTCTATTACACAATAAAAGTACCTTTGTAATTTTTCCTCCAGTGAAATTTGCAAAGCGTTTAAGGGACAAGGTTAGGACATTAGGTTTGCGATGGATGGTGAATCTCTTTGAGGCGGTCACCATTTTCTTACACCTGTCAGGATATGCACATTTACTAAAAAGTACTTTTAATTTAACCGTTTTTCCCCCCAGCAGCAATCTTACTTTGTACATTTGTAAGCATTTTCCCCATCCAGTTGCTCTGGCTTAACAAACTGCTCTAATGCCTTTGAAACACTGAGAGCCGTCTGGATGTGAGAAAGACAGAAATAGATTAACAATATGAAGACAATTGCAAAAACATTTATTACTTTACTACCTTAATTTCCAAAGGGATATCCAAAAAAGGGTCAAACGTATCAGAAACTGCTTTGCAGTTTAAACATTTTACTATGAAATAAATTAAAACAATTACATTGAAGAAATGTACAATTATTTTAATGATTAGTAATTTACCTCTGGACCGTAAATACCCGCCAAACACTTGATGGATGAAAGTTGTAGCCTGCGTTTGCCTGTCCAATCTATTCAAGCAAAAACTCATGAGTTTTTTCCCCCCCCACATATAATATGCACAAAACCGAATCCACCTACTTTGCTCCAGGTAAACAGGACTTTTGCATAGCATCCACCGTATAACGCAGAAACTCATGGGCATCCTCCTGGCTTCCATAGCGAAAGTGCTTTGCAATTCCTTTGGAACAGATACCACATAGAAGCCACAGATTAGAATAGTCTAGGCCAATAACTTGTAATGATATAAAAAAGGTACATTTTCCTTGAGTTAACATGTTTTTTGTGGTTCTTTTGAAAGACAAGTTAAATGTATTACCATGTTTCAGAAAAATGTCTTTCAAAAGACCCACAAAAAACATTAACCTAAGTCCTTAACCTATTTTTAAAGTTAATCAATACTTGATACTCCACCAAAACATATCTGAAAATGAAAATGACTTACTTTTAAGCTCATTGAGGACACCAATAGGTTTAATAACATTCCCAGAGTTAGCAAAGACTTGTATGATATGATTTTGCATAGTACACATCATACAAAATCCTGGCTCATGACCTAAAACAAACAAAAGGGATTAGACAGCAACCAAGAGTGGCACTTATATATACTTTTAAAAACATACATATTTTGGAGTGCTCCCGGGTCAGCATGTAGTTGGTAAATGGAGGAGTGTAGGTGAGACACTGTAGAGCGGAGTTCAGAAAGCAGGTGTTCCCCATATTCTGCAGTCCTGCTCCGATCCGATGGCCCTGAGTCCATTTCAGGTCGAGTCGTTCAGGAGGAAATAGAACCTTCTGTGGCAACTCAATGCCATCTCCACTGATCATCACTGACACAAAACATACAACATTTAGTCACATCACATTGAAAAACAACTTCTGTTGTGTTTCACATGGGCAAAGCAAGTTCATTTGAATAGCACAAATTGTTTTTCTGATGTTCAATATAAAACAAGAATTTCCATATTTGTGGATTTTGCAAAGCACAGCGAAGGAAAAGCAGCACAATGGGAAGTTATTTTAAAGGGACATTTTTTTATAAACAGCAGCCATTTCCACAATTGGAGGTCTTATCAATATTCACCCAATAACCAATTAAGTTAGTCCCCAAGCAAGCTGTCAAACATTTTTTTTTTGCACAACTATATGCAGAAAATGTATTGGATGTTTACAGTCAGAGCTTTGTCAGTAGATGTGGTCTGTGCCCTTACCTTGCTCCTTGGGCCGCTCTGCACATGTGCCATTGTAGACTGCAGCTCCAGGCGTGGGGCCCATGCAACTCCCAGGAGCCTTGAGGCGTGAAGACTCACTGGGCACCGAAGGTCCCACTGCCCAGCTGCTGGAGCAGCTGCTGTCCATGCCCACGTCTCCACTGGTGAATGGGGAGCGCTTACACCCAACTGACTCGTAGTCAGACTGTTCTGAGGATCTGTCAACTATGGTCATTGTTCATTGCTGTAGGACATAAGACACAGTCACTGTCACACTGTCTTGACTCCATGGAGGAGATGGTATTTATTCCCTACACTTTAGAATGCGTTAATATTAAACATATATTGTCATAGAGATAAGCGGTTGATGCCACCTGGTGACATTACAAGTAAAATCCCTGTTGAGGCAACACCATTCAGCGAATCTGAGTTCATGCAGACATTCTGGAAAATGTTTGTGGATATTATAAGAGTGGTATTGTAATCCCCCCTGCAAGGGCGCATGGCACACATCTAATACACGGAAATATTATCTTCCAACTATGCTTATATTATTGTATAACAATTGTAAACAGGGTGCAATTCATTCGAGTGAAACATCATTAAATAAAACTTGTTTTGAGATGAGGACTTTTAGTTAAACGTTAAAGATGAGTAATAATGAAACTTTTGAGTTTTCTGTTCATGGGGGAAGTCTTTTTCATTTATGTTATATTTCATTCATGATGATCAGCATTTCTCTCACTCGGGTCTTGTCCTGGTCGGAAGCACGTTTACAGCAGCTGCTCCCTCCCACCTCGGCACACTACAGCTCACATTGGCTCACGACGGTAGTAGGCCTTTAACACGCAGCGTGAAAAACACACACGAGGACGACGACAAAATCTCATTTCCTCGACGGTTGACCCCTATTTGTAGTCATTTCGAGCAAAATATGTGTCAATCTGAGCGCAGACAGAATGTAGAGCGGTAACCCGCTGTGAAGGCTACACGGACCTGTGCTACAGCTCACGCTATGCTAATGCTAGCGGCGCGCGGAGCTAGCATCTTGCCCTAATGCTGCTCAATGACAAAGCACGGAGAGAGGCATATTCGCATCTGGTGCCGACCCGGTTCGTCGGTCCTCTATAACAGATGAGTGAATAGCAGTGGGTCGGGTGCTGAAAGGAGGGGCAGCACACCGGTGGCTATGTTACTGCGCTGGTCTCGCCGACATGACAGTGAGCCGGTGTACGGCTACTACACTTAATACTGGCCTCCCACGACAACCAAAACCTAACCAATGTATAATTAAGTTTTCATTGAATCCATAATATAACAGAACACTCACCTGGTGTTTGTTATAAACGCCATAAAAGCAGTTGTAAATCCATTGCTTATTTTAGCGGGTGTCCGACGGTGAACAATGACGTAGCTAATTGCCCACGGGTACATCCGGGTACCTGCGGTGAAAGCAGCGCTCTCATTGGCTGTTTGTGTAGTTTCCTCGTGTGGAACGTGTTTCGGGAACATCTGTACTGTACCCATGGATCTCATGGATCTATTATAATAACGATGGATCTATGTTCCCATAACACTCGTGGGTCTTTGAACCATGAAGCTGTTCTGCACAGCACTGTATCATGCACAGCAGCCTAAGAACGCTCAATCAGGACTGTAGTCAAAGATCTTACCGCATCACATTTAAATGCATAGGAGATGGCTAATTACCCTTTATTATCGGGTAAGTTAAGCTATAATACAATATAAAATAAATACAATAAATAGGCATGCATCATCTTGAGTGTCACAATCAGACATATACAATCAATTAAATGTACAAATATGCAGGTCTATATTACACGTTGAGAATGTGAAAGCATAAAGTCTTTACGTTTCATGTGATTCAGAAAAAGACACGTTTGAGCTTTCAAGTTCACTGATTCGTCGTCTTAACTGCATAATTTCCTTTTCTTGGTCTTTCAGTTGTTTCTGCAAACCATGAATCATCGTCTGTTGGAAGAGAGGTTGATGCAGGAAGTAATATTAGTTTTCAAAATGTCAAAAGTGGTAACGTCTGTATTTATTTCCATGAGACTGAGATACACTTACCATGTCTGTACTACTAAAGAGTTTACTATTAAGAAGCTCTGTAGAAGTGGGTCGTATACTTGCATCTTTATTGGTCAATTTCATGACATATTCAGCAAGAATTGGCCATCTGTGGTTAAAGGAATCTGGAATTTTTCCATCTCTAAGATCCACAAGACACTGGACTCGTTCCATTTCTGTCCCAAAAGGATGGAACAGTTCATAGGCCAGGATACCTACACTGTACATGTCTGACTGAACAAAAACAAGAGACAACAAATATTGTGGTTTTCTGTTGATGGGAGCAGCATGTTCAATCATTTTTAGTGTTGTACACATTACATAACACAATATTGTGCTACTAATAAACATTACATTCTATAAACGGTGATGTTGTAATTGTTTATAAATGTTTACCTTTGAATCATAATGTGAACCCTTCAACTGCTCTGGTGACGCATACACAAACGTTCCCACAGCGGTGGTATGTGAGGAATCTGTTAAAAAGGCAACAGCACCATCTGTACGTGAGTATGAGACCAAATCTGAGTTGAAATTATTACAAGATAATATAAATATTACCACTGCAGAGAGAACCAGAGGATTCATAACTGTCTGCAATTAGATTTCTACAAGCCAGTCCAAAGTCTCCGATCCTGGGTGACACATGACAGCCTTGGCCAGTGAGGAATATATTCCTAGGCTGAAAGAGAGATTCAAAAATTAACATTTGGGAATTATTGTTACAATGTTTGAAGAACAGGTACATATATTACAAAATATCCTTTAGAACAGTCATGTCCAAACAATATAGTAAGCAATCCAAATGACACAAAGGCTGGATTCCAAAGGTTCTGATATTTACGAGGTATAGCATAACTGCATTGGTGGAGCTGAAGTTGGCTGGATGATGCTGAAAGTAACTCGTGGTTACTTTGTGTTAACGGTAGCGGGCCACATTAAATAACACAGCGGGCCGAATTTGGCGCAGGAGTTTGGACATGCCTGCGTTAGTACTTTAATACTGACAATAGTATTAAACATACTTGGGAAATCAAAAAATACAGTCCATCCATCCATTTTCTTCCCCTTAATCCATTTCTGGGTCGGGGGGGGGGTGGCAGTCAGAGCTGCACCCAGTACACTTAGCACCAGCCCCTCACTGATCCTCCTGCAGGTGGTGAGTCCACAAGAGCTGAGATCTTTCAGTGGGAGTCGTGAAGTAGGTCTTACGGTGGGCTCGAACCCACGACCTTCAGGCTCAAAGGCCAATGCTCTACCAACTGAGCCACTGTCGCCCACCAACAAAAAAAATTGTAGTCAAGTCTGTTAATTAGACTTATCAAATATGTGTTTGAATGGGCGTTTTCATTTCCCAAACCCTCAGAGCAAGTCCAAGCCAGTATTTCCAAAACTTGAATTACAAGTTCTGAGCCATCCTACAGAGCCAATAGAGTAGGCAAAAAAGTCTGTCAGGCGGAGTTTCTTTTTTTGCCGCTATTATGGATGACCCTGATGGTATAGAAGAGCAGTCCTTGCATGTCACACAACGAAACCTTTTTTCAAAAGTAAGTGCAAATGGAGGTATGTTTTTAAAAGCTCAAATTAATATGTGTTCATGTTTGTCTGAACTCGTTTATCCTCAGACCCATTCCACCTACGCTCTTCACCTTGCTGTACGGAACAGAAATCTAGAGAGCATGAAGAATTTGTTGGCAACAGGAGCCAATGCTGAAAAAAGGTTTACTATAGTAGATGCACATACACAACTCAAGCTGAATATTAAAAACGTCTTTCTTTGAAGGGACAAACAAGGAAGGACATCACTGCACCTCATGATTATGAGCTGGCCAAGACTAGCAACAAGAAAAGAATCCTCAAATGTTTCTGCATTTCAAGCTACTTTGATGCAGATTTGTGAAAAGGTAGAGGCCTGTTTACAACTCCTCTGTGAACATGGAGTGGACGTAAATGCACAGGTAATTAGTATTTGAAGTGTTTGAGAATGAAATTCACATGTTTATAACATTAATTGCTATGGCTAAAACGATTAATGGAAAAACCATATTCATTAGGAATTATGTTAATGTCTTAAAAAACAAGACATTCTCTTTCTTAGTGAGAGTGAGTGAAAATGACTGAATTCACTTTTACTGAAACATTTTATATACAACGAAGTGACATTGATTGAATCCAGCTTGTGGTAGTACTGTTTTGTTGCTTTCTAGGTGGATGGGGTTAATAAGGAGACAGCGCTTCACATAGCAGTGTCCTGTTCCGCCCTCTCTGCTGTGCAGCAGCTGGTCAGGTATGGAGCTAACGTGAATGCAGTGGATGGTGTGGGAATGAGCCCCCTGCAGAGAGCTGTAGGGATCCTCAATAAGGACATCATTGTGTACTTGATTGAGCAGGGAGCAGATGTCAACATGGCAAGTATCTATTTTCCCACTGTGATCATAAAATACAATTCTCTATGTGAGCTAAAACATATTGGCGTGATTTAGGGTGTCACTACATCTGGGAACACCCCTCTGCATATTGTTGTAAACGTCTGTGTGACGATGGCCGCAAAACCTCAACAAATCAACCTGGAGTGCATCATAGAACTGCTGAAGCATGGTGCAGACCCAAATAAAAGCAACAACCAAAATAGAACAGCTTTACAAGAGGCCTGCTCCATGGGAAGCACACAGGTGGTGGATCTACTTCTCAGTTATGGAGGAAACATCAACAAGCTGAACAAGAGTGGAGAGAACTGCCTATTCATGTTTCTTAACAGCGGACGGGAGGCAAAGAACAACGTGTTGCTGTCAAAACTACTCGGATTAACCACTCCACTCATCTTTCAAAACAAACATGGACAACTGCCCTCCTTTTTACAGCAAAGTTCTTCAAAATTAAGGGAAAAAATGCTGAGGCTTTCACAGGAGCCAAGGTCACTTAAAGACATGTGCAAAGCTATTATCTACCTTCATCACAATCAAAACAAGACTGTGTGTGAGCAATTACTACCGGCTCGTCTGTATGCATATGTTTTTCATGAGTGGGACGATTTAGACAAACTTTGGCCAAGAGATGCAGAGATGACTGACAATATATATGCATCGAGTTCTCAGACCTGACAAGACAGACCTTTGCTCTAAAAATAAAATAATCATACCTTAAGGTCCCTGTGAATGATTCCTCTTGAGTGGATGTATTGTACCCCATCTAGGATCTGCTTCAGGATACTTAGTGTATGCTCAGTGTCCACACATCCAAATGGACCTTAGAGCACAAAAAGAAGGCAATGAGGCTCAGTCTCCAACACAAAACTAGCATGAACTTACATTGCTGGTGTACAGGTTTAGCATTTCTCTCAGAAATCCAGTCTTTTAATGAACGCTCACACAGCTGCATTTGAATGTAGAGCATTAGGTGGAACTGTACCTGCAGGGGAGGTTGTCCAAAGTAAGTATTAACTTTTCTGCTACCACACATTTTTTTTGTCCAAATCAAAGCGTATCGCACAGTAGCCAAAGCATAAATTCTGTGACCAAGTACATATTTTGTTTTCATGTTTGTTATTGAGATTACATCAGAGACGTTAAGTAAACTGTAAATGTCTGAGATACACTGCAAATAGCTTCTCCTGTTTGATTGCCACTCACCTCTTTAATAGTTATCGGACACTTGTCCACCTTCTGCTGACACTCTTTGCCACTGCAGGAGCCATTGCTTAGTTCAACGTTACTGCTGGATCCCTCTTCAAACATTACAGAGCTGTCCAAACCCATGGCTGGACATTTTGAGTCTGGAATGGGAGACCGATGATCCAGGAAAACACAAGGCACATAGTTTTCTTGGAGTCGGTGCTTGGATTGTGCACACACCACTTTGCTCTTTACTGGGGAGGGAACTAAAGCCTCAACAGCGCCATTTACAGGATAAGCTTTGTCACTTAAAACAACAGACAGTTCTTGAGTAAGGCTTTGAAATACAATTGACGATCCTGTGCCATTGCCGTGACAATTCTCATCAGAACTGAAATACATAGAGAATAACATTTTAATATGTCAGTTTTGGATTATACATGATTCAGACTTTACCTATCATGTTGTTCAGGAGACTCTAAAGCTGGTAGAGACGACCGAGAATCTAATGAAAAGACATTAGATGAGTCAAAAAGTGAATATTCAAACTACATCCACACTTGACCGAGTTGACGCACATGCTGCGGGTTGAACATGCTCCATCCATGCAGTGTGGTAGCCGACAATGTTCACATGTTGCAAGCTTGAGAGAACCTTAACTTCTCGGAGAACCTAAAATTCCATAATAAAATGTTTACAATGTATTTATAATAAACAACTTTTATCCAATATGGAGCCTTACCTTCATACAGTCTTCTTTTGAAACCTTTTTAATTCGAATTTTCTTCACAGCATAATCCTGTCCATCAAGTTTATTCAAAACCTAAAAAGAAAACAAAATATTGATATTGTTAAAATATACTATCAAGAGAAGAGGGAGGGGGAAAGAAAAAAAAAAAAGAAAAAAAAGAGAAAGAGGTTTTGTATACATATATATATATATATATATATATGTATGTATATTTTAATTGTCTTTGTTTTTGTTTTGTTTTTTCTATTATAAAAATATAAAGTAAATAATAAATAACACACAGACACACACACACACACACACACGCACAAACATGGAAGACCCCCCCCCCCCCCCCCCTTCCCCCCCATCTATCTATGTTCATGTTGTTTTGTTTAAATAAAAAAATAAAAAGATAAAAAAATATATACTATCAATACTGGTACCACAAAATACCTTAAAAACATTTCCATAAGATCCTTTGCCAAGTCTGCATTTTTCTTCAAACTCGCTGAGATATCTTGACGTCTGGGCTTGAAAAAGTCCTTCTTTTGGTCTGTGGAACATGATACACAATTACAACAGAACAACACATTATGTAAGAATTGAAAAGAACAAAAGTTAGCTAACCTTACAGTCGTACTTTGAGTAGTAGTGCCAAGAATTTGGCTCTGTTCCAAAATATATATAGACAGAAAACAACTGTTACAATGAAATTATTGAGAAAAAGAGACTGCAAGCAAATCACCTCTTGATAGAGAGAGGAGTTGGCAGCATGAAGCAGCTCAGTAAAGGCTCGGTTGTGCTGCAGTCTGACTGTGCTGAACTCATCACTTATGGCCAAAGGTGAAAGGAGATTCATGGCAGCCAGTCGCTGCCCGATGACTTTCACAAAAGAAATACATGCATTAGTATGCATTTTCTTCACTTTAGTACAACGTCAATAGAGTTAAGTATAGCCAGTACCTTTAAACAGCTTCCGGGAGCGTGCTGGGTTATTCTCATAGACAAAGCACAGATGCTCCAACAGAGAGCCCAGAAGGAGATGGTTGGGAATGGCAGAGGCAAACTCTTGAACAGTTGAATACGATCTTCCAGCCATCAGCACCTCTCGATCACTGTCCATGTCGGAGGCTTAAAGAAATTATTTGAAAGAATCATACACTGTTGTGGCATGCAATACATATACAATACGTGAAAAAACCTGGTTGTTTTTTCCCCATACATATTTAGAAATCTCTAAAACCTTACCTTCCTCAATAACTTTAGCAATCATCTTAGCTATATTTCTTTCCAAATCCATTTGCCAGTCCTTTTTGGTAATTGTAGCTAAGAGTTGTACTTATTGTTGTTGGGTCACCTCATAAAATAAAACTCAACTTGTCAGAACATTTTGGGCGTACACAAAAATAAACCTTATCTGAGAGTTCCAGCATTGAGAGGCCCTCTACTTAAAGTGAAAGATCAAAAAGTAAGAGCAGAGTAAAATATGTATATCTTAATGTAAGACAAAAAGGTTTTGTGTATGATCTAACACACATGCATGCAGATCACTAATAACAATATAGTTAAAAATAGAATGAACCATTTACATTATATAACCTGAAATATGTTTTATTTAGGAGATCCTATGAGCCAGTCAAGCTAAAGACAGGCTCATTGTTATGTTAAAGAAGAGTCTCTCATGTGGGTTTTACTCGTGCCTTTGGTGAAATCTTGCTGGTTTGGTCACGAGTTAAATGATTTCCCAGAGCTGTTGGAGCAGCAACTATAGTGAATGTGTGTGATCTTGATTTAGTTTTAGTAGACGTTTTGAAACACCAGTTACAGCAAATAATTACAATACACCCTTTAAGGCCCCTTTAAGCAAGTTAAGTAGCTATATGCTAAAAGTATCCTACTGTCTAACCCTTCACAGGAAAGGGGGAGGGACATGAGCCAATAATAGACTCGTAAAGAAGCCCCCGGTGCAACATTAACCACCAATGCATTAACACTAAATGATCACCACATATTGATATGCCAGTGTGATAGCATGGGGAGAAATTATTTACTGTCAAACTGGACGTCCTCGTCGTCTTCACTAGATGAACTGAGCAGTCCTAAGGCGCTCTCAAACTCTTCGCCCATGACGGGTCTCATGAGGCCGCTGCCAGAACCTTCCTCCGGCCGCGCTCCGCTGCTGGACCTGGAACACTTCATTTTAGCGACGCTGTGACACGATCAGGCACTGATTTATCATCATTCTAAATTCAACTTTAGCAAAGAATATCTCCCAACACAAGACAAATTTCAGCTCATAACTCTTTTACTGTAAACAATAAGCAGTACAAGCTACATTTACACCTGCTGAACTCATAAGCATCAAAAGTTTAACCACACGCCATCGCCATGACAGACCCGGGAGGAGTGAGGGACCGTGTGGTGTTACAGGGTCACAAAGACCACGCAAACAAATAGGCTGATCCTCGTCCAGAATAAATACACACGATATATAAACCGAAAGAGTTTTATTTTTAATACCACCAAATGCTATGTGGTTTTTGAATACATTTTGTAACCTCTAAACCTTACAAAATATTAACAACTGTAACTTTTTCGTTTCTTACAAGTTCCCGCACTGTCTTACATGCCCTAAATCCAGGTCCAGAACATACAGCAGTCCAACAATGATGAAATTCGACTATAATTGAAGAAATAATTTAGAAAAGTAATTTGAGAAATACAATTATTTTGTATTGTTTAATTTATTTGTGTTCACTTCACCTCGGAGTATAGCTATTCCACCTATAGTGCATATAAGGCCGTTTACATATTGCTTCTTTACTGTGCAACCAGGATTTACCCTTACTACCGTGCGCGTAAACGTCATACGTCATAATTTACTTCGCGGTGTTTACTTGAACTAAAAACCAACACGGCGTGTTTGCTAATATACATCATTTAAGCATGGATGTTGCATATATTATGCCATGATTGTGACATTTCGTTCTTTCCAGAATTATTTAACAGAGCAAATTGGGAGCAATATTTGAGGAAATGTCTGAAGAATGGTAAGTTAGCTAGCTTGGGTATGGCCACAACAATAGAAGTATAATATAGAAGGACCCATTGACAATCATATTATAAAGCTACTTATGAAGAGCCTCATTTGGGTTTTACCTGTGTGAAATCAAATCATTGGTTTGTTCATTAGCTAAAATATTTACCAAAGCTGTAGAAGCATCAACTACAGTAAATGCGTGTGATAGAAATTCATTGCAGTAAAGTATCAGCATAATTCATAATTCTTTCATCATACTTCAAAGTTTTGAGACGTCTGTCATTAGATGTTTTTCTATCTGTCTCTTCAGCACCTCTGAGCCTGCAGGAGCCATCAGGGCCATTGATAAACACTCAGTGCATCAGATATGCTCAGGCCAGGTGGTGCTGAGTCTTTCCACTGCTGTCAAGGAGCTGGTGGAGAATAGTGTGGATGCAGGAGCTACAAATATTGGTAACTTGTAAACACTGTGTAATATTAAAATGAAGAAAACTTGGCTATTTCTGTTATGGCATCTTCTACTGTGTCTTCATGTTATAGAGATCAGGTTGAAGGATTCTGGGTCAGAGCTTGTGGAAGTTTCAGACAATGGGAAAGGAGTAGAAGAAGCAAACTTTGAAGGACTTGGTAAGTAGTGTGGTTATTACTTCCTATTATATTGTATTTACTAGTGACATTTACTGCTTTGTGTTTATGACCGGATTCTGTATCTTTAGCACTGAAACATCATACCTCAAAGATAAGGGACTTTTCAGATCTCATCCATGTGGCTACATTTGGGTTTCGAGGAGAAGCCCTCAGCTCTTTATGTGCACTGAGGTAAAGGGTAGCACAAACAGTCACAGAACTCATGCCCGATATGATTTATGCCATGTATTTTACAGTGACCTTATGGTGGTTACATGTCATGAGTCTACCCAAGTGGGGACTAAGCTGGTGTTTGACCAGAAGGGAAACTTGGTTCAAAAATTGCCTCAACATAGACCCCAAGGTACTACTGTTAGCCTGCAGCAGCTCTTTTATACGCTTCCTGTCAGGCATAAAGAGTTTCAACGTAATATTAAAAAGGTATCGTATCAAATTAATATGAGGAAAATCTACAATTGGGTCAATTTAGTCATTAATCTGAACAGTGAAGTAAGGGTTATGATACTCAAACTGTTTAATGTCCAATCAGATATACCCTGTGTATAATGTTTCATTTAGTTTTATCACAAGTTTTAGACCACAATGAGTCTAAAACTGTTGTAGTGAGACCATAAAAAATATAAACAGACATTGTGGGAATGTCTGAACTGAGTTATTCCCTTTCTTCACTGTTCACAAAAATGGAACATTTGATCCGGAAATCCATACCCACTACAGGTGATGGAACAGGACACTACAGTAATAAGGAATATTAATTTCTTTTAGGAATATGCCAAAATGATCCATGTCCTACAGTCCTATTGTATCATATCTACCGGAGTGCGCATTACTTGCTCCAACCAAGTTGGGCAGGGCAAACGCAGTACAGTCCTCAGCACAAGTGGAAGCCAAAGTATGAGGGATAACATTGGAGCCATATTCGGACCAAAGCAGGTTTGATTTAAAGAATATTGATACATATTATTTTGCTATTGCTCATGCTTCACATGAACTATTACACTACAGCAATGGTTTCTTTTGCAGCTCCAGACACTGTTGCCATTTCAACAAACGCTTCCTACTGAAAATATTTTGGATGAATATGGGCTGAAGGGTTCTGATCTACCCCAGCAGCTGTTTGTGTGAGTTGATAAACAGTCATAGCCTGTGATGATGTAAAACACTGCACTGCCGCGTCCAGGATATATCTTTTAGATTATTTATCAGTTGTTGGCAACATTGCATTAACTTTGCACAGTTAATATTTATGTCAAATTGCTTATATTATAAAAGCTGTTTTCTTTTTCACTGTTCTCAAATGTATATTAGTTTAATCTAAATTTACTGCATAATCTACATGTTTCGAACGTTCAAACAGACCATGCATCATCTTCTCTCATGCAGCATTACAGGATTTGTGTCGCGAGCAGACCATGGAGTTGGAAGAAGCTCCACAGACCGACAATTCTTCTTTATCAACAACCGTCCATGTGACCCAGTGAAGGTAAGAGATTAAGCACTTTCCTATTTTGGGTTGACATTGATTGAATTTGTATTTTTCAGGTAACTAAAATAGTGAATGAGGTTTATCATATGTATAACCGCCATCAGTATCCCTTTGTCACGTTGAACATAACTGTTGCCTCTGGTGAGTAAAAAACATGAATCAATTGATAATCAGAAAGTTTCTTGTATTTAATGTATCTTTGTGTCATGTTCAGATTGTGTGGATGTAAATGTCACTCCAGACAAAAGGCAGATTTTCCTTCAAGAAGAGAAACTCCTGGTGGCAGTTATTAAAACATCTCTTACACATATGTATGAGACTGGAGTCAATAAAATAACCTTGAATTTAACACATAAGCCGACATCAAGTAGGTTTTTCACATTATGAGTAACTTAATAAGAAAATGTATATTCTTTCATATATTTGATTTCATTAGGTTTGTTATCATCACCTGAACTCTGTCAGGTTGTACCTTCAGATGAGCACATGCCAGCATCTGGAAATGACAATGACTTGGTTCAAAGCCCCAAGTCTTCCCTTAATTTAGCCAGTTTACGGGCTGCTTTCTCCAGTCAAGACTCTACTGCTAAAAGTCCTGCTGATTCTAACAACACGTACAGTCGGCCAATTCAGAAAACATTGCAGTCGTTTCTCAAAAGTGGTGTCAGTTCCACTGTATCCAGTACAAGTAAAGCACCAAGTTTAAAAACAAAAAAAGATTACTATAAATGCTCTGCTGTGGGAGGAGGAGTGTTGGACAGTTTCAAGTTTGATAAAAATGTGACCACAGAGGACGATGACACTTGTTCAGAAATGGTGACTGAAATCGAAAGAGACTGTGAACCAGAGAACGAAATCAACACCTTTGCAGAATCTAATCCCTGCACGTCGAAAGAATCCCGTTGGCAAAGATCTGATCCTAAAAGGCCAAGAAGAGAAAAGGCTCTGGTTTGGGCAAAGGCCGATGCTTCCTTCTCACAAGACTCAGCGAGTCCTTCTCCATCTACACTGGATGCCCCGGTCTCTTTACCAAAGAAGACCACTCCTGTACAGTTCTCTTTGCACCAACTCGCACTAAGGATAAAGAAGCTGCAGCAAAAGCATAAGTCGGAGCATGAACCAATGTACAGACGATTTAGGGCCAAGATCAACCCGGGAGAAAACCAGAATGCAGAGGAGGAGCTGAAGAAGGAGATTTGGTTTGTTATTCTAAATCTATTGCAGTTTCTAGATGCTTTCATTTCATGTCTTTCTGTGTTTGTTTTAGTAAAGATATGTTCCAAGAGATGCAGATCATCGGTCAGTTCAACTTGGGCTTCATCATCACCAAACTAAACTCTGACATATTTATGATTGACCAACATGCAAGTGATGAGAAGTACAACTTTGAGATGCTCCAGCAGCACACCGTGCTCCAGGGGCAGAGGCTGATACTGTGAGAGTGCACTGTTCTGAAGAGTGCTTTTTGTTGCTATGGGTTTTTAATTGTATCTTTTTCTTGTAGTCCCCAAAATCTTCATCTTACTGCAATCAGCGAAAACATATTGATTGAAAATATTGAAATTTTTAGAAAAAATGGCTTTGAATTTCTGATAGATGAAGACGGTAAGTGTTTTTTTTTTTACATATGATGTTCTAAAAGTATGTAACTTTTCTTCCAAAAGACATTATAATAAATTATATATTATAAAAAGTGACTTGTAACTCAAGTTCCAAGTTCATGATTTAAATAGTGTCTCTTCTTGGTTGCAGCTCAAGTAATGGAAAGGGTGAAGCTGGTGTCTCTCCCGACCAGTAAGAACTGGACCTTTGGGCCTGCGGACATAGAGGAACTAATATTCATGCTGAGTGACAGTCCAGGTGTCATGTGCCGACCCTCTCGTGTGCGACAGATGTTTGCATCCAGAGCATGTCGCAAATCGGTATGTACATTTTGAATAGACAACAGTGCGTTGAAGTTCCTCTATGTCAGCAGGCCTTAATATTCTCTAATACTTGTACTTTTAAAGGTGATGATTGGCACAGCCTTGAGTGTCAGTGAAATGAAAAAGCTTGTGGTTCACATGGGGGAAATCGAACAGCCGTGGAACTGTCCACATGGGAGACCCACGATGAGACACTTGGCCAATCTGGACATGATTTCAGACTAAACATCATGTTCTTAGACATGCATGCTGTTGATCTTTCACAATTTTGTGTGTTCATTTTTGCATTTATTTTTATACGTAATTGTTATGGGTTAGGGTTATTAACAAATTAAACTTAAGACAAAGTAAAATGTGTGGATTTTAGTTACTTATCTCTCCAAGGTGTTTTATTTGTAACAAGTAATGATGTAAACCATCAATTTAATTAAATAAATTTAATTTGATGACAGTGGTATAGAATCACATTAGGATCACTCTTACACACAGAGAAAACAGACGTCTGCAACTTTTACCGCGGAGCTACTTTTGAAGTGATCGAAAGGAAGTAATGTACTCAACACAAACCGCAATCTGTGTCTTAATCGACGTAAAGCAAATGTTGTGATTGTCTTTTGGACAAAATGCTTCCCGTAGTTACCGGCGTCCTCTTGTTGCCATGGAGACGTGGTGTTGATTTCTCGCAGAGCTGTGGTTTTTGTGATTACGCGACATGTCAAAGTAAAGCCGAACACCAACACAGAAAACCAAGCCTTAATTGGAGTTTTAGAGTAGACTTTAAAAACAAAAGGAGCAGAAATATGTCGGAGCGAGAACAGACGTCAGATTCACGTCCGTCCCGCTGCTGCAGCTCTCCTCTCACGGTCAACCTGCTCATTCACAAGTAAAGCCACTTCTTCAACATTTTATGTCCACAAGAACAGGTCGGGCTGGCTCTAATGATTAAAACTACATTTATTTTACAGATATGAAGGAGAGACTTTGGAAGGTCAGCCGCACGGAGAAGGCGCGGTGAGTTTAGCAGGAGGCCACATGTATAAGGTATGATTATTAATATGTACATTCTGTGGCATGAACATGATGGATGAATGTATGAAGTGTTGATAATGAATGTGAACTGTGCCAATGTCGCTGCAGGGTGTCTTCTCTAAAGGACTAATGGATGAGCATGGAGTTTTCACATGGGCTGATGGATCAAAATATGAGGTAAATCATGACATTTGCATCAATATTCTCTAAATTAACTCATTGCATGTTGTACAGGGACATTTTGACAGTAACGTAATGATGGGACACGGTATGTATTCCTGGCCGGATGGAAGCACATATGTTGGAGACATTTACTACGGCATAAGACATGGAACTGGAACATACTGTGGTAGCAGGGGTGCAATATACAAAGGACAGTGGAGTCAAGGCAAAAGACAGGGAAAGGTGAGATATGTCATTATCTCTGTTCAAATTCAACATTATGTTCATGTAATGGCAACTTTTTTAAGGGTGCCATTTATTACAACCAAGACAAGACCAGCTGGTTTAAAGGGGACTGGGTGATGAACAAGATTGAGGGATATGGAGTCAGGCGGTAAGTATATCTTATGATTTAACTAGTTAAACATAGAGTATGATGTCACTATTATGTTCAGGTATTTATCTGGGGATGTTTACGAGGGTGAGTGGAGTAACAACCAAAGACATGGTCAGGGAACAATGAAGTGGCTTCAAGTTGGGCAACAATATGAGGGAACATGGTTCAATGGAGTACAAGTAAGTAAGTAAGTATGTGGTTTGTACTAGCTATAAAAAAATGGCCTTTTGTTTTCTCAATTGGAGCATGGACACGGAACACATACATGGTTTCTGAAGCGGGAAGCTGGATCCCGGTATTCCCAAAGTAACCAGTACAAAGGGGATTTCGCCTGTGGCCAAAGACACGGAAAAGGGACATTCTACTATGCCGATGGTGCAGTGTATGAGGGAGAGTGGAGGAAAAACAAAAAGCACGGGAAGGTATAAAATATCTCAATATTGACAAACGATTCACAGTCACTTTTGGGCTTTGCTTCACAGGGAAAATTTACTGTAAAAAATGGGAAGGTTTTCCAAGGCGAGTTTGTGGATGACAGGATGATACAGTTGAGAAATGACAGGCCTCTCCCGTTACTTGGTAATCAACACAAAGAAGAAAAACTGTGTTGTAGGATTCAAGTCAGGATTCCCATCATCATCACTGATCTTGTGGATCTGTTGTAGCCTGTGACGCCTCGTCTGGGCTTGGGCTGAACATGACCCTAAACATAGACTCCCTTCAGCTTTGCCTCCCTGACCGACAAAGATGGGATGCAGAACTCTTGGCAGTTAGTCCTTTTAAAAGTCACATTTGCAACATTTCCCCCCAGCGTATTACCCCTTTGACTGTTGTGGCCAAGGTGGAGCTGGTGGTGTTGAGGCACAGCAGCGACCTGAGAGGGATCTACAGTTTCTACAGCCGGCTCGGGAACGCTCGCTCCCCTGACAACACCTTCATGCTGTCCTGGATGCAGCTGTGGCGTTTGCTCAAAGATTGCAAAGTCCACCATCACGGCATTACTTTGAGTCAAATTGAGCTGCTAACCAAAGGTGATTTCATTTTCTCCAGGATTTTTATGACTTTGTTTTTGATGAGTAATAATTAAATACACAAAGCTTTTGAAAACTAGGAAAAAATAGGATTTAGACTGAATAGAAAGTGCAATTTAAAATGATTAGGAGCTCCCAGTTGCTTCTTTTTGACATTGTGCATCCTCCAAACTGAGCCTATTAATAAATATGATTATTAGAATGACATGGCTTTCTGCTTTTCATAAACTTTTCCCCCAGGTGCTTTAGAAGGGTCCACTTCACCTTTCACTGGTATACTGTTTTATAAGTTCCTTTCCTGTCTCGTGGTCGTTGCTTATCACATTTATCATGCAGACATGACGTAAGTATTTAAATAAATTACTTACACACTGTGCTAAATTCATTGAGCTTAATATTTTTGTTCCATCAGTGCAAACAGGGATGTTTTGGCGAATTCATTTTCCAAACTGATGACAAGCAACATTCTACCTAATGCCAAAAATGTAAAAGGTAAAAACTTTCCATTGTCATCACAAAAGAAACACCAATGTAAATATTCTGAACATGTTTTGTAGGTTTCTTATTTAGGCTCCAGGAGCACACACATGTGGCCCTGCAGTACTGCAGGGAGAGCTGGGAGCTGTACCAGGCCTACCGCACACCTGCACACAGCATGACTTATCGAGAGCTGCTCCTCATCTTCAAAGTACAATATTGTTGTCAGCCATTTGTTTTTAACACTTTTCATTCACTTACACTTGTTTATACAGGATTTCCATCTGCTTGACGACAGACTTTCTACCTCAACGTTTATGGAGGTCATTTCTGAAGAGACTCCAGAACCCAGCAACACATCCTCCTTGCTGATTCTGGAGGTTAGACTTTTGCATTGGTTTGAATTGTTTCTTTACATTGTCATTTACATTCTATATAGATTACATTCCTTGAGTTTTTTGATGCACTGCTTGGCTGTGCTGTGGTCAAATGCTGTGATGAAAGGCAAATGAATAGTCAAGAATGTGAAATATCCAAGACCAAGAACACATCTCAAAGAAATATTTCTGTAAGACTAATTGCCTTCTGTAATAAGTCTTTTATTTTGATATAAGTGATTTTCTCACACTGCTTTAACCACCAGGAGGAAGCAAAGGACACCTCTACAATTCACATTGAAAGAATGAGTGACTTTCAGTTGACAGGTCTGTCAAACGTTGGTTAAAGTAAGAGACCATGTATGTGGCATAAATAACAAGCATTTCTTTTCAAAGGTTTAGAGTCCAGAAATGAAGAGGAAAGACAGTCAACATTTAAGAACCAAACGGGTTGGGAGCAAAGGGTCCATCAGTTCTTTGATCAAGTTTTCCTAAATGCATTTGAACATCAATTGGTGAAAAAAATGATCAAGCAGAAGGATCTCAGCCTCAAAAGACAATCACTGAAGGTGCTGACAGGATCCCAACAGTAAGCCTTGTGACCACCAGAGGGCAGCAACAGCACATTTACTTCAGATCTATTCTAGATTCTATTTTTCTCCTTATCAGCCAATTACTTTAACTTAAACGGTGTCATGTTGGAAATTGGATTTTAATAAAACAACTTAAATTAACAAACAACATTGGAGTGAGACCAAAATATACAAATCTTTCTTTAAGAGGTATAAAAGTACTATGTAAAAACAAATCTTCAAATTCACTCCTGCAAATGAGGGGGGGTGAAGACCATGAGGTCAGACGGGCAGACAGACTGTCTGATGCGGTCCTTCAGGTCTGGGGTGAACAGAAACAGGGCCGACTCCACCGTCTGGGGATGAAGAAAAACAATGTCAGTGTGTTGTATTGTTTTGACAAAAAAATAAGTGAAAAAAGTGAACCTGAGGTGACTGAAGAGAAAGTGTTGGCACCGTGGGCAGTGATGTACAAACTGAAAGTAGGATAGGAATAAGTTTGAATTAGAGTGAATTTAGAATAAGAAAACTACTATGCCTATGTGACTTAGTGACACCTATGAGCGCATCATACCAGCATTCTGCTGAGCCAGCGGGATCTCAGGTAGACCTTTGGGACTCTCCATATCTACATCCATCACCATAGACGACTCCATGGAAAATGGCTGTCGAGGCGATAAACTCACTCTCTGAGATGGCTGCAGGTAACGCTCAAAGTCGATGTTAACGGCCTGAAAGCATTACAGCAAAGGTTAGCCACAGGTCAGGAGTGAAGGAAGGGCAGAGGAAACCTTTACCTCATGAGCTGAGGAGTCTGGTGTGGCTGTCACCAAGTCCTGAGGGCTAAGGAGGTTCTGTGCTGCATGAGGGCTACAGATCTCTGCTGGGGGCGACAGCGTGAAACTCAGGGACACAGACTCCACTGAGCTTTTACATGGAGACAGTGCAAGGTTTGGGCTCTGAATGAAATCAGATTTGTTTGCAACTGTACTTCCTGGCTCTTCAACAGTAATGGAGGTGACCGAGTGTCCAGAGTCCAGCACTGTGTTTTTTGATTGTTCTGTGAAGTCTGAAGACATTTCTTTGTTTGGAGTGACACTCACAGGTGCACAAGCAATAGTCTGTGGTAGAGTGGCTTTCAGAGACTGTACTGGTGATGTTTTGTTAACAGAATGTGGACAGGGGGGCGTAGTCATGGGTTGCTGCACAGGAGTATGTGCAAACACCAGGGAACGTAGAGTTACTCTCCTGGGTGTGAGGCAGTTTGGAGATGGAGAAGGCACAGCACTGAGGCGGCTGGATCTCCTCACTGAACCTAGAAGACAAGACACGGGTTAAAAATGCTCATCTGCATCTAGTAAATCAGAGGGACTACCTGGTTTGCTCGGGCTGACAACTTTCAAAAGACCTGCATTGAAAACCAACGGGTCAGTGTTCTGTGAGCTCGGCTCTGCGTCCGGACACCCTCCAGACTCCGCCGCCTGCTGTCTGGCTTTCATTGCTGCTTTTGCAGCAGCCAGGCGAGACTTTGCTCCTGCTTTTGTTCCTGAGGGTTTTGATGGTCCAGGTGCATCTGCAGATTTCTGCTTGACACAAAAGGTTTTGTTTAGGGCCTACCAGATGCCCCGTCAAGACAGTCAAAGTCGTGATACCTTTACTACTTTTCTCTGTCGAGGTACAGGTTTTTGTTCCTCCAGCCAGCTTTGGCCTTCTGCAGCTTTGAGAGCATCAAACTTCTTATGTACATCTTCAACCTAAAGTTTAAACAATATTATAAAAACAGACAACATGAATAAATCCTATCCAGCTGCACATTTTTAAAACCAACCTGGTAATACACCATGTCCCAAAAGCCCTGCAGGTCAGTGCAGGTCGTGATCTTCTCACCACGGCCAAAGTCACAGTCGTCCACCAGGCCACTAAACTGTCTAAAGCGCTCCTTCATCAGCAGTCTCGCTTGGCCAACGGCAGTACGCATGCGGTCCCTCACTGAACAGCAAAAACAAAAATGAATAATACAAGCCTCATTATTAATATAAGCATTAGAGTTTCACCAACTTTCTTCTGGTATGGACTCATCTTCCACTTTAGATTCCCAGTGTGTACAGAGCTCCATCAGTCGCTCTGTTTCATTGACTATTTCAGACCTATGTACAGAAATAAACATTAATATAAAAAAGAAAAAATAATAAAAACATGGTTAATGAGCGAGACCTGAAAAACGGCACATCATGCTGTGGCTCCTCTGCGTCAGCTGCAGATGTTGGAGGTGATTTAGGAGGTAACGACTCCTTTATAGATTTATGATCTTCATCAAATGTTGGAGCAGGAGGAAGAGTAAAACTGGAGCTGTAAAGGATGTTGGTTAAAAAAAGGCTAAGAGGACAATAACAATTATTTAAAAAAAGCAAACCTTGGTGTGAGAAATGCATCTGCTGAGTGAGGAGTGAGAGGCTCCAACTTAATGGATGACAGGCCATCAGGTGCTCGGAACAGAAATCCATCAGGGGCAAAAGATGCTTTGGACACAGACTTTGGAACCTCAACAGGGTCAGGAGCAGCCTGCTCCATGTCCTCATTAGACTGGAGCGTGGGAACATCTGGTTTCTGAACCATTCAAATAAACATAATGGGCCAAATATACAAGGAACTTTAAACAAACTAAAACATGGATTGGAACTTACCAAATTATGTTCCTCCAAAACAGCGGGGACACCATCATTGACTGGATAAAAACACAAAACATTCATATTCCCACCCTACCTAGTAATAGTGCAGTATGTGTCATACAATTACATTTTTCTTCAGCAAGAGGGGTCACTTTGCTTCTGGTCGTCCTAACATCTAAGGATTACACGACAAAGTGTTTAACACGGCTCTTTTCCGTTGTGGTCTTACAATGCACTGGTCACTGAAACCTAAACAATGACACTGTGACCGTCAGTACTACATACCTGCGCACTTGTCCTTTGGTTTGTCTTTCATCACAGGAGCCGCAGTAACTGGAGGCTTGGATCTGCCAGATCTAGTGGACTGCCCACGTGTGTCCGGCTGCTCTATAGTCATGACATGAACAAAACCACCGTGACATCTAGGCCAACAGAGGCGTGCAAGAGATTGTGCTGACTTACCTTTTGTTTTAGATGCAACCGGTTTATTGGATACAATACGGCTCCTGGTTGACCCTTCTACTGGAGGTTGACCTTTTGGGGGAGAATGTACGTCATGAAAAAAGATCATTTTTCTCCTTTAGAAATTTGCTCAAACTTACATTTCTTTGCAGCTGTATTTACATCTTGCATTTTCAGAGGCTGAGAACATTTATATACATTAAAATGTAATAAGTATAATACATGTATACATTGAAGGACATGTGCTTGAGGAAACATCTCACCTTTTGCACCGGCTGCTGCTTCATAGAGCGTGTAACTCTCGTGCTCTGAGCTGGAGCAGCTTTTGTGCCCATCTGCTTAAAACAAAAAGGAGTAAAGATCAATCCAAACACAATCCATAACATTATGTTGAAACCCACCTCTTTGCCTCTCCCAGAGCCAGCGAGGACAGAAGGCAGAGGGCAAATACTAAAATCTTTAGGATGATACAGTCCAGTCTTAAATACTCCTTTATTTGATTTTTCTCGCTGTTCTTTCTCCTTTTCAAGCGCCTTGCGTTCTTTCCAACGCTGAAGCTGCTTCAGCCTTTCCTCACCAGCCACATCTTTAAAATGTTAAATTTCATAACGGTAAAAATGTGTAATTGTAATAATTAACCATGACCATCTTAGTTATTAGTATTAATTAAATGTACTTTACTTTTGGGCAGCGCAGTGAGGCTTTTCTTCTTGTCTTTAATGATGGACATATTTGCCGCAGTCATGGACGCGTCCAACGCGGACATGTCCAGCTCCTGCAGAGCATCGAGCCCTCTGCGGGTGTTGACGAGGTGCTGGCGGTTCTCCTTCTGGGACTGAGACCTCCTCCGGGACATTTTCACTCTGAGCATCGAGACACTGTTGTCTCTCTGACGAAGGCGTGAAAACTTAGACTCCATGTTTGCTGAGAGACGACAGTTCAAACAAACACGTTTGTGATCGTTATGAAAGGCACAGACAAACACATCTCACTAACGTCAGGCAAACTGTTGCTCAGATAAATGCTAGCTTAGCTTCCATGAATACTGAAATAAAAACAAGTACGTAGTGGATTTGCATTTACCTTGGTTTAGCAAATAGTTAATTAAAATCACGTTTGTCTCCCAGTACGGTGTGTAGCTGCTCAAGTCCTGTGGTTTGTGGTCCAGAGACGACAACAATCATGGCGCGGGCGACTTTTTGAATTTCTCATTCCACGGCGCTGATTGGCCAGAGCTCCTCGGAACCTCGCCTTGTTATTGGTCCATGCGTAGTGAACTTCAAACATACTTCCGGACTGCTGAAGGCTCCCTCCTTGTGGATGTTGTTGGTAACACACCCGATATTATAGTAGATCCATGGATCTGGTTAAATCATATTAATATTTACAGTCTATGGGTTAAACGCACATTATAGTCCCAGCAGCCATGTTTTTCAGCCGTGCCTTGCACCCTACTATTAAAGAACCATGGGTTGCACAGGAAAGCACTTTTGTCTATCCATGGCTGCAGGACAGTTGTTGCAAACAGCTTCGTCAATTATTTTTCCATTGCTCCATTTCAAAGTTGTCATGATTTGTTTTTAATGAAAAAGAAATCTACAACAGTGTACAGCAATGTTAGCAATCAACATCCTGTATGTACAAATTAATAAAGAAAACATAACTGCATAGTAAAAATCTGCATTTATACAATTAATTACAGGGCAAGATTACAATATCATATTAAATAAAAGCTGGAGTTTTTCTTTTCTTTTTTACTAATGCAATGAATGTATTGCATGAATGGAATGTCCTTATCCATTTTCAGTCCAAGAAGAAAATGTTGTTAAACTGTGTTGCACATAGTCTCTTTACCTCCTCTGCAAGAGAGAAAAGTTATGCTGTTAGGATAATAGTGTATAATATTAATAAAACATGATATAACACAACTAACATTGTACACACCATTTACTTCTATTAAATTAGCATTCTTCTGGTTCAGGATGACGTAGAGCTCTCTCTGGTCAGACTTCTTCCCCACTACCCAGTAGTCTGTCATAGCTTTTACAATGATTTCTTCATCTTCATCAACTCTGTCAAAGAAAATTCAGACTGTTATTTTGTTGTGCTTACTCTCATAGATGTATAAATGCCATTCAACAAACCTTGCAAAGTCACAATTGATATCTCCCAGGATTTTCATGAGATCGGGGTGCACAGAGGTGAGACAGACACTGGCCGTCTTTCTCATGTGGATGGTGCTTTTTTCAGCCAGGTTCATGTGATTAAAGTAGATAAACTTAAACTGAGGTTCTTTTTCAGTCCTAAAAAACAGGGAACAAAAAAAATAAAATCACACAATTGTAAATCTGCTTCAACATTTGGTGAATGACACCAAACTAGGACCTAAGCACCTACAGTTAATTGGACTGTCAATTAGAAATAGATTATAATGAGTTAAACAAATCACCAGTATCTTGAATTACAAAACTGGAGATCTAAATGCAACTGTTGGGGTTAAAGAAAAGAGTACCAGGACAATCTGCAAAAATGCACAGCTTAAGTTTCCTTAAATTGCATCAAGAGGATCAGTGGTAAGTCTCATCTATCACTGCCAACCAGCAGCCAACAGAGTCGTCAGAGTGGTTAGCCTGCAGTTACCGGACCATAACTATTGTGCAGTGACTCCAAAAATAAAAAAATACTGTGAACCAATAACAGTATCTCCAACAGAGGGAGGACATGTATCAAAACAGGATGAGGCAGAGTTACAATCAATTAATCATTAGATTATTACAGTAATGTTGGAAAATTAGAACACAGAGTAGAAGTGCTTCATCAATAGAAGCACTTCAAAGAAAGACGCTCACCCTGATATCCTGCGGTTGATTGTAAACTGCTCACAAATATCGGATGCCAGTAAAGTGAGCTGAGGGCCCACGAGGCTGTCCAGCTGCTCACAGAACTCACGCGTTAGCTCCACAGAAGCTGAAGGATGAACACAGAACGACATAAATGTAATGTAGGAACCTATAAGCGTCTGTCATTACTGGTGCTGATAGATCTCACCACTTATCATGAAACAGGCAGCCGCACTCATTGCCTGAAAAATAGTACACGTTAGAGATTAAACAGGACAAGGGCAAAAGAGGAAATTATATTAATGTGAAGCATTGAGGCTTCTCGCTTTTAATCACTTTAAATTTTAAGCTGCCTAATCCTCCAAAAATATATATAATCATGTTTGACCATCGAAAAGTACTAAATCCTATATCTAAAAGGATTGCAGCACCTACATATTGGAGTGGTGCAATATCATTATAAAAAGGAGGTGAAGCATATTAACCTTGTAAACAATAAGATGCAGCTCTTCATAGCCGTCGTCAGCACTGACAAAGATTCTTGGAAACCGGAATTTTGCCTCTGGGTCTTTGAAATTGGTGGGTCCCGTCAAAAATCTGATCAAAGGATAACATTATAAACTTTGTGTGAACATAGTATATTCTGTTAGATGAACAATAAGGTGTAATGTAACTAAAAACAAAGGAAGGTTGCTCATCACTTCAGTTAGCAGGTTTTTACCGACGTCTCGTTCTTAATCCAAAGAACTTTCTCAAGGAAATGAAAGCTCAGCCGCGGGTTGGAGATTTATAGACTTTCATTCCCTTGAGAAAGCTCTTTGGATCAAGAACCAAACGTTGTGAAAACCTGCTAAATGAAGAACAGAAGGGTGCGCAACCATCCTCTGTTTTGATTAATCCCTGTACGACAGACCTCACACAAATGTAATGTTTTCTCAATACTTCCATTTGATGAAGCAAAAAGACAACAAACCAAAAGAGGGCAGAGCTCTACTTTAACTGCAGATACAGAAAATTCCTCCAATAATTAAGTGACACAGTTTGAAGAGCTTGTATTTGTGCAGCTGCTATTGAACTAAGTGATTCGACAAAGATTTGCAAGTTTTCATTTTTAGGACCAGAGTGAAAACATCAAGTCCCGTCTGTTATAAGAATCAAAAGATACAGACTAAATGTCACAAAGCTGAATGTTGTAATTCAGTCGCTCGCAGCAGCAGCAGCAGCAGCAGCAGCAGCAGCAGCAGCAGCATGTGATGATACACACAGAAGTCTTTGTCCTCACACCACTTCAATCTATAACTGTAATCTGCAACAGAACAGCTCACCTCCCATAATGCAACAGGTTCCCCATGACCTCTGGCCTTAGAGGAGAGTCTCTGCCAGCCAGCTATGAACAAATGAAACATGAACAGTATAAATGACAGCAGGGACAGTGCGTGTTCATAAGGCCATGGTCAGTCCCACCTCGGGCTCAGAGTGTCGGGGGAACAGTGAGGTGGTCAGGTACTTGTACAAGATCCTCATGTCGTCCTGTTCCAGTCCGCTCCTGCAGGAAACCAGGGAAGTTTGGTTAAGCCACTGAAATATCCTCTTTGTCTACATGTAGAAATTGTTTTTATACACACACACACACACACACACAATTGTATTTTGTATTTGATAATATGTTCAGAGCAGACTCCATGCGGAAACCTTTCTGTGTGAAACAAGGGCCCCAGTTATGATAAAGTCGATTGGTAGAGGCAACAATACTATAATTGGAGCTCTTTGTAAATTACTTCCATTGACTCTAAAATATTGCTTTCAATCAAACATGTAGAATAAGCAGGATACAACAACTCGCAATTAGAGATTACAATGCTTTCAAGTCATTTCAGCAATTATATTATCCCCAGTGCTTTGGCAGTGATCAGGGAGGCTCATGTGTAATTACAGACAAGGGACATGTCACACGCACCAGAAAGCACAAAGAGGATTACAGCTTGAATGTCTGTTGAACCAGCAGGCTAACGGCACATCTCAGGATTTTGTGATTTGAAATGTACAATATTTTTAGTACTGCGGACCAAAATGTTTAGCCCGGCGGTCAGTAACAAATGCTTTAATAGTCATCGATACATTTACGATCCAAACTTCTGGTACCAGTGTCGTCTGTGCAGGTAGCTCAGATCACACGTGCTTTAGCTTCTAGGGTTTAGGCAGTGACTAAATGATTTGGATTACACAAACTGGCAACTGAGAAATGATGCCAATTCTTTCTGATAACCATCTTAATAACCAAAATACATAAATATTAATAACTGTTAAAGCAGATGTAATTAAAAAAGTTATAGTGTGATAAAAAAAACAAACAGGAGTCAATGTACAGTGCCTTGCGAAAGTATTCAGCCCCCTTCAACCTTTTGCCACATTTCACACTTCAAACATAAAGATATAACATTTTAATTATTTGTCATGAATCAACAACAAGTGGGACACAATCGTGAAGTGGAACGAAATTTATTGGATAATTTAAACTTTTTTAACAAATAAAAAACTACTCACTCCAGAAGTTCAGTGAGGATCTTTGAATGATCCAATGTTGTCCTAAATGACTGATGATGATAAATAGAATGCACCTGTGTGTAATCAAGTCTCCGTATAAATGCACCTGCTCTTTGATAGTCTCGGGGTTCTGTTTAAAGCACAGAGAGAACCATGAAGACAAAGGAACACACCAGGCAGGTCCGAGATACTGTTGTGGAGAAGTTTAAAGCCGGATTTGGATACAAAAAGATTTCCCAAGCTTTAAACATCTCAAGGAGCACTGTGCAAGCAATTATATTGAAATGGAAGGAGTATCAGACCACTGCAAATCTACCAAGACCCGGCCGTCCCTCCAAACTTTCATCTCAAACAAGGAGAAGACTGATCAGAGATGCAGCCAAGAGGCCTATGATCACTCTGGATGAACTGCAGATAACTACAGCTGAGGTGGGGATGGTGTGTTCAGGGTGATGAGCTGTGTTGCTTTTACGCCAAACATATCGTTTTGCATTGTGTCCAAAAAGTTTGATTTTGGTTTCATCTGACCAGAGCACCTTCTTCCACATGTTTGGTGTGTCTCCCAGGTGGCTTGTGGCAAACTTTAAACAAGACTTTTTATGGATATCTTTGAGAAATGGCTTTCTTCTTGCCACTCTTCCATAAAGGCCAGGTTTGTGCAGTGCACGACTGATTGTTGTCCTATGGACAGACTCTCCCACCTCAGCTGTAGTTATCTGCAGTTCATCCAGAGTGATCATGGGCCTCTTGGCTGCATCTCTGATCAGTCTTCTCCTTGTTTGAGATGAAAGTTTGGAGGGACGGCCGGGTCTTGGTAGATTTGCAGTGGTCTGATACTCCTTCCATTTCAATATAATTGCTTTCACAGTGCTCCTTGAGATGTTTAAAGCTTGGGAAATCTTTTTGTATACAAATCCTGCTTTAAACTTCTCCACAACAGTATCTCGGACCTGCCTGGTGTGTTCCTTTGTCTTCATGGTTCTCTCTGCGCTTTAAACAGAACCCTGAGACTATCAAAGAGCAGGTGCATTTATACGGAGACTTGATTACACACAGGTGCATTCTATTTATCATCATCAGTCATTTAGGACAACATTGGATCATTCAAAGATCCTCACTGAACTTCTGGACTGAGTTTGCTGCACTGAAAGTAAAGGGGCCGAATAATATTGCACGCCCCACTTTTCAGTTTTTTATTTGTTAAAAAAGTTTAAATTATCCAATAAGTATTGTTCCACTTCACAATTGTGTCCCACTTGTTGATTCATGACAAAAAATTAAAATTTGATATCTTTATGTTTGAAGCCTGAAATGTGACGAAAGGTTCAAGGGGGCCGAATACTTTCGCAAGGCACTGTAATTAGATGTTTCGTACTGAATGTTGCTGAAGTGGCACATGGAGGTTTCATTACAAATAAAGCAGAGATGCTTCGTACCAAATGAGCTGGTCGTTATAAAGAAAGGCGGTGTATTTGATGAGACTGAGGCTCTCCTCCACTTTGTTCACAAACGACTGGATCTTCAAGTACGTCATCTTGTCCAGGGGGAAGAAGCTGATGCCTCCAAACACATCCAGCAGATCGCAGGACTGCAAGTGGAGAGTCTGCAGATACTGGATACCAGCACACACAAGCGCACACAGGCACACACAGGCACACACAGACACACACAGACAAACACACACACACACACAGACACACACACACAGGTCAATCACAATCAGAACAGGCAGGAGACAGACACAGGAGAAGGAAAAGGAGAAAGGGGTTAGCTTACGTCCACACAAGTGCTTGCTTACAGTGCACCGGAGAAAGCTGAGATAGAAGAGTGACTGACACGATGGAGAGACTGTTGCATCACACAAGGCCAAAGAAGAACTTCTGACATTCAACCTTTTGATAGGCACATTGCAATGTCTCTTGCCCTCCTGTGGTAAGGTTTCACAGTGGAGAGGGAAACCCTGGGTAAACTTAAGAAGGGTGTTCCCTAATTACAAATGTTTATTTAATGAGTTTATACAGTTTTAATGTCTATGGCTGAATACTTCGGTCGACATAATCCTTTTAGGAAAAGAATAGATGTGTGATTCACTTAACATCTTAACTAAAAATAGATCATGAGTTATTGAAATTACGGCTGGGTAAGAGAGATTGGTGATAGAAATATTCATAAACCAAATAATATCCTGTCATGCTTACTCTGTAGAAGAACTTTTCAAGTTTCTGGATGAGCTGCTCAAGTCCTCCAGTTTCCATTGATCTCCCAAATGTCCCATTGAATAACTGCAACACATACACTCAAAATTTAATTCAATCTTTTTTAATTGTGTAAATTAAAAATAAAAAACATTTACCTTGTACATGGAGTAGCACTGTCTCACAACTGCACCATAAACAGTGTCCTACAGAGAACACATGAAGGTGAAGCAAATCTGTCAATACTAAATATTTCCAGGACATTTTCCGCTTACAAGGATCTCTTCTTCTTGGTATTCTACTGTTGGAGGTTTACCGTCTTTGTTTGGTTTTTCAACCATTGGGTTTCGTACAACCTGTCAAACACAAAATGAGTTAACGGATAAAACCATGGAGAGATCAAATATATAATAACAATAATGTCATGTCATTTTCATCCCCTTTATTAATCCATTTCTGGGTCGGGGAGGTGGAAATCAGTCCCAGTCCAGTAATAACAAGATAATATATATTAAAAAGAGTTATGTCAAATACCATAACTATCCAAAAGTTTTCTTCAGGTTCAAAGAAAAACTGGCGGTTTTTCTGTGTGTGCAAAGATTTGGCTGGCTGGGTTGGGCAAAATGTCCTGGAACAGAGAAAGACTGTAATTCTACAATAATTCAACCAGATTTGAATTGTACATTTACAACGTACCTTGTGAATTGAACAATAGCTTCACAAAGGCCCACATTTCGTATCTTCTCATTCTTTTCCACATCACTGGGATGATAAAATAATATCTTCTTCTCTTCCTGAGAATATATACATACATTCTATTGACTAATCATGAACGCATACGGAAAAAAACATTTAACCATTAGAGCCACACCTCTCCTTCCCGTGGTCCAAATGTTGGGTTGTAAATAAAAAAACTAAGCAGAGATGGAGTGTACTGTTTCTCTTGCATTCCTGAGGCCATTCTGGGACTGTGACAAAGAAAACATTCTGACAAACCATAAAACCTATAACAAAACATAGAAATCTTCAAAGTAATCTCACCTAATCATCTGCATCGATGTATCTGGGGCTTGGATTGTCCTTCCTTCAGACTGGTTCTCATGCCGCAGCCTGGAGAGTGAAGAGAGAACATACTGTCTGCAGTTGCATGAATGTGATTTTCACACTGAATCAAGAGGACTTTCTGTAGCGACATGTGCTTTACAGGCAAGACTGGGGTAGACTTTCTACAAATACACCATTCAATAGTAAGTCAGTAAATCCTAGATTCAAGGGCTGTAGTCAAATAATAATTAATTACAGTTCTACAAAGTACTACAATAAAGTATTTATAATGTTTGCTTACATCTTGAAATGATCTGTTTGTATTATTTATTTTGTCATAACAATTACAAATATTTTGTCATTTCACGGTTAAAATAAAAGCTTCACCAACTACAATATTCAGACATGGTTTAGTGTTGTTTAAAATGACCAGCAATAAGACATTGTATGATTGAATGATGTATAGTTAAGAGGGCTAACCTTAGCATAGATGTGGCTAACTGCAGATGCTAGCGGTTCACAACAACAGAGCAGGCTACAGGACGACATGGATACTACACTCACCTTAAAGTAATCCTGTAAAACACACCTCAGTCCCAGTGACTGTACAGCATAAAATAACATGTGATGAGTAAAAACGGCATGACTGTAAAGGACATTACTTTACATGACCGACTTCCTGCTTTTGACAGCGCTGTGTTACACAATACTGCTCGGGCGAAACATGGAATCAATCAAATGTTCCTAGCATTAGACATAAATAATGGAATACATTTATACATATATGCAAACTGATATCATAATAGATCCAAGATACAGACATACAGACATACAGACATACAGACATACATACATACATACATACATACATATACATACATACCGTACATACATACATACATACACATACATGCATACATATATACATATATACATATATACATACATACATACACACACACACACACATACATACATATATACATATATACATACATAGTGTACATACACACAGACATACATACATACATACATACACACAGACATACATACATACATACATATATACATACATACACACACACACACACATACATACTTATATACATACATATATACATACATACATACTGTACATACATACACGCACACACATACATACATGCATACATATATACATACATACATACATACATACTGTACATACACACACACAGACATACATAAATACATACACGCACACATACATGCATACATACATACATTCATACACACATACATACATGTACATACATACGTACATACGTTGATATAAAGGGTTTGTTTTTATGTGATATCTCTTCGAACATTTTGATTGTAACACAAATGAAGCCAGGCATGTGGCCCATCTCCAACATCATGATTTAGAGGCAGAACATGTGTAAACTTTAGCTGATCAGTAAAGCTCTCAGTACTGGTTTTGGTGTATGTACCATTGCCCTCCCTTTTCCACTTGGTATTGTAGACAGGTAATGATAGATTGAAAGGCTACAATCGGCTATATCCAATTATGTATTATTTTGATGATCAATATCTGAACTGTTCTGTTACAAATTGTCAAATTGAAGAGCTGTTTTCAAGAGTCTAGATTCTGGGAAAAACTTTTACAATGATTTTCCATCTCCATTGTTTGTAATTTAATATTTTATGAGGCGGAAACCTTCCCTTTGTTCAAGCTTTAGCTTAACAAGGCTCATATTTTGGTGTGAAGGTGTTTTTTGAGAGATAAATAGTGAATCAAGGACACATGGTTCAGCAAGATGCAAGTTTATTTGTACAGCACAATTCGTAAACAAGACAATTCAAAGTGCTTTCAAAAAAGAAAGAAAAAAAAAGATCTACAAGAATCAAATAAAAACTAATTGGGCCTGTGCCATGTTTGTATGCGCTCCTTACAGCGGGAGCAGAGGATGCTTTTCTGATGGTGAAAGCATTTCCCGTCCCTGCCTCAGTTTGACTCTTTATAAAAACTTTAGAAAGTCTTTACGTGCTTCAAATCATTTGGTCCAAAACAAATCTGAACAAGAATGCTTTCAGTCTTTGTTCACTTTTAACATATTTATTGCTTTTGTGTTTGTCAGAGGTGGAATGTGCACATACACAAAATGCTGTCATGAAAAGCTACCGTTTTAAAACAATGATTTCAAAACATGAAAAGAAAGTAAAGGTGTAAGAGAGAAGAACCAGGAGTCTTCAGAGGGAGGATGTGAGGGTTGTCGTCGCTCAGGACAGCACCATAGCTTGGAACTCTAAAAGAAAAAGACAAATGTATAGAAGTTGACTAAAAACAGGCATTTAGCGTTTCCTAAAGGTTTGATCGTAAATGCAGTGTGCTCAGATACTGGTTCACATGATTATGCTTTATTTGTGGAGAAGTGAAAGTACCAAACAAGTGTCCACTGGATCTTTTTCACCTCCGGCACCTTACTTCATTTGAAACAGATCTGTGACTTTTTAAAGGTCTATTAATTAGGGTGTGTTTGAACGCACCATAGATCAGGGGAAAATATCATTACAATCAGTCTGTTTAAAAAAAAGTTCCCTTTATCCCATCTGTATAACATTATCATTTTGCAAACAAAACATTTTAACAAACATTTTAACACCAACCCTCTGCTCCAATTTTGCCGTCATTGTCGTCGTCGGCTGCTGAGATGAACTTCTTGGCCTCTGCATCACTCAGAGTTCGTGCACTAGGGACAAATTTCTGCAGGAAGAATCTGCCGAGAAGCACAGGCGCAGGATTTATGGTCATCACTTTTGACAGTGTCACACAAAGGTAGGTTATATAATCCAATAATAAAATAGAGCTTTGTCTCCTGTGGATTATTTCAAGACAGCTTAATGATGCCATCCTGTTATTACGACTGACTGAGCTCTAAATCTTTATACATGTCACAAAAACACTCAGGTAAGCCACACATTGGATGAGAAAGGTTTGACAATCCTTCACCAAACAGAAAACATGTTGTTAATCATCTCCACAGCACTCACTTGAGCTCAGACTCCTCAATGTAGGCGCTGTTGTCGTCATCAAGAAGTTGGAAGACATTTTTGATCTCCTGAGGCGTCTTTGCGGACAGACCACACGTCTTGAAGAACTTCTTGTAGCAGAATGATTCTGGGGCTATAAACAATATAACGTTAAAAGCCGGTTTGCAAATCATATGCAAAAGATGCAAAAGAGATCAATCAGACAGAATTTATTTTTGCCATTACTCGAGTAGACTTTGGACTTCAGATTAACATTGATGGAAGATGATTTGAAAAATGATCTTCGGTCACAACAATGGTATAAAAGTGTACCTTCACATTCCTTGACAGCCGTGTCAATGGCCTCAGCAGAAAGAATAGAGGTGAGTGACATGTTGATCCTGTAGGTTAAAGTGAATTATTATTATTATTATTACTATTATTTACACCTTCTTTACTTTTATCAATCATATGCCTTTACACATACACGTCACATTATTTCACTTGGACTGACAAACCAGAAAGCTGTTTAATAATGCAAGGATAAAAAATAATAATACAGAAAGTAAAAAAACTAGTAAAAAAACCGAAGAAGTTGTTGATAATTTCTAAATCAGGAGTTGTTTCCTTCCTCTCTGCTCCAGCCCCGTCTCATGCAGCCCCCAGGGGCCTCACAGACCCCCCCGGCCCGGGCCCCTTCACTCACCGATGCTCGTAGCTTCAGAAGGTCCAGAGAAGCAGGTGAAGGCGGAGTGCGTAGAGCCCCTTCCAGGTCGCGGCAGCTTATATAGCTGGAGCCCGGGAGGTGCGTCGGAGGATGCTTGAGTTTCCACAGAGTTCACAGATCAAATGATCCACTGGCTCTTCTCTGGTTTCCACCTGCCACACCTGCCCTCTCCGTGGAGGCCTGCGCCTTATATCCGACCGCACCACGCGCACTCTTTTCTCTTCATGTGAGACTTTATTTTTTTATGGTCCAATCAACTTTTTTTTTTATCTCATAGACTGACCCCTCCCTCCTCTCGCATCTTTGTCACAGCGTCCGTCGCGCCACAGACGCACAGTGTTCAGATGAGAGGAAGCAGAAAGTGGAGAATATCCCCATCGCCGTGTGCGCGTCTGAAACATCATTAGACTAATAACAAGAAAAGGATGAATACAAAATATATAATAATGTAGTAGTACATTAAATATGATTTGGAAAGTTATGTGAATAAACTAGACATGATTACGCAAATGTGCACGTGTGCATTATATTACCAATTCTAAAAGGGGTAGTTAGATTACTATATTTGAGTATATTTCACTAAATATTAACTCCTGGGAGAAGTTACTCCCTAGAGTGTGGGTGGTGGATGTGGAAATGTGGGGTCCCCTCGTCGCTATGGAAACAGTCCCCTAAAGTCTTGTCATCTGCATTGGGAGCCTTGGCTCAGCAGGCTCTGGTGAGCTCAGGCAGCACTAACGACTGCAGGAGGAGGAGACCTGTGTAACAAGGACCTGGGGAATAGAATGAAAAGAGTATACGGACATTTTACTTGATCGGCAGCAGCTTTTTTCTTTTTTTCTTTTTAAGTAAGCGGATGGGTTTCCCTAACATGGCATGAGACACTACCGCCCTCTTGTGGTTACTCGTGTTTAGACTTAGCAGTGTCCAGGCGGTGTGCCTCACAAGTCTGTAGTGGGCTGTACTGTAGCTTATACTCACTCTCTATGTTACTTCAGTGAATACACTTCTCCTTCACAATAGTGCTGTATTTTCTGTAGTCACCAGATGTTCTATTCTTATTTATATGTCTTACTGGATAGTTTCCTGTATTGGGAATGTGTGTATGTTTTGTGCCAATTCAGAACCAATATTTACGAAGAACTCTTTGAAACCATTTGCAACCTTTATCATTTTCTTTATCATTTACATTAAACCATTTACGATAGCACGTCTGCTTGTTGGACTTTTTGATGACACCATTTACTGTGTTCCAGAATTCTCTAGCGTTACTTTTGTTTTACCCCCAGTAGTTAATAATAATAATCCTTCTTTGCAATTCTTATAATGTTTGTTAGATTTTTTTGTATTAATGTACTTTTGCTCAGCCTCCACAGTTTTTACTTTGATTAATCTTTTGTAAAACATATTATTTTAGAGATAGATACATTTTATTGATCTCACAATGGAGAAATGTACATGCCACATGATCATGGAGAGATTCACTCAGATTGTGCAAAAGACAGAAGTGTGAAATATGTTAAAGATTAAGAATATAGTCTGTGCAGGATATAATTATGTACAATAAAAAGTGGCAATATTCAGGCATTATGCAGTCCCCGGTAATCCAGGGTTGTCATTTCTGTTCTAACTTATCCATTGTTTTCCTTAATGAAGAATTTTTATCATAGAGCAATTTAAATATTTGAAGATATGTTAAATATGCATAATTTACATTTCTCTGACTGTACATTTCCTCCCAGTCACATGTTGCTAAGTCTGTTTTGAAGGCAGTTAGGGCCTCTTCTGTTCTCAGTGTATCATACTGTTTTTTCCCGTTTTTCGGCTTTACATCAACACTCAAACCCTACAAATAGAGGCAAATGGTCACTTAAATCATTCACTATCAGTCCACTAATTGCATTATTCAGGAAATATGTTATCAGCTATAGCACTGTGAGAAGTTATTTGAGTGGGTCGAGTGATTTTGAGTGAATAAAATCATCAATCATTCTCTGCTTTTTTAGATTCAGCAAATCAATATTAAAGTCCCTGCAAACGATTAAATATTTTTCTGCCTTTCCAGTAAATAGTTCCTCCATTTTCTCGCTGACCTGATCCAAAGAGCAACTAGGTATTTATATCATTCTATAACAACAGATAATGCATTTTTATACTTTTTACTGTGCATCTCTATTGTGACGAACTCACCAAAACACCCTCTGCTTCTTCAGGTGGCTTTATGAACCATGGCGACATATACAGTATATGAGGGGATGACTCATTCATTTTGCTTTTAATTTGATAATGAATGTTGTTGTTGTGAATTATGCATTGATATATGCATGGCGTATATAATACAGGACTTATTCCAAGCAAATAATCAACACACTTTACAAGCATTGTATGACCATAAACGATAAATGACAAGCTTGTATTACTGAAAAAGAGCCTTTAATTTAGTCTCATCATCCGTCCATTTGTCACAAAGTACATCACCTTAAGACAATCGCAGTGACAGAGAAAGAGAGAAAGATACAAGTCAACCATGCTTACACTTAATCAGGTACATTCATCATGGCAGCAGAAAGGGCAGCAAATATTGGGGTCACTTATATAAAATCTTTTGCTTTGTGAGATGAAGAGTGAGTGTTTGGGAAAAAGAGAGAAAGAACTTGTGATGTTCCAGTTGATGATCATAGTCTCTGTTTAGGCTTTGACCATGGCGGCAAACTCTGAAAGCAAACAAGATTAACAGAAAATTAGAAATAAATATATTTACATTTTAAATGATGAACTCACCATCAACTCCAATCATGCCGTCACCATCAGCGTCACCTGCCTTCAGGAACGTCTTGGTCTCATTGTCGGTCAGAGCCCTGGCCCCAGCAGCGAAGTTCTGCAGGAACAGCCTACACACAACAAAACCTTTTAGAAGTATTCTATGATATTTGTACGACATGCGACTTAGAAACATTATTCCATTCTATTATCTCTTCAACAAGATTTGTGCTTGTCTTCTTGAATACAACTAGTAACTTCTGACAGTGGTTTGAGAAAGTGACAACATCCTGTTGTGATAGAGAACCATGATTCTGTACCACAACAACTTGGTCCGCTTGGTCTGCTTGGTCTGCTTGGTCTGCTTGGTCTGCTTGGTCTGCTTGGTCTGGTTGGTCCACTTAGTCCACTTAGTCCACTTGGTCTGCTTGGTCTGCTTGGTCCACTTGTTCTGCTTAGTCCACTTTGTCTAAAGCATACTGTCATGTAGGAGATAGTGCTTACTTCAGCTCATCCTCCTCAATGAAGCCACTCTTGTCCTGGTCAATGACGAAGAAGGCTTTCTTGACGTCATCTGCGCTCTTGGCAGCCAGGCCGACCTTGGCAAAGAATTCCTTGTGCTTGAAGGAGTCGGCAGCTGCAGACACAAAACACATGTTATTACCCTCTTATGTAATATAATATATCTCAACAGATACACAACCGCGTGCCACACACATCAAATAGACCAGACTCTGAACTGCGTGATTCTCGTTATAAATACACATAAATGTACAAATCCTATAAATATCTAATTATCATTATATTTATGCTGCCTTTCTTATGTCTCGGTCATCTATGTCTAATATTTGCTCTTATTTCTACTCCAATAATGAGTATGTATGTCTGACAGGCTTTACCTGAGCAAGCAGCAATTGCTGCAGTGATGTCAGCATCATTGAGCATTCCGGAGAAAGCCATTGTTGACTGTGGAAGACACGAAAACAGTTGATGAGCGCAGGAACACACACAGATGTAGCTTTGAATCATGCATAAGAATGTATCAGCCCACTGTTCATGCAAATATGTTTAATTCCTTCTTTTTGACTCTTCATTCCCAATCAGAAACGTGGTAAACAAATGTCATCCTTTAGTTTTATTGACAAAAAATTTGCATTGCATCCTGTGTTTCTTGTTTTGACTCCGTTTAGTTCCATGGTAATTCCAAAGTTAGAAAGAAGCTTGTGTCCGCAGTATGATCCCAGGGCTAGAGCGTAGAGAAGCATGAGGCTGAGCAGTGCCCTGCGACACTCACCTTAGGGTTAGCTCTTTATGAACTAAAGGGGAATGAACTCAGATGAATCTGCTCACTGCAGTGACTGTTCCGCTGCCACTGTCCAGCTTATATACTGGTGGAAATATGATGCATAGGCTGTGTAATAGACACTTTGGCAAAGCAGTGGGTCAAAAAAATGTGTCCAGTTGACAGAGCTGTTCTATTTATATGTACATAAATGAAGATGCTTAAATGGAAGGCGACATAGGCTTATGCAAAAGTGCTTTATATCACATCGAGCTAATAATATACTGTATGCTGCTGATATGGACGCTACTTTTCTGCCCTGCTTCATAGACTGAGAAAAAGGTCACTTTTTGACATGACATTCAATGTGATTTTACGATGCCTTCACATCAAATGTGTCATATACCTTCAATACACACCTAACAGCAGGTATCTATAAAACATTTGTTCTGACAATCCTTACAATACTCATGATAATAATGTCATTGGAACAGCCTTGAATCTCAAAGAGATTTTTCTTTCTCTTCACATTTGGAGGCGATGGATGCAAGGCTCCCAGTCTGTTCCATGGTCTCCTCTTCCTCTGTTCATTCACAGATTTGTAATTTATAATACTCCTTTTGGGAAGCAATACTTACTGTCCTAGATTCTTAAAGGAATGCTTGTAAATCAGCTCTTGAATGTGACAGCTGTTGATTGACCAGGTAAAAACTAACCTCTGCTTGGTTTGATGTGTAACATGTTTGAACAGACTTGGCTCGCAGTCAAACATCAGTGATCAGGTTCAGTCTGTGGAGTTTACACATGCATGATATGATTACAACTTATTAGTATTTAAACAAACAACCCTATCACAACATACAATGTATTATATGAACACATCACTGGTCAGAGGACATCTCTGTCCTTTGGAAGTAATGCCAAGTTATAATCATCGTTACAAATCTATATAAGCCTTTTTACAAATGTTGGTGGCATTTCTTTAAGAGAAGTCTTCACTACTGAATGTGGGTGTACAAGTATTATTATGTATCTATACCAGTATATATGGTGTCATTGTTTGGCTAAAATAAAAGGGTCGTCCCCAGTGTGAAGGTTGAATCCAAATTCACTTTTATCAAGCCTCTGAAATGTGTGCTTTGATTTCTGGCTCTGGTCGTATGAGGTCTGTCACCTCAGTTGACTTATCCTTAGATACTGCAACTATTCCTGCCCTTCTTCAATATCAGGTTTATGTTTCAAATATCACAGCGGGATGAGACCCATTAGATATGCTCTGAAGCTCTGTAATACAATATAGACAAGAGCTTTCACTCAAGAAATCGTTTTAAATTCACAAATATCTCAATCTCCAAGATGTGTTTCCATTGGATTAAAATCTGAGAGTCGATCTTACATTTTGATTTTTCAAAATATATCTAAAGTATTTCCCATTGTGTGTTACAGTTCTACCCAAGCTTTGCCTAGGCACACAAAAACTTAAACAAAAAGTTGTGTGCCTCATTTGAAGAAGTCCCGACAGTGAAACATGATCAGTCCATCCTCACAGCTCACCTCCTTTTCAGACGGATCAGAGGATCCTTCCCATGAGTCCTGCACTAGTGCACTTTGTGCCAAGACTCTGACCCACAATGTGTGCCACGGGCTGGGGTTCAGGTTGGACCTGAGCTGATGGACATCTTTGACCTACTTATAAACCTTTGTGCAATTATACTTTAAATGACTAAAATTATGTTTTAAGTTTATGAACATTTCTTCATTCAAAACAGACACATTCCGGTTTGTGATTGAAACTCATTTATCAACACTCGTCAGCTCCCTGCCTGAAATGGTTCATGTTAAAGTAAACTAAACGTGAAAATAGAAAAACAAACTATGGTTGTATTTGGGAACACATGGTTTACTTTATAATGATCGTAGATAAACATGGATTATTTTACATTATCGAGGGTAAAATAACCTTTTTACTTTAGAGGACTTTAGAAGAAATCAAGACATTGTACAGAAATGATTATTTATGATTTATTCATCATCTCAAAAACATGGCAGGGAAAGACAAGTTTTATTGACAATACACTTTTACAAACAGTTCACTTGACACAGCTACTACTCAACGTTACAAGCCGACCCTGAGATGAGACCAGTTTTACGATGACTTGACCAGTGCAGAAAACTCTGTAAACAAATGAACATGTATTTAGTATGCAACACCAAACTATAAAACAAACTATGATTTCTTGTGCGCCCATTTGTTTCTTACTTTACACAATCATACTTTTGTCTCGTGTTTTGAAGCTATGAATAAGCGCCTACCTTCCCAACCAATCTTCCCATCTCCATCAGAATCCCCCTCTAGAAGAAAGGCTCTGGTCTCAGCTGCAGTCAGAGGCCTGGCTCCTTTTGAGAAGTTTTGCAGGAATAATCTAAAAGATACAAACTCAGTTTAAAGACAGACAGATCCTAAATATGCATGAGTGTAACTCACTGTAACTCATCCTGCTCTATGAAGCCACTTTTGTCCTGATCCAAAATCTTGAAGACCCTCTCTATCTCTGAAGGTGTTTTCTTGGATAATCCCACAGACTTGAAAAACATCTTGGGTTTGAAGGAGTCCTTTGCTACAATAGAAAAAAAACACACAAGGGTGAACAAATCAAAACAACATCGAAGCCTATCCGGGTGTAAAAGAGCCAGCTCACCTTTGCATGCAGTAATTGCAGAATTAATATCAGAGGCTGCCAGAAAATCGGTGATAGCCATGGTGGTGGTCAGGGTGTGAGCAGTGAGAGCGGTGACCGGTGGTTTACATGGCTTTGTCAGACACCATCAGTGCCCTTCTGTCTGCTGTCACCTGCAGCTGACCACTTCAGATGTGTGGGTGATTTTTAGAAGACGTGCTTTTACCTTTTGCTCATTTGTTTTCCACAGAGTTTATTTTGTTTGAATAAAACAGCAGTGAGAGAATCCAGGCACAATGTTCGACCCTGTCCTCACCCACTCATATGGAAAAACAAAACAACACCAATCCAATGCTACAATAGATAAATGTACAATGATGAAGGGCTATTTCTATACTTTCATAAAACAGTGCGTAGTGTGTGGACTGTCAATACGTCCTTGCTATTTTCTTTGACCAGACTATGGCCAAACTAACCATAATATGCAGCCTCCATGCTAATATCTGACAGCAGTCTTTAGATGTCTATGTTTTTTGGTGGATTCCCGTCATGGAATGGGATTTGCTTCCTCATATAAAGATTTAAGTGGACCTGCATGTAAAGGGAATTAAAGCAGAAATCACTCAGGGAAAATAAACGCTATCATTCTAAAGAGACACATTACCAACCTAGATTTAGCGAGGCAAAGTAAAATCCCTGTCATCAAATATCACTTTGCAGAAAACCATGCATGTGTGAAACCATCATGTTCACGAACCTCCCTGCACAGTTCGACAGTGGATGTGCAGCTCTTACTGAACGGGAGAAAGCTGCACATCATTCATCAAGGACTAAAACATCCTGCTCAATCCTCAGCAGTGAACTCCCAAATCATATTTTTTTCTGGAGACAAAGCCAGATTTTTGCCTACCTCAGATTTTGTTTGCGACCATGCTCTGAAACCAAATGCTCTGTAAATGATTATGTCTGAAGATCCTCTGCACTGGAGGGAGAGTCAGAGGGATCATGGAGGCACCACACAGTTCCCTTTTACAGTGTTTTATTTCATTCCTTTATGAACCTTAGTGCGATAAGCAGATCATTATGGAAGGTGTCTATGGGTTGTACATGATCCAGAACACGACGGGAAGTCAGTGTAAAGAGCCTTTCATGCACATTTGCTGAAGATGGACAGATGTCTCAAGCACCTGGAGGTGTCAGAGCTGCTGGAGGATGACTCAGAGTCCTTAGTGACCATGTGGGATCCCCACCAATCCACTGGAAACTGGTGGATAACCGGTTCCTGCCAGTTATGACCAGCAAGACTAATTATACAGTTATGTTTGTTTTCTATAATATCAAATTGTACTTGTAATCGCTTGATGAAAACCAGAATATATACGTCCAAAACATGTGTCAAATGATACATGGTCCAGGATGAAAACAGGTTGATCTTTAGGAATGACAACTGTCATGTTGAAATCAAAATTTTTTTAAATTTGTTTTTGTTTTATCCTGTAAACCACTGAGAAGCCTTTTCTTCAGAGTTGGTCATGGATCAGGTCTTAATTGCACCATATTCAAAGGTAGTATATATAAATTACATTATATAAATTATATATATTTCCTATACAAGAGAACAGTTCTTTCTGTCATTAGACATGACAGGTTGGTTTGTGTGTTTTCCAGTTACCCTTCAGTGCGTCAGTGCCGTTAAATGGGAACCAGAATGACGTACTGCAGGTTTCCTCAGGATGGACCCCAAAGTGGCCCGCAATAACCAAAGTGGCCCGCAATAACCAAAGTGGCCCGCAATAACCAAAGTGGCCCGCAATAACCGGCCTGAGGAAAGACGAACCCATCCTCTGCTGCCCTTGTCCATGTGCCGCTCTCCAACTTTATGGTATGAGTCTTGTTTTCAGGAAGATCAGGCTTCCTGCAAGATGGAGCGAGGTGAAGAGGAAGCGGGGGATGGGAGAGAGCTGAAACAGCTGCTGATGTTCATAAAGTGACACTTGTTCATGAATTTGCTCTGAAATGGACTCATTCATAATCAATCAATCAATCAAATTGTATTTATAAAGCGCTTTTCATACATAAGATGCAACACAAAGTGCTTTACAGATTGGTTAAAAACAATCCCGCCGGCCCAAGACCCCTCCCCCAGACCACCCAACAGACCCCCCCCAAACCACAGACAAACACACACACACGCGCTCATGAACACTCATACACACACACACACACACACACACACACACACACACACACACACACACACACACCAGTAAAACAATAAAAACATGATGAGAGACTTGGCAGGGTTCAGATGCAACCAGCTGAAAAAGCGTCATCCAAGGAGCCGTCTGCACCAGGAGCAGAGAGCCGCCCGTAGCCACAGGGGACGACACAGGACCCAGAGGAGACATGAAACCGAGGCCCCAGGCCCCCACCAGGCCCAAGAGTCCGACCCCCGCAGCCACACCGACCACTGCTCCCGGTGCAGAGGGCTCCTCCTAAGAACCTGCTTTTATTTTTCCCATCTCTTTCTATATTTCCCTCTCTCTCTGGTTATTGCCATTTTGGGAACATGGGCAATAGTAACTCACCCTTATGTGTTGCAAGTTGGGATTTGCAGTGGAGTAGGAAAAGAGGTAAGTTTAACCTTTCATATAGTGTCAGTGGTCAGTGTGACCACACCTTCTGCTTGGACTTGTTTTTTTATTGTACTTTAATTGTTTGAATGTATTTATTTTTGTATTATCTTTGTTTTTTCTACTCCTGTGATGACTTATGCAATGATTGTTTCTCTCCGAAGACAATTGAAGAAGATGTGCCAAGTCTGGGATTGCGTCTTTAATTCAGACAGAAGACATGTTTTATTGTCGATGGTAGAGACAGTACGAACAAAACACACGATCACAGATACAAGAGAATGCAAGTGTATTATACAGAGCGGAGGCATGGAGACCTCCAATCAGCAGCTTCCACGGTGCCATGTAGCTTGGCCTTCAGATAGACACAACAAGGGAAAAGTACTGGCTTCTGCACATTGATAGAATGATGAGTTTAACCTTAACAAAAGTTGCTTCAAAGTGTTATGAAATCTCACACAATCAAATATAATCTATTCTTTTGGGAACCCATTTTGAATTGCATTGTTAGGCTGACAGTGGCTCAGTTGGTAGAGCATTGGCCTTCGAGCCTGAAGGTTGTGGGTTCGATCCCACCACGAGATCTACTTCACCGACTCCCACTAATGACTGCTGTCGTTGCCTTGGGCAAGACACTTAACCCCACTTTGCCTGAAGCCCCCACTGAAAGATCAAGGCTCCTGTGGACTCAGCAGCTGCAGAAGGATCAGTGAGGGGCTGGATCTATGTTTATGAACTACAATTAATTTGAAACAAATGCTTCAGTGAACTACAACAGTTTGAGTGAAGAGTTTGGAGCTGATGCAGCCCGATGACATGGGTGTAGAGTTGTAACCTCTATTTGGGACTGGGCGGGGCAGGACTTGAGTCAGTACATTTTGGACTCAAAACTGGCATTTGAAATAGATCAGTCTGGAGGCAGACCAGATGGCTGAGTGTTCATGTGATAGAAGAGGAGATTGAAATGGGTTAGAGGGGTCTGGACTCTCTCTCTCTCGAGCATTACATTTGAAAGTCCTGGTGACATAATGGATGCTGACAACCTACATTTTTAAAATAACAAAATATATCTCTGTTACAGAGCAGGCATGATTCTCACTGGGCTGTATATACAAGAGTTTTAGGTAAATGATAAACTTGTGGCTTGAAGATGAAGCTGTGTGATATAGCCTCCTGGGCAAGCCCGACTCATAAATAGATATTTATGTACTGTATATTCCACTGCCAACCTCATCACATTCAAGATTAGCCTCTGAAACATATCTTATCTGATCAGAGAGCGGTGTGCTGGTGTGTGAGAATGAGAGCTCTCTCAGCGAGCGCTCAAACCAGCTATTCCATAAACACTTTCCACTTGTCATGGAGTCCCTGCCTGCTGTGGGTGTTGGTGTGTGGGGTTCAAAAGTCTGGGTCAGGGCCACTCTTTTCAAAAAGCTTCATTCACCAAAGCCCGCCCTCATGTAAAGTCCTTCATTTCTCACAATCAGCGCCATCTTTCATGTATTTTCATTTTCTCTTTGTTGAGTTTTGGAAATAGATGAGACTTTGTGCCCTTTAGAGGGGACAGAAACAATCAGTGCAAGCATAGACTGGCTGCACCAAACTTATTCATAAACAAGGCATTGTTCTGACATATTTCTCCATGATTCTTTTCAGTTTACATTCACTTTGATAGGATTTGTGCTTGGACTTGAGTCTTGAAGACCTGGCCATAAACTACACAATACTGACCCCTAGTGGAATTTACAGTTTTGAGCAAATAAATAAAAAAACAAATACTTAAAAGTCTGCATCTAGGAATTTTCTAATTGTTGTTAGAATGCATATTGAGAATAGATCACATATGCACACTAGATTGTAGGTACATTTGATTTTGAATGAGGTGCATTGCATCAGTCGTAGTCTGGTGGATGTGTTTACTAGGAGACATCCGTCCCTGCCAGATCTGTCCTGCTGAATGTAAACAAGATGCTGCATGTAAATCAGCCTTGAGATGGATTTTACATGTTGAAGGATGGGAGTAGCTAATGGGTCGTCCAGCAGGAACGATCACCCCCTTTCACTACACGGGCCTCCTGAATCTGTCTGTCTCAAGCCTGTCTATCTCTGCCACACTGTGCAGCCCACACTTGTCCCAATAAGGCAGTTCCCCTTAGCACTAGTGTTTCTTTGGGCACCGGCCCCAGTCTGGAGTGGACTGTACAGCAGGTGGACCCCTGTCATCAGAGCCTCACACATTTGAGACGTGTCCAACTTTTATGTCGTCATATTAAAGGACTCTCAGTCAGCAAACACTTACAGACCTGATAATCTCCAACAAAATGAACTAACTCCTCTCCTGCTTTATGCTGATTGGCAACACATTAGTCTGAACTACATGTAAAGGTGGTTATCTTAAAAGTAAACAGCAGCGCTACTGTGTGTCTCCTCTCTGCTAAAATGTGTTTTATTACCGTTAAAGCACGCACCCTGAGCAAATATGTACACAAGACTGATATATTTATGCTATGTTTGGTTTCAGTGTCAGCTTTCACGCCTTTAACCCTCCTGTGTCCAAGCAAAGCCCTGAACTGGACCCTTATTACCCAGGGTGCTTCACAGTGGCTCATTCTTGGGACAGTGAATTGAAACACTTGAGCCCCATATGTCCTCTCCGAGAATAAGCCTGATGTTCTCACGTTACCATCTTGTCACGGACTGGTCGGTGTCACTTAGCTGTGTGTGCCTTGATATGGTGATTCTGTGGCTGTGGGAGTAAAGAAATAGTGTCCATCATTTCCTGGCATGTACAGTGCAGGTTACAATTTAATCAGAACAGGATGAAAACTGAGAGCTTTCCTTGTTTCTCTCTATTTACTGAGTGCAATGTTGTTAAGGGAGTAAATGTTGTATTGAGCAGTATGTTAGGTAGTATATTGTAACCTTTAAGAACTTCCTCAACCATTTGCTAGATCACCTTTAAAGTCAATATGTCTACTTTAAGAATGCTTGGAACGGAAATCTACCTCTTTGGGGCATATCACTTGGTTTTAAGGCACTTTTACCATCAAACTGCAACTCAACCATTTGGTAAAGGCCTATAATAATAAAAAAATAGGGGTTAAAAATATATGTATTTGTGTTGCCGGGGCTCCCACATAAAAAAAAAAAACATTGCTTTCTTTAATGAGTGAATGTTAAAGGGGTAACCACCTGAATCTGAATCTTGAATAGGATGGAAAAGTCTACATTGCAAAAAATACTGATTTGAACGTGTACTATAATTAGCTTTAGTTACAATTTCAGTGGAAACATTGGGGACTGATCTATTTGATACAGTTGCAGTTAAGCTAATGGAATATGAGTAAGTCGCATCAATCATATCAAAATAGAATGTGTTAGAAGCTCGCATGTACGGCTGGTTCCAGTGAGAAGAAAGTTGGAAATGAGCCTATGAGAGATCAGAGCTGCATCCTGGAGACAGAGAACAGCAATATCACAAAACGGATCCGAAATCAAACTTTCAGCACCGTCGCTCCGTCTGTTTCTCTGCTTCCTGGAAACAACATCTCGGTGCTGTGTGAGTGTGTGCAGCAGAACTCCAGCATCAGTGATTTTGTTGCCAGAGAGACGACTGTGTCAGCAAGAAAATCCTACAAATGCTTTACACTCTACGTATGCGCACGTTTCACATGGACACACTCAAATCTGACAGGTTTGACTCGTGTTTGGAGATTTAGTTCTGAGATGTCTGAAGAGCGACATGTAAACAATAAGTTTAAGGCTCCTGACATGTCCAGAAAGTTTAAATGTTGTTATTTATATTTTATCTAATATTTGTATCACACTCAATGATATTAAACAAATTCACAAGAATGGAAGAAAAGTCCTAAATCTAAAGACAGATTTATCAAAATGTAAAAACATCTTGATATAATGATTGTCACCAGTTCATCCTGTAAGTGATAGATAATAGTTTATCAATAGCCTTAATAGTGATGTCACATTGTTTTCTGCTATAACAGGGTTTTATTAACCTTTCATTGCATTTCAGTCCAATTGTGTAAATGTGTCAGGTGTTTATGACAGCATATGATGCGTCACTTTGATCAGCTGAGGTGCACTGGAGCAGCTCATTGATCAGGACTGTGCGAGAGTCGGCTGCAGCTCCCTCCCAAGTCCCGTAAACTGAGCTCTCTGTCCGTCCACCATTTTCAACCTTCACTCCACCTCTGTCCCATATCCTCCTCCTTCTCTCCTTACCCCCTCCTCTTTGAACACTTGTTATATATATATGTACATAGATACATATCTATATATATATATATATATATATATATATATATATTTATATTTTGCTCTTCGTGTTGCCTTTTCTACAATACTGGATGTTTGCCTGTACTTTGAATGGAGTGCTCTCAGAATGCAAGGTAGGCGTGTCCTTTTCTTCTGTGTTGCACCGTGATACAGCATTAAATCTTGTTCTTGCTTTCGACAGAGTCTAAGTGCTTCAGTGATGGAGACGGGGTAGAGTGGTTTAGTCAGAGCAAATGCACTGATGAGAAGATGACAAAAAGGTAAGAATAACTCTGTAGCCTAGAATTAAATGTAGAAATGCTGTTCTGATCTTGTCCCTTCGAGAGCGCACCTGTTACACAGGAGAGAGTTACTCCTTTAGCTACAATGACCTGCTTGCTCTGTGCACTTTCTGTGTGCGTGTCCATTGGCTTACTCTACGTCACATTGATTGTGAGTCACCTCCTCCTTCCTGTCAATGGTCGACTGGTTGCTTAGTAACCTGTAAGCGTTAAAAGTTTCCTGTTGCGTCATTGTCTGCTTGGATGGCCGGGTCCCTATATTTATTCATGCATAAAAGCAAGGGGACATGTGAACTGTTTGCAATTTCATGAAACAGACATCAGATTACATTCGTGTGTCATGGGGTTAGTTCCAGACAGCATAATGAAGTGCTAAAAATAGGTGCTTGGAGAGGGCTGTTTCCAATAAAGGATTATCTGATATTGTATCACTCAATTGAAAACATTCATTATAAGATCATGTTGAATTGAATGTACTTGATGGCATTAAAAGCATTATGCATCGTAGGTTCTATTGTTCATACATGTTTTTTCACTTACACAGTCTGAGCTGAAAGTCTTCTCCAAACTCAGATACAGTCCCTTCATGTCCTGGGTCTTCCCAGGGACCATCTCACTCTGGGACTTCCCTCCAAAACATAACAGACCCTTTCATCATGGATGAGCAGAGGCTCCATTTCAAGATAGATAAAGTGACATTTAGTGGACATTCTGAAATTGCAAATTGCACATGATTGCAATATTTACTAATAACAGATGCAAGGACATGTTCAGGCTCAGCAGCTCTCAGTGTACAGCAGACTTGGCCCCGTGACCCACAGAGCGAGACCAACAGGACGACATCCTCTGCAAACAGCAGAGATGAAGTCCTGTGGTCCCCAAGCTGTACCGCTCTGGCTGCACTGAGAAATTCTGTCCATAAAACAGCGAACAGAACCAGTGACAAAGGGCCGTGAAGGAGGAGACCGTGCACTGCAACTGCTGCCTCACTGCTCCTACTGGTCACACCAGGAGGCTCTCAGCGCAGAGCCCTAAGAAACATCTGGACGACTGAGAAATTAAAGAACCAACACTGTCAACCACTTATTCTATGTTTAAGTAAATGTGAACAGGATCAGCTAATCATATTTAATTTGCTTTTCCTCAGGGATGCTAAGGTTCTCCTAAGGATATCCAAGGGTCACATGGTCTCAGATGAAAGTGGACGGTCTTTCTCCTGCCTTCATGACTGCACACACTGTTGGACCAACAAAGGAACACAACAATCCACAGTGTGTCCTCACAAGGCTCTGGACTCGTGCACAAATCCACATATATCACCGCTGCTACCTTTCATAAACTCATATCCATGGGCAGACTTGACCAACGCCACATATGACGTCTATCATTCCTCAAAGAATTTAAACTGCAACTCAAAGGAGATGGTTGTGATTCTTTATAAAGATCAGTTCTGTGCTCAGTCTGTGTATGATGCTGGGACTATGGGGATCACTGCACCATCTGTGAATGAGGATGTAGAACATTTAAAAACACCTGATGTTCCCAAAAACAAGAATAACAATCTTAATCATGTGATCAACAATGACAACAGTGACATTTGTGAAGAAGTGAAAATCAAGCCCAGACTGAAAATAAGAAGGAAGAGCGTTTCCTTTGCTGATGATGTCATAGTGTATCTATATGATAAGGTAATTATATCACGGTAATATTGGCATCATTTTAGTATTTTTTTTTCACAATAACACAAAACAAAAACCTGCTTAAAAGAAATATATATACATTATTCCCATATTTCCAGGACAGTCCCACGGTTAGGATGGACCCAGACAGCAGCTCCTCTTCAAATCCTCTCACAGAAGTCCTGCATGATGACAATAGTGAGTTAATTACTGCAGATATTTCCCTGTAGCTAACTAGACTTAAGGGTGGGACACCGGTTTAACAATCATTAATGTTTGCTAGCCTTGCCCCTCTGCACTGTAGGCTATTAGCTCTTCCTTGCATTAACATGTTTGTTTGTGTTGCCTCTAGGCCTGGAGTGGGAGGATGACTTTTTAGCTTTGGAGAAAAACTGTCATCCTCAGACTCATCTGGAGCCTTTCACCTTCAGGTCTGCCAACGCAACCATTCCCAAGCGCCAGAGTCTGGTCCTGTCTCAAAACTGTCTGTTCCTCACACATATTTCTGAGGCCGACTTGGAACCATAAGCTCAGACCAATAATGTTTTTGTCATCAGCAGTCACCATGGCCTGCTCTTCCACAGGTTTTACATCCACACAAACAGCCTTGGCATAATGGAAAACGGTGGCACTGGCTTTCCTCCCCCCACTGCTCATCTCCTCTTTTATGGTGACTCAGGCTTTTTAATAGTGCCCCACCTGCTCCCGCTCTAACCCAAATGGATTCAAAGCACCTGCTGCTCTTGACATCACAGTTTTCTTAGAGGCAGGATCAGTGAGAAAGACATAATAGGATGCTACAGGATGTTGCGTAAGTTGGAGGTGATAAAGGGTCACATGCCACTCTTTAGGGCAGGTTCCAAGCCTAACAAAACACAAAATCATGCAAATATTCAATGAATGTATTATAGTAACAAGACTTAATTGTGATGAACCTAAATGAGCATCTTTGACTGAATTGTATGTGTCAGTAATAACTGGTAATAACAAGCATTTTAACACGCATTTGTCTGTAATAAAGTGACAAAATGTTTCATATTTGTCTGCTTTTTGTCCTTTGATCTTGTCCACTCCATGTTACTGCTACATTTGTGAATACCACGTAGGACTAGTCTTACTAAATTGTGTAGTTGTTTTTGCTCAGCTGTGGCTAAATAAACAGTTTAGGGCCTGTGGGCACCAGAGGCAGAAACTGAACAAACTAAGTAACAGATAATGTTTCCACTGCCTGCAGCATGCATCGATGAGGTGAGTGTGATTAGATAGACCACAGTGGAGCTGCAAAGAGCTGAGGAAAGCTGCCAGCTCCATTTGTAGTGTTCTCACACACTGTTCAAGGACAGACCTCTGGCAGCAAGTGGAGCTGGGAGCAAGCACCTGTAACACTGCTGCTGAGGCACTGTGTCACTATAAACTTTACTCAATAGGAAAATACAGCAGGTGCCGACCACGGTAAAGCAGTAGGTTATTGATACTTGTCAAGAAAAGTAGATTAGATGGGGCAGGCCACTTTAATTGTGGAAATTATAGTGTTTCAGAACTGGTAAGATTGTGGCGCTGTTTCATTGGGAACTAATCCCAACTTCTGTTTGAGCCCTAGGTCAAACACACAGTCTGTGTTGACTCACCTACACCACATTTACCACTAGGACCAATAGGACGTTACAGTAACTGGTCAAAACAAAACAAAAACTCCCCGAATTAAACTTCAAGGAGTTGGTAAAAAGTGCAAGATATCTTGGCTAAAGTGTGTTAAATGGCGTGTGGAAACAATCCTAATCTAACTTGATCATTTCTTTTAGAAACACGGTGGTGATAAGAAACACCTCTCACACTTATGCTGTTTGAAACATACATAAACATACATAGATTGGTCAATTAACCTAAATGTCTAATGTATTTTGACACAGAGCAGGTGGGCGGGACCTTGCCATGAGCTCGCACTGTGATTGGTGGAGGAGAGCAACGTGTTCCTCAGTCAGTCCCGTCAGTCCCAGGCAGGTCCCAGGTAGCGCTCATCATGTGCTCAAGTGATCAGCGTGCGTCAGTGCCCTGTGCTCTTCATCTACAACATTTTAATATCTGATTTTCAGAGCCTGCCTAATGTGACTCTCTCCCGTTGTCAGACCAGCGGAGGGACCTCAACTCTGATTTAAAGGTAAGGCCATTTTATACATTACCACCGCTTTCTGTCATTGTGGAGTTATTATCTTGCATGTTTATTTTGTGTCAGTTTCTTGGTGAAGTGCCACCTGCAAACAGTATCCTTTATCCAACTGCCACTCTTTGACGGATAAACTATTCTCTTGACAATGGAAAACAATCTTAAACAAACTATTTGAAATTGCATACACATTCGAAAACTCTTGTCTATTATCATACACGCTTTGAGGAGGTCCCATCATGTTCTCGAAAGGAAACAGTTTGTTTTGGTGGAGAACAGTGCAACCTTGAAATAGGCACTATCTCAAAAGCACTGGGATAAGGAGAGATTACAGCCAACATCATGGCGTTTTCACACTGCATGCGCCTGATTACATTCAAAAGGATGCAGGCCTGTTTGAACTGGAGGAGGCTCTCTTTGGCAATTGGCAATATTGCCCCTAACCTAATCTGCACAAACCTTATTTAAATTAGTTAACCATTGTGGTGTTTTATTTCAGGTTTTTGGACTTTTCAAAGGGACCACGATGAAGTCCAGAGCAAAAGCTGGAAAGTTGACCTCAGAGCCCTGGTCTGACCCAGAGCCAGAGCTGGAGGCAGACACTGAGGCAGCATCCAGTGAACCGGAGGGCTCAGAAGACTCCTGGAGAGGCTCCTTGAGAAGTGGTGGCCCCAAACGAGGAGGCCGGAGGAGGAAGAGATCACACGGCACCAGCTCAAAGGAACGCAGCGTCCGACGTCTAGAAAGCAACGAGAGGGAACGACAGCGTATGCACAAACTCAACAACGCGTTCCAAGCCCTGAGAGAAGCCATCCCACACGTGAAGACGGACAAGAAGCTGTCCAAAATCGAGACCCTCACACTGGCTAAGAACTACATCAAAGCCCTGACCACAATCATTCTGGACATGTCAGGAGCCTGCTCCCCCAACAGTGCCGAGCAGGCAGACAGCAACGCGGCCAAACTGCTGCAGTGTTATCAGCAGCACCTGGAGGAAGAGGGAGAGGAAGATCTCACACAGTACCTCACTCAAATACACCGCAGCCTCAGCCAGGACAGCTAACCCCCAGACAATCTGCAGATGAGAGCAAGGGGATGATGGACAACAGTTACAGTTACAATGTAGGAAGACATACTTTCATTTTCTGATTATTGTTTAGAGCAGAAGGAAAAGCAGACGGACCAAAGCACATGGCAGCCACCGACCCGGAGACTGAAGAATTGTAGCAGATCGCTCTCATACAATCATTTCTCTCACTATTAGATACACTTTTCTTTGGAGCTGTGATCCGGGAGTTCTATGTGTGCTCAGTTGCAAAACCGGCTTCAGATACCCTCGAGATATAACTGTCGTGTTTTGAGCAGAATATATGTAAAACAAGGACACACTGGAAATGGATTTTGCCAAACTCAATATTGCCAACCATCGTCACACTTTACAGATGCATGTTTTTATTGTATATTGAAAAAATGATTTCTGAAGACACTTTTATTAAATAAAACATAATTTATTTGTCAACAGCTCACATTTTTGCTTTGCCCTCTGCACTTGGAACGTCTTTACTGACAGCTCTTCAACACAATTTTCACATCCTCATTAATGTCCTGTGCAGTTTCAAGTAGTGTGATCATAATTAGCTGTAATATTTAATTTCATGATAACATAACATCCCGTTAAAAATAACCTCAATAACAAAAATATCTTTTAATAACACCTAAAATAATGAACTATTAGCAGTAGTCATGCACGTTCTCCTGAGAAGGTGAAAGCCAAACTTTCTTTGAGTCCATCATTCCTGTGTTCAGCCTCAACTCACACCAAAACATAGATTGCACATAGTTGTGTGAAATTGTGGTTTTCGTGCTTTTATCATATTTAATTTTCATTAGCTCATGAGATTTCAGTGGAGCTCCAGTGACTCAGTGAATAAAATACAGCAGTTTACTAAACTCTTCTGAAAGGTTCACTGGCTTCTCATTTGCTGCTTGATTTTCTGGCCTTATTGTACTCAGTAGTGACCAGAAAATGATTGCAATACATAATAAGGGCAACACAATTACAGAAAGAGATCCCACATCAACATAGGCATCACATTGTGATGATAAATTAATAAATAATAAAAACAGTAGTGAAAGCAGTGACAGAAGGTCCAAAGTACAGAGGCAGGAGATGACCACAGGTAAAGTTTTAGGACAGAGGCGTGTGCCTCGTTTATGAACTGCCCTCTTCATTTCCATTGATCTCTCTGCTCCTGACGGGGGCTGGGCTCCTGCTGGGTGTGAATGATGAGTTTGTTAAAGATGGTAGATGAAAACGAGGTGGATCCATCGCATTTCCTCTGACAGTGATGTGATCCCAGCCTCCCTATAAACGTCACATGAAACAATCCAGTTTATGTTACAGGCCACATTTCACCTCGTATCTACATACACATGCCCTAAGTACATGTATGTGTATGTATGTTTGTATGTATGTATGTGCCCTTACCCCTATGCCATAGTCCCAGGTGTGTCCCTTCGGCTCAGTTGGTTGAACCCCAAGTCTGTGACACACAGTTCCACAGCTCAGACTGTGACTTCCCTGGACCTTGTCTGCGATGATCCAAACCTTGGAATTCAACATTTGTAAAAGCGATGTCATTGTAAAACACTTAAATGAAAGAGAATAAGTTATACCTGGTCCAAAGGCCCGATGCTGACTTTGCGCACATTATTGGAGATGTGTTCCCAAAATGAGCCCTGAGGGTAACTTGGCGCCACACCCTGTCTGTACCACAGGTTTCCTAATATGTCAAAGCACATGATTTCTTTAGTTGCACAATGTTTCACTGACGATTAGAAGCTCAAACATTGATAAAGAGATTACCATTTTCATCCACTGCATAGACAGAGGTTCTGCCTACAGAAACTTGCTTCAACTTCTGCTTGGCTGGAGAAGGGATGTGGTACCAGCTGTCGCCTGCAGATGGAGACATGAAGACAAGATCTTACAGTGTTTTTAATTCATGAGTTTCATAAGTGAAGATTGAAGTACTTAAAACAAATAAACTTCTATTCTATAAAATGTGTTTATTTCTTCTCAGGTAATTATTACCTGCTGGGTTCTCAGAAGAGACCGCTCCTCTGTAGAAGGCTGAGCCATCTCTAGCAATAGCCCAAACCTGACTGACTGCTCCAATGGAAACAGACTTAAATGGCTGATCTGTACCAACATGAAGCCACGAGGATCCCTGCACCAGGTATAAAGTCACATTAACAGATTACATTCAAAAATACTTTCACAATTTATGCCAACATTACAATAATTAAATAAACTGATTAAGCAATAACGAACTTACGGTGGGGGTGAGTGCCGTGACTCCCAGCCGACACAGAACATCTCCCTTGTTGCTGATGGCCCACAGAGGGACCACCTCCACACTGCTTTGTGCAGCACATGGCAGGATGGACACGTCGCTCAATGGGATGGGAGGAATCTCCACCCATGGGCCTGTGGTGGTCAGTTTACACTTTCTGCAAAATTATGCTTTTCAGTTATTATAAGTCTTACAGAAAAAGGTAGTTTAAAAAAAAAAACAGTAGTACCTGGCCCATCGTCTACGCCGCACAAAGTCCTTCATTGTTTTATAGCCATGATATGATCTAAACGTAGAACAGACATGTGAAATGGTAAGTGACTGCATGTATTTGTTACAAACTACACATTAACATTACACACAATAAAAACATGGAAACTCTTACACAGGAAAGTCAGCAGCGTACTGCCATCCCTCTTTGTCTGTGCCCCCGGAGATGCCGTAGTCGATGGCCCAGTCTGACACCTTTATTAAGATAAAGATACAAGAAATTAACTTCAAACGAGAAAAAGACACACACTGCCACTGTGCCTTGTGTTTACCCATGTCCAATGAGGAGAGGGAGGTTTGGTATTTGTTTTGGTGCACTCATGCAGTCCAGAAGCATCACTCCACATGTAGCGGTCCGTAGGTAAACCTCTAAAATATATACATTTATAATGTTGTAAAATGACACATTTAATCACATTTATTGACAAGAACAAAGTCTGTACAAGCTTTCCTTCCATGTCATCAACATATTCCTTAAAGGAGCAATATATGTAAAAATCTGGCCAAAAGTGGTACTGCAGTCACAGACAATATTTTGTAGTCCTCTCCCACTCTCCCTGACTCAGGTTGCCAGATACACACCAAATCCAGCAGCAAACACAGGGAATTATTTTATCAGTTGTTTGTCTCTCACATTGCCATGAGCCGTGCTAATTTTTTTTTTTTTTTTTTTTTAGTTTATTTATTTAAAAGGGACCATGTACAATTATAACATAAATGTTGCCATTTGATGCATTGCACCAGAGTTAGCCTGAGGCTAATTTACATCTGCAGTCCCTGGCAGGGAACGGACGACCCATAACAGAAAAAAGACAAGATTCACAAGACAAGGGGTCGACCAGGAAAGACAAACCACATACAACATTACAGATTCATAAAACCCAGACAAGACACATCAACAACACAAATACAAATACAAATACAGACAAATAAGTCAGTACCAGAGGGTAATAAGGATTAATGTTGAATTAATGTTCGGATTGATGATTTTTTTATTAAAAGCAATGCAATTATACATAGATTATGCAAAATAAATAAGCAATTGATGTCCAAAATAGGAGTGGGAAGAATGGATGTTGGAACATATTTCTTCAGCGTATCAACATCAGGGTTTCCTCCAGAGGATACACCCTTCAATTTTATTTATTTCCTGTTTTTTAGACATACATGTATAAGTCTCACATCAAAAAGAGACTAACATAATAATAATTTTCAAATATCTCGGCTGAACTACTGTTATCAGTTAAAGATGTATTTGAAAAGAGCATGATTTAATAACACCTTTTGAAATATTGGGGCCATTTAATGATGACTTGACATGCAAATATTACATACTGCTACTTTAAAGTTATCACACTATTGAGGCTGCTATGAATGTCTAATCATATTTCTATTGGTTGTTATTTCTTTTGTATATTATCAAATTCCATGTAGGAAAAGCACAAACCTGCTTGTGTAGCCAGTGACAGGATTCCACCTCTGGTTTTCATATATAAAAACGCTCTTCACGTCAGTCTGAGTGTAGATATTGTCTGTACAGCTGGGTAATCCCTGAAGGAAGCCCCCTCCGTATCCTCCGGTGTGGGCCCAGGCAGTGTGGTCGAAGCCAATGCCCCAAACAATACCCACACTGTTACACTCCACTGTGCGTAAGTGCCCACCAACCTGCCTCCAGAACCTGCAACCAGAGACAAGTTATGACAGGATACAAAAACACCCATCTGAACAGTTCTAAAGCAGCCCACGTGACTTACATCTGGTCACATGGTGTAGGATAGGGCATGGCCTCCAGAGCAGGAGAGGGCTCACTCACAAAGATGTCCCCTTTACATGTGATTGACCAAATGGCCTGCTTTGAGGAGGGGCCGTGGATCCCCCTGGAGTCACAGCACGACACGCTCAGTAACGCCAGCTGTTGTGATGTCATTAGAAAGTGTTTTAATACACAAATATAGTACCTAAATCAACATATGTACATATTATATGCATAACATTGTAAGATTACCCAGTCATGCATCTCCAGCTCTGTAGCTGCAGCCAGTCTGATGGGCCACCTCTGTTTGGTTCTCTCTGGGGTGTAGATGGCAAATGTGTGTTTGGAGTCATTGAGCACAGGAACCAGGATGGTGACCTCGTTGATGAAGGCATGCAGATACTGGAGGGGGGAGTCAGTTTCAATGAATATTGTATTTATCCATATAATGATTGAATTCTCTAAAAAGGCTATTCCTAAATCCTCACCTTCTTCTCTTCATAAAAGTTGTAGTAAATAAACAAGATGCCATCCTTGTTTCCATCTGGTCCAGAGAACTGCTCCAAAGCAAATTGAACATCGATCCACTTATAAGGTTTCCAATCTCTCCACCATTGCATCGTTCCCTTCTTCACCCAAACCGACTGTTAAACGGAGTCCGGCAAAGAAGACATAGAAGAAGATATTTGTAAATATGTAGATCTTCAGGTATTCTACTCTTATTACATAATCATATCTCACCTGCTCAACCGCTTGTTCATAATGCCTGAAATTATCCATTTCTCTTTTTGTCCTCTCATTCAGTTGTTCAAAGACCTGCTTTCGCCAGGCCGCTGTCTGGGCTGGAGTGACGGACAGGCTCAGGGTCTGCACCGACTGAGCCAAAGCTGAGGCAGGAATAACAAACACAACATGCAGAAGTCAACTATTCTGTCGAGAGGCTTTCTGAGTGAAAAATATATGTTTTTTTTGAGTTGAACTGAAATGTGCCTTAGTGGTTTGTAGTATTTACACTTGTAATTAAAGAATGAATTTGATAATGTGACAGAGCTTCTCCTTGACTCACATGATGTGTTCTGGGGGCAGTTGAACCAGTTGAGGTGGGAGTGACAGTCCACATTGCATGCTCCAGCACTGACCCAGGCCCACAGTGGCAGCTCCTCAATGGTGCTGGGATCCTCCATGGCCAGAGTGTATGTGACGACTGAAGACAGGCTGCAGGTGTCAGCCCCATCCGGCACGAGGCCCTGCGCACTCTGCCCTTCCTCCAGGTCCACATTGCTCCACTGAGAGCCCCCAGGCCTCGTGGGCTGAATGGGGGACAGGGCTACCTCTGTCAGTGTCACTTCACTTGGAGCTGGTTCCTCTTCCAGGGCAGGAGCGAGAGGAAGCTGGATCTCTTTTGAAATGTTCCCTGGCACTCGGTCAGACACAAGCTCAGAGATGAAGCTATCACTGGTGACTTTTGGAATACGAGGCTTGAGAATGTCGGGTGGAGGGTCAGATGAGTCTGTGGAAGCATCACACAACGCCTCAGTGGAGATGGCTGGTCCCTCTGGCAGTGCTCGCTCTGGTTCAGATTCGGCTTCACTTGCCACTGATGGAGCACGTACTTCACCAGTAAAGAAACATCCAGCACTGTGGGACAGAGAGGTATGTTATAAACCACGACAGACAGGAGCTGCTCTATCACACGGAGGCCGAACACTGAATTACATTAGCAACTCCTAAGTGGAAGCAGCTTTGACATGACAACAATTTATCTCCGGCTTCATTATTGAGTTAGGCCACGGACAGTACCTCTGCAAACTGCTGCCACTGGCGCTGGAGTGAGAGCGCTCTCCTTCTCGGGGAACACTGATGCTTTTCCAGGTTTTTCCACTGAGTTCACTTGCAGTCACACCCTGTCTGAAATACACGGATCTATCCTCAGAGCTGATGCCCCACACCTAACAATCAGACGCAGATTAAAGCAAATAACAACCTGGTCATTTGTATTTAAGGACTTGGGAAATATGAACCTGGTCATTGAGTCCCACGGTGACCATCAACATTTCCCCCACCATGTTGATCCAGCCAGAGCCACAGGGATTATGGGAGTTTACTCCACGCCTGAACCAAACCTTCAAAAATAAACAAGACAGTGTGATCTCTCATTCGCCCAGGAGTCCGGACTGATACTGGGTTCAAAAGGCTTTAAAACTACTCATCTTGACTACAATTTGTATATTTAACGAAATTGTCTGAGATCAAACCAATAAAGAATTTATCGACTCAAACAATCTCCTTTCTGATCTGATGTAGATGTTTAGAAACATTTTCTGCCATGCTGCTGGAGTGTATGCGCCAGACAAACATAAACAATCTCTTGTTTACCTTATTGTCTTTTGTAACTGCCCACACAACATTGGCTCCCACAGCCACATGTATGGCTCCCACATCTGGGCTTGGAGAGTCCACCACAGTCCAAAATGAACCTACAAATGATTAGACATGAATACAAATAAAAGACATAAAGACACATGTTCTGTGCTTAGGTGTGCACCTTTAGGACAGTCCCGCCCGATCCCTTCCCTCACTATGAACTGGCCTTCCCACAGCACAGCCCACACCAGGTCCCCAGGGCCACAGCTGATCTGGACCACCTCTCCAGGGAGCTGCAGCTCCTCCCAGCTCGAGCCCTCTGGGCTGTGGTGATAGATTCCCTCTCTGAACCACACCTGGACACCAAACAGAGATAAATAATGACATTGTAGCAAAAACCCAAAGAAACATACAACAGTGATGTTTATAATATGCAGAAGTATTGCAGAACTGCCGTGCTTTGCTGAGGTTGGAAAACAACAAGTTCACATACGTAGATATAAGCTTGTTGGGATCTATTTGCACTTTCCAATCTGGGTGTTGGCACGTTCAGAACAATGCATCAAAATGCTGACTCCACAATCTAATACAATAATAACAATAATGCATTGGTTTTATACAGTGCTTTTCAGGACACTCACGTGTTGTTTTTCATTCACTCCATACAGTGGTGATAAACCATTAGTGTGGCCGCAGCTGCCCTGGGACAGACTGACAGAAGTGAAGCACCAGTATGTGCCATTGGCCTCTCCAACCACCACCAACCATGAAAACACACACCAGACTCTTTCTCTGTAATTTGGGTGAAGTGTCTTGCCAAAGGACACAACAATTGACACTACAACTACAGCCGCCCACTGTGGCACCTGGGTTCTCAGAGGTCTCCCATCACAGTACTAACCAGGCCATGCCCTGCACAGCATCAGAGGCCTGACAGGATCGGGCTTTCACATGCAAGTTTGGCCATAACACAAATGGAACAACTTGAAATAATGGACTAATAAAAATCTAAAATGAGTTGTACTTTGCCCTGCAGGGACACAGCCCACAGTGACAGGCGTCCGCGGGGTTCCTCAGTGATGTCCCAGCCTCCGCAGCTGATGTCATTAAAGGGGTCTGGTAAAGTTGTCTGCTGTGAGGGAATCTATACGGAAATGAGGAGACAAACAGTTAAGATGAATGAACAGTTAGAGCAGCCTCTTAAGTGCACCTTGGCCCACGAGTCCATGGCTTTGTATCTTCTGTAGCGTAGCCAGCGCCTGCGACGGACACAAGAGTTCCACTTCTTATCTTTTGTGTAGTTAGCAGGAAAGTCGATGGAATAGGTCCATCCCTGGGAAAGGTCATAGACGAACACTTTAGTAATAGTTTAATCTTTGCATACTTTCTAACCCCACAACCCATCTCTGTGTTAGTGTGGACAGAAAACTTTCTGGACCATTTTACTAACCAGTATTTTTTAATGAAGAATTCAATTCATTACAAAACTATCAAACTCACACCAACATGGATGTTGGATTCTATTCATATATTTTTTCCATGTTATATTCTGATGTAGAAAAAATATGCGTTTACAAAATAATCACAAACCTCTCTTTCTGTGGGCTCTCCTTCAAAGTTCTCGTCTAGAAACCAGTCGCCCTCCCACTCCCAGCTGCTGGAGGGAAGCTGGAACCCGTGTAGAGGCTGGTGCTGCAGGCCGCTCACATCACTCCACTGCCAGCGGTCACTCGGCAACAGGCGCTCAGAAAAACCATCCACTGGGTTCCACCTCTGTCAAGACGCATCCATTTATGTTGGAAAATGTGTTGGATCAGATATAAGTTCAGAGTAAGCCTATGTCCTGATTGGGCTTCTCAATGGCCGTGTTAAAACCTAGCTGACCTGCTCTAGTGTAATAGAGCCTTAACAACACTATATAGTACAACGCTGAATACACACGGCTAAAGTCACCCACCTGATTCTCATAGGTCTCCTCCTGGAAGCGCACAGGCAGGTCAGATGCATGAACGTTCAGATAAATGTTGTTGTCACAAGCGATGCCCCAGCAGCACTGCTGAGCCGCGGTGACCCGTTTGAACTCCATTTGGGCATTTCTGCACTGGTCCCACTGTTGTCCCACTGTGGACAGACTGTACACCCGCCCATGGACGTCCACCGCCCAAAGCAGAGAGATGGGCATGGTTCCACCTGGAAAAGAAACTGTGAGAATCTGAACTGTGTAACCAGTCTTCAAGCATTATACTAAACCACAGCATGTCCACAAAGCCTGTATGAGCAGTGTGTGGTCACTGATGCACACACTGCAGTGTTTTTGTTTGTACCATCCACGGCCTGCACCTACAGCAGTGTGTGTGTGTGTGTATATGTGCGTGTGTGTGTGCGTGTATATGTGCGTGTGTGTATACGTGTGTGTGTATGTGTGCGTGGGTGCGTGTGTGGGTGTGTGTGGAGACTCTATGACAAAAGATGTTGACATGTCTCACTGGTTTAATAAAATGCGAACGATCTAATACTCGGATTCGCTTTGGACTCAGTAAAAGCAGGAGCCATATATTATGAGCCACTGGCCTTTACCGACGCTGTTTATGACAATATTGCCATAAAAACAACAGCTACACGGTGTTTATTACAGCGTAACAAACACAGCAGGTCCACAGAGGGTTCTGTGCACGATCATGTCGCTGAATACAGAAAGCTAAAGGCTGTGCATTAGATCAAACGCAGCATGTTTTGGTGCAGGTTTAATGTCACGGACTTAGCTTGAGGTAGAATGAAAACCAACCTTGAGCGAGTTTTCACAACCCGAGAAAAGCGTCTTGTTACTGAGAGATCATCAGTGAGTGGAATGAATGAACACCCGGAGAAGGCAGAATGCGGGGATACCCTGTGATTCCTCCATCACAGAAACAGTTCAAAGCAGGAAGTGAGAGGGTTCTCTGAGCTCTGATTGGTGCATCAGATCTATGATCAGAGCCACAGCACAGGTGCCTCTACTGCCTTCTGCCCCGCGGCCAGCAGAGGGCGCCCGAGCCTCAGCATCAACAGCAGGCGTTTACAGAGGTTTTATATTAGTACTGCTTATATTCTTATTGGAAGGCAGCTACAACACCCAGGGATCTATCATAATATTGTATATGGGTTTATTATAGTTCTAGGTCTAACTACATCTCAATCAATAAGATCCTAAACGGTAAAAAGCCAAGAACAGAGAAAATGAACATTCCTGGACGAGAGCCAAAGAACATCATCAGGATATAACCAACAAACAAAAACCTTTTATCAGTAGTTGGATTAATCCATTTTTTATTAAACACTGGTGTCGACTCTTTCTGAATCATAATGAATTGACACTGGTGATTTTGGACTCACACTGGTTTCAATGGGTCCTAAAGGTGTCCATCCTCAATCATAATTCGATTTGTATGTGGGGGATTTTAGTTTTCATATTGAATATGTTGCCTATGTGTGAGAATGAATGCAGATGTATGTGTACTTCTACATTGGTCGACACAGTCTGAAAATCATGGCTCAGAGGCATGGGTCATTGCCTCTGTCCAATCCTTCAATAATAAAATAAGTTTTTCTTTAATAAAATACGCTTAAAATTCAGCATACACAACAAAATCAGGATTGGGTACATTTTAATCTCTGTACATACAATCAACAGGAGTGTTTTATCAGTAAGCCTCTGTCAAATGGCCATTTCCCATTAAAAAAATGGGAACGTCTTTCCAAAATCAGTGAGAAGCAGCTTTTATAAATAAATCATTGTTAAGTTTCTTTATCTTAATCTTCATTACTATTAGAACATCTGGCCCACAGCTCTCTCCTTCATTCCTACAATGTCTTTTCAAACAAAACACTAAATAAATTGAATTTATAAAAATGGGGAGGTCAGGAAGACAGACTGGGGGCTACGTCTGACAGTTTTCATCATACAGTACAGAGCTGTGCACAGCCACATGTCTCAAACAAACCAATACAATAGACTTGAACCTGAGCATCATACTCTTCAAAACCTTTCAGAACGTTCAAACAGTCAGTAATAAAGAACCATAGACATTTGTAGCAAAAGGGTTTATAATGTTCCTGCTGCACATTCTATTCAACATTCTGTGCTGTGTTGTATTTTTAACACATATAATAGTATATAATAGTCTTTTGAATGTTTTTACGTCTTAACAAGCAGAGCTGAGAGAGGGGGGGTGTGATTAGACACATGGAGAGAAAGTCTTTGTGAATAATAATGTGGGCTGCAGTTGGATCCATGTTGTGGCTGATCCGTCTGATCCACACGAGGGCAGAAAGAGCACTCTTGAGTCCAGCGCGGGTCCAGACCAGACCAGACTGGGCCAAAGTCTGCAGTGTTTCTGTGGTCACTACTGAAACTTGGGGGCTGACCGGTCATTCGTCACCGTTGGTCTCAGCTTCACTGTAGCAAACGGATTGGCCTCCCTTATAGAAGAAATACATGAAAAGGAGACTTTTTACTTTGTCATTTCATATTTCAGAACGTACGAAATATTTGGTGAAACAAGTTTGAAGGATAAAGGAGCTATCAGCCCCAGATGTGGATAGAATTTATTTAGTTTTTTCCCAAATTTGATAATTACAAGGCTGAATTAGGCTGGAAAAGGAGGGCGTAGTTACATGTTTGAGGCAGATGTTTCTCAGATTAGTCTGGAAGGATCTAAGGCGAGTGAATGATAAAGTAAATATGTGAAAAATGTCTCTTTTAAAGAAAATGTAGGACCAATGTCAACTCAGCTGCACACGTCCATCAAGCATGTTCCACCAAATGATTTATGAGCTTGATTCCACAAAAGGGATATTTCTGCCTAAACCTAAACTTTTCTGGCCAGGACCCCAAAAGACTCGTAACCTCCATTCAAGAATATCATTGAATATAGTATTAATTAGAAGCATCAAATCTGTAATTTATTCCTAATCATTTCACTTAAAATAATCACAAATTTCTTCTGTAAATGATCTTGTGTCCTACGATCAACACTTTGAGAACCGCTCTCAGACTATTGAATTTAAATACATTTGAGGTCAGTGCAGTTTTCTTACCAAATCTTATACTAGGTGTATGACGGGTTAATATTAGTTTATCATTTTGACGTCTTTGGTGGACTGACACCTGATCATTTTACCCCAGAGTGACGGTTTCTTCTACACGACAATAGTCTTCAGTGCTTTTGTTCAAGCTTCAAAATGTGAACAAAATGTGTGAGTTAAATTAGCCTTGTTAGATCACTCACCCCAGAAAAGGTGCTTTTGACGGCCCATTGACAAGTGTTACCTGTGGTGAGGAAATAGACAAGACAGAGGCCTTGAAGAATTAGTGACTCTCCAACAGAAAAAAACACCATTACCCAGAACCCACCCACCCCACACACACACACACACAAGCACACGCACACACACAGCAGTGCTACCAGACTGGTTTGATGAGATGTCTCAGTAGCGCCCCCCTCCTCCTCTGTGACTCCCTGCACTCTCCAGGCTCCTGCAGCTGGTTTGGAATCTCAACAGTCAGGCTTCCCTGACTGTTGAAAACTCCTCTCCACTCTCCACTGACTCTGATAATCTTATCACTTTCACAGAACCAAGTGAGCATGCAGTTACACACACTGATATAATACTAGAGGGGTGTTAGAGGAGAAAGAAGTGACAAACTACCCACACACGCTTCAAGATGGAAACACAATATTCAGGAAATATTATAAATACAACATAAAGTGATCCTTTATTCCTCTCACAGTGGGGGCATTTCAGACGTTCTGCTTTAAAGTGCTAAACTTGTTCTATTATTGATCCAAATATCAGAATGTACACTGACTATCTTAGCTCAGAGTGTGTTGATGAATAAAACGATCATTGAATGAATATGCTTGTGTTGCGATGCGTTGAAGATATGGCACTAAGGCCAGACCCCCTGCGGTCTCCAAGCAGATCAGGGGTCTCCCACCGTTTTCAATCGGAGAGCTACTTTTGTACAAAGTAAGAGCAGAGAGCTACTCCTTTTTGCAGTCATAATAAAAATTGATCTAATAGTTATGACAAAACATGGAGAACACATGTAAAATATACCATTATACTGTTCAACCCTAGATCTATACTTATAATATATAATGTCTCAAGATTTATTCAGGGTGATAGTGGCTCAGTTGGTAAAGCATCAGCCTTTGAGCCAGAAGGTCCTGGGTTCAAGCCCACGAGCCCAAGAGACCGGTAGTGATGTTCACTGCTGGCCTTGATGTGTATGTGTATATGTGTATATGTGTATATGTGTATATGTGCGTATGTGTATATGTGCATATGTGTATATGTGTATATGTGCATATGTGTATATGTGTATACTGTATGTGTATGTGCATATGCATATGTGTATATGTGTATGTGTATATGTGCATATGTGTATGTGCATATGTGTATATGTGCATATGCATATGTGTATGTGTATATGTATATATGCATATGTGTATATGTGTATATGTGTATGTATATATATATGCATATGTGTATATGTGTATGTGTGTATGTGTATATGTGTATGTGTATGTGTATCATGGATCTATATTAATAACTGGATAGGGTATTACTAGCTTATAGCTGTCCCACCCATGGGCACAGAAAGAAGTTGACCTCAGCTGACAGAGAACGTACAGCTTTGATAACGATTGGATTTTGTGGGGATATTAGTGTTCCTTGTCGTCCTGAACCTTTTTTCTTCTTGAATCCTTCTGTTTTCTTTAAATCCACACTTTACTGCCACAAACTCTGCTCCTTTCCTTCCCGCTCTGACTCGCTCTGCTGCTGCTCTGATCAGCAGCTCTGATTGGTCAAAGCGTGGCCGAGCCCCTCTGTGCACCCGCATGAGAGCCACACAGGTGTATTTAGCGCAAAGCATCATGGGAGCTCGTCCAAATATAGGCGAGTTCAGCTAATCTCCCGGTCTCCATGAAGTCCCATGCGCCACTGAGCACAAGCCATTCATTTGAATAGAGCGCCATCTTGGATCACCGGGGCTTAATGTGTATGTGTATATGTATATGCATCAAACTGAAATTTGCCCATTGTGGGACGAATACAAGGACTTCTTCTTCTTCTTGAATTCAAAATGCTTTGTCGAGCTACTTGAAAGGGGCTATGTGGGGTTATGTTCTTTCTCGTGTCCTATGAAATTCCTCTTTACTTTTGTTACTCAGTCTAATCTGAGTAAGGAAACGGCTCTCCTGGCTGGCCTGATGCCTCCCATGTTCACAGTGCAAAGGAAACTCTCTGCGGCAAACCTATTATTGACCCTTATTATTGTTGGAAGATTGCCTCACCACAGATCTGACCTGTAACCTGGCCTGACGGTACCATCTATGTTTTCGTCTCTTTGGTAATAAACAGTTATTGCTCAATAGTGCAGGCAGTGTAAACAAAACACAAAATCATCTTAGTAAATACGGCACGTTTCTCAGGTGGAATGCAGTGAACGTTACATTTCAATAACACGATGCAGTAATTCCTAGTTTTCTGGCTGTTAAGCGGTACATGGCCCTGTAGTGTGTGTTCAATGGTTGTGCCCTGAGGCAGATACAGAGGACAGTGAGTGCAGCCGGGGCAAGAGAAGATGATGATGAAGAGGATGGAGTGTGTCTGGGCTCGTCTGCAGCGGAGGAAGAGCAGTCAGGCTCAACATTGGTCCTACACTTTAGTTCTCTGTGTGTTTGCTCAGAACGTCTGCTTTAGCACACACTATCTGTATCACACACACACAGTCTGTATCACACACACTGTCTGTATCACACACACAGTCTGTATCACACACTGTCTGTATAACACACAGTCTGTATCACACACACTGTCTGTATCACACACACTGTCTGTATCACACACACACACACAGTCTGTATCACACACACACACACACACACACAGTCTGTATCACACACTGTCTGTATCACACACACAGTCTGTATCACACACAGTCTGTATCACACACAGTCTGTATCACACACTGTCTGTATCACACACTGTCTGTATCACACACACAGTCTGTATCACACACACAGTCTGTATCACACACACTGTCTGTATCACACACACTGTCTGTATCACACACACTGTCTGTATCACACACACAGTCTGTATCACACACACAGTCTGTATCACACACACAGTCTGTATCACACACACTGTCTGTATCACACACACTGTCTGTATCACACACACTGTCTGTATCACACACACTGTCTGTATCACACACAGTCTGTATCACACACACAGTCTGTATCACACACACAGTCTGTATCACACACACACACACACAGTCTTATGGTTGTATTTGTTTGGGACAGAGCATGTTCATGAACACACCTCTTCCTTTTACCGTAAAGTGACTTTGGTAAACGGGTGCGGAGGCAGTGAGTCACTCAGAGTCGATGAGGATTTGGCATCCGTTAAAGATTGATGAGAAGGTTGACTAATTCCAACTGATCGTTAAACGGATCTGAGATTATAGAAATAACTGAACAAAACCCACTGAGCTCATGTCACTGATGGAACCGGGAAGATCAGAACCAACAGCTGCAAATAGTTTGAATGAAGACACAAAATTAGATTAAGGCCCTGACATTTTTTTGTCACCAACACACCAACACCACCAACACACATGCACACACACTTTTGCCTACACAAACTGAGAGATTTCATAACACTTTTAAGCAACTTTTGTTAAAGTTAAACTCATCATTCTATCAATGTGCAGAAGCCAGTACTTTTCCCTTGTTTTGTCTATCTGAAGGCCAAGCTACATGGCACTGTGGCAGCTGCTGATTGGAGGTCTCCATGCCAACGCTCTGTATAATACACTTGCATTCTGTTGTATCTGTTGTTCGTGCTGTCTCTACCATCGACAATAAAACATGTCTTCTGTCTGAATTTAAGACGCGATCCCAGACTTTGTCATCTTCTTCAAAACTTACACACATACATGCCTACATGTATACCTACATACACACACACCTACACCGACATATACACACACACACACCTACACACAAACGCACCTACACCTACACACACACACACGCACCTACATACACACACACGCACCTACACCTACATATACACACACACACACACACACACACACACACACACACACACACACACACATTTCCTGTGTAGTCTGTGTAAATGGTTTTCTTCATAACTCTAGCTTTGCAGTATTATTCCATATTTTCATTACTCATTTACTAAATTCAGTCCTTATTTGGGTCCTTTTTATGCAGATGGACCCGACCCGGTTCCAGCTGAGACCCACTGGGTTTTATTGTGTCATTTATTGACATTGTTTATTTAGAGCCGTCCATGGAACACAGCCACAACACTAATGAGAGCACTGTTGTCGTGTATTTGATGGACACACAATCACCACATTTTACTGACCAGGTTCTGTGCTGACCGCGCTGAAGTAATCACGGGGGTGGAGGGCACCTCGTCGCTGTAGTCCGGGGGGGGCAGCAGCACCGGCTCGCTGGGGTCCGGCAGGCTGGCCACGCTGCCTCTGTGTGCGGTCGGGTGACTGGAGGAACACACACACACAACACATGAGCGTGTGCTGCAGGAGAGAAGCAGCAGTGTGTGTCGCTGTGTTTACCTGTTGGACTCAGAGTACGGTCTGCAGTAGGACGAGGGGAACCAGCCGCGCCTTTGCAAACAGAGGGAAGCCACATTTATGTACACACGTCTTAAACACGGATTCTTCTGCACAGCAACAAGCATTAAGGGAAAAACCCACAAACAATAGCCTTGGCGGAAGCAGAGTTTTTATACAACACACAAGCAACAAACGAGAAATCCTCCTAAGACAGTGGCATTTGGTCAAAGTCACGTCTGGAGAAATGGCTTATCAAACCAAAGCAGATTTGTTGCTTGGAAACAAAACACGCATTGATCTCCAGCAGCGCGTTGGACTGTTGTCTTCACGAACTGACATGCACTTTGCACAAATCCAGAGAAGTTCATACATCTATTTAAAAAGGCTGTATTGCTATAGAAGTGAAAAGAATAACTTGTAATTATATAATGAGCAGTTTTACCCAGACACTCCATCTTTGTATCGCAGCAATCACAGTCTTTTGTTGTACACATGCTCTCCCATCTTTAGATTTTATAAAACCAGCAGTGAGTGAGTTCTTCTAAACCAAACAATTTAATCTCTGAGTTAATAAAAGCATTTGTTTATTGCTGGAGATTGATAAGAACACGTTTTGCATAGTGCTGTCAGGCAAGGGTTTACGGCTCTCTCCGTGTCATGTGTAAAATACAGTGCCTTGCGAAAGTATTTGGCCCTCTTGAACCTTTCAACATTTCAGGCTTGAAACATAAAGATATAACATTTTAATTTTTTGTCATGAATCAACAACAAGTGGGACACAATCATGAAGTGGAACAAAATGTATTGGATAATTTAAACTTTTTTAACAAATAAAAAACTGAAGTGGGGCGTGCAATATTATTCGGCCCCTTTACTTTCAGTGCAGCAAACTCAGTCCAGAAGTTCAGTGAGGATCTTTGAATGATCCAATGTTGTCCTAAATGACTGATGATGATAAATAGAATGCTCCTGTGTGGAATCAAGTCTCCGTATAAATGCACCTGCTCTTTGATAGTCTCAGGGTTCTGTTTAAAGCGCAGAGAGAACCATGAAGACAAAGGAACACACCAGGCAGGTCCGAGATACTGTTGTGGAGAAGTTTAAAGCCGGATTTGGATACAAAAAGATTTCCCAAGCTTTAAACATCTCAAGGAGCACTTTGCAAGCAATTATATTGAAATGGAAGGAGTATCAGACCACTGCAAATCTACCAAGACCCGGCCGTCCCTCCAAACTTTCATCTCAAACAAGGAGAAGACTGATCAGAGATGCAGCCAAGAGGCCCATGATCACTCTGGATGAACTGCAGATAACTACAGCTGAGGTGGGAGAGTCTGTCCATAGGACAACAATCAGTCGTGCACTGCACAAATCTGGCCTTTATGGAAGAGTGGCAAGAAGAAAGCCATTTCTCAAAGATATCCATAAAAAGTCTTGTTTAAAGTTTGCCACAAGCCACCTGGGAGACACACCAAACATGTGGAAGAAGGTGCTCTGGTCAGATGAAACCAAAATCGAACTTTTTGGCCACAATGCAAAACGATATGTTTGGCGTAAAAGCAACACAGCTCATCACCCTGAACACACCATCCCCACTGTCAAACATGGTGGTGGCAGCATCATGCTTTGGGCTTGCTTTTCTTCAGCAGGGACAGGGAAGATGGCTAAAATTGATGGGAAGATGGATGGAGCCAAATACAGGACCATTCTGGAAGAAAACCTGTTGGAGTCTGCAAAAGACCTGAGACTGGGACGGAGATTTTATCTTCCAACAGGACAATGATCCAAAACATAAAGCCAAATCTACAATGGAATGGTTCACAAATAGACGTATCCAGGTGTTAGAATGGCCCAAGTCAAAGTCCAGACCTGAATCCAATCGAGAATCTGTGGAAAGAGCTGAAGACTGCTGTTCACAAACGCTCTCCATCCAACCTCACTGAGCTCGAGCTGTTTTGCAAGGAAGAATGGGCAAGAATTCCAGTCTCTTGATGTGCAAAACTGATAGAGACATACCCCAAGCGACTTGCAGCTGTAATTGCAGCAAAAGGTGGCGCTACAAAGTATTAGCGCAAGGGGGCCGAATAATATTGCACGCCCCACTTTTCAGTTTTTTATTTGTTAAAAAGGTTTAAATTATCCAATAAATGTCGTTCCACTTCACGATTGTGACCCACTTGTTGTTGATTCTTGACAATTTTTTTTTAATATCTTTATGTTTGAAGCCTGAAATGTGGCGAAATGTTGAAAGGTTCAAGGGGGCCGAATACTTTCGCAAGGCACTGTAGCTTGCATGTTGAGAACCATGATGAATTAGCAGAACAAAATATGAGCCAACACACAACACAAAAGCATAAAACTCGTACTGCCACCTGAGAAATGCCAAAAATGCCGGTGTGTCAGTCACAGCTGCTGCGTGTTTGTGAGAATGAAAGTACATTTCCTGCAGTGGGTGTGCCAAAACTCAAGTTTGGATTCGGCAAAATGTACAGGGCACGAGAGAAGCCAACAGGTTGTGGTCATGTGTCGTCACAACATTCCAGAGTTTAAAAATGCAACAAAAGGGAAACTAAAAAAACTTTTATCTGGTAACCATGGTAACTGTCAAAAGTCAAAAACAAGAAAGCATTGCACACTCAAAATACAGATCACTATTAGAAAGGACTTCCAGACATCTCAATATTAATTTCAAAAGAAGTGTGTTGGCCCCCGGCATCGGACTGAAATAGAATTCTAGCGTAACCTTTTATGATAGATGTAAATTCTGTGAGTTTCAGGAGGAGGAAACGCTGCATCCTGTTTGTATACATTCACAAAGCCACATTATTGCCATTTGGGTGTGTGCAGGTAAATAAATGGTGGAGATGCTACGTACTGTCCAGTCTTCTCCAGCTCGCCGTAGCGCCAGCCGTCCTTCTCCTCCGAGATCAGGAGGATGATGATGTCCCCGTCGTCAAAGCTCAGCAGTGTTTCATTATTGCCGGCTGTGTGGGGAAAAATGGTCCTCACTCGCGGCTTCTGGGACAAGTTAATATCCGAGGACTGGGACGTAGATCTAGACAGGTTGGAGTCTCCGAGGCTGCTCTGGTCTGCAAAACAACACACGCTATGTAAAATTCTATAATATTAGAGTAGAACCACATTGATGAGGATTGGTTTGCGCAGGGCTGAGGATAGAGAGGGTGAGGGCACTACCTGAGTTATGGTCTGGGGAGGAGGGCAGAGAGAACACAGGCTCCTGGTTGAACATGTTTGCAAGTGGACTGGTCTGAGCTTTGAGCTGCGGCGCCGGAGGAGGAATATTGATATTGTTCTGAAATAATAATGTAACAATAAGACGAAATCATTCCCATAATCAAGTGAATCAAAACAAAAGGGAAGGAACAAGGTTAAAAGCCTGATTGGGCAGTTATTACACAGGTGAGCAGCAGTGGGAGCCTATAATCTGCCTCCCACACAGCAATAAATAGACACAGATAAATGTCTCAAGACTGAAAATAGTGAGGATTTCCCAGCAGACTAGAGCCCTTCGTATACAATGTTGAAAGGGACTGGATTATTGATGCTTATAGCTGGGGTATCAGATGTTTAAACAGGACAGCAAAATCCTATTTCTGGCACACATGGAATTTGTATGAAAAATGGCCATCATGTCACATTTATATAGATTGAATCGATAAAACAGAATGATAGAGAAAGATTGAATCGATAAAACAGAATGATAGAGAAAGATTGAACAGATAAAACAGAATGATGGAGAAAGACTGGATCATATCAAGCTGGGTACCTTCATTTTAAACCACAAAACATTTTCTTTCGTTCTATCACTTGTTTTCAGTTGTTATCAGCTTTTTCAGAAAGAAAAGTGAAACACACCACCCTAACTCAGCCCATCAGCTCTCTGGGAAACGTTTTTTTAAGAATATGGAGAGAGCATGCTGTGGTCTGATTTGTTCTTTTTACTTTTAGAGGTCTCTGTCTGTTGTGAAAACACATCTATTTTTACTTCCATGAATTGTTTGCACCATGAGCCAAAGCAAATTCCCAGTTTGTGACTTCCTGTTACTATTATTTGGTAATATATGGTTAAAAAAAAAAAAAAAAAAAAATGAAAATGAGATTGTGATAGTCAGAGAGTGTCTGGGCCGGTGTCTTGTCTGAGTGAATTGTACTGTATATTGTTCTTATATTGTGATGTAATGTGTTGTGTTGAAGAGGTGAGAGGAGAATGCAGTAAAAAGTCTGCTTCAATCAACTCCTTTACAATCCCGTATCTGAGTCATTTATTTAGCTCGGTTTGTACTTGTTCTGTTTTTATAAGTAAGTAATGGTTATTTACAAAGCACGTTTCACAAACCAAGGTCACAGAGAGCGCTTTAGAATGTTGGTGTACCAGTAATATTCATTTTCTCCACACGTGGTAAAGACAGAAGTGCATTGAAACCATCACTCATTACAGTCAGACTTTTGTACATGTGTAGTGTGGTGGAAACTGAGAGCACCCAGAGGAAATCTATGCAGACATGGGAAGAACATGCATACTCCGCACAGAAAGGCCACGTCTGGAGGGAGACTCTAACTCAGTGCTAGCGCTGTGGAGTACAAGCGCTAACCACTGCGCCACCATGTTTGAAATACTGTACATAATCTAATCTAAAATCTAATCTTCCTGGTGCTGTCTTTGCCAGTGTCTCTTCATGATGCTCACCGTGTGGTTGCTATGTATTCGGGGCGTGGCATACAATGTGGTTGCTATGCATTGGGGCGTGGCTTCCCGTGTGGTTGCTATCATTAGGGGTGTGGCTTACAATGTGGTTGCTATGCATTAGGAGTGTGGATGACAATGTGGTTGCTATGCATTACGGGTGTGGCTTACAATGCGGTTGCTGTGCATAAGGGGCGTGGCTTACCGTGTGGTTGCGCTGCATTAGGGGCGTGGCCTGTGGAGTGGTGGTCAGACGCTCGATCATGGTGGACACGGTTTCCGGGACCTCACTGACGTCTGAGCACTTCTCCTGCCAACTGGGGAAACGCTCCAGCAGAATGTCTTTGGCCTGAAACACGACAGAGTAAAATCAATAACCTCACAGAGCCACCACCCCCAACCACCTCCAACCACCTCCAACCACCTCCAACCCCTTCATCTTCTTTTTGATGTAATATGTACTTTTGATGATTTTGCTTTGTTTTGTTTGTTTGTGGTATTTTAATCTGCAGCACTTTGAGGTTTCCTCAAAATGTACGGTGCAATACATAAAATGTATTATTATTATTATTATTAATGACTAGAGGAAAAATAACTTGCAGGACTTGAGGACCGAGAAAACCGGATTAGAGCCCAAAGCTGGCTGTGGTTGTGGTTCTACGGGCTGTGCGTGAGTGAGTGAGTGAGTGAGTGAGTGAGTGTGTGCGTGCGTTACCTTGTGGTGGAAGTTGCTCATCTGGTAGGAGAACATGCAGTGCTTGTCGGCCAGGAAGCAGAAGCGCCTCTTCTCCTCCAGCAGAGCCTCTTTGCAGCCGTCTGCGATGAACTTCTGCATGTCCATCTGTCGCGACGAGATGGTCTCCAAGTACTGCACACAGGGAGGGGCAGTTATTATCAGAAGAGTAATTACCTATCATTACTTAAGTACTGTAACTAACTTTTCTGGTCACTACTTTCTGACAACTGTGACTTCACTTTTTTTTCTTGTCTGTATTTTCTCCTGCTTAGACTTTTTAGCATTACTAGTTATTTTGCAGATGACATAAAACAGATGTTTAGTGATTAGCTGAAGTTACTTCATCGATTGTGGGAAGCTGTGCTTCAGATTCCATGTTCTGTTTTGTTTGACACATTCACTGCCAGAATCAAACATTTCTACAACAGTATAATGTTGTTTCAAAGTTTCAAAGGAGATGCTTAAAATGTCTCTTAAAATATATTGCACGTCAAAAATGCATTGTACTTTTTGTCCAACGGTCCCGATGACACCCACTTTTTGTTAGGTGGTCCGCTACTTCTTAGGACAAATATGCTATTTTCTCCTTGAACTATCGGTCTATTCCGGTCTTGTGTGTGACTCAATCATAGATGATTTTAGTGCTTTAAAAAAGCTATACATTTACAGTAAGACTTGCCTCGCGTGAGGTGCTTAGTTTATGATATAAAATTAATGTTTAATGAGAAACTGTAAAAAATTATCCAGGTAAGACACATTATTTAGATAGATCCAAGCATAAATCTGGGGGTAAATATAGATATTATATATATATATTAATATAAAGATAGTATCTACATGTTTACAGTCCCTACAGTAGAATACTTTTGCCACCTCTGCTCATTATACAGCAGTGTGTTTGTCTACATGGCACATTTCTTGTGAAGTAACAGTGCCAAAAGCAGGGAAACAAATGCAGTTTCAGGCAGAAACTTGAATCCACAGGGTGTCAATTAGAGGAAACACGACTTGCTTTATTTTGTGACATGAGTGGATCTGACTGTGTGCAAGTCCCCACCGAGAAAAACTGATTAGAGCCCAAAGCTAAGCACCGTGGAAATGCACACATGCTTCTCTTTGGTGGAAAAACATCCAAAATACAACACAGATCAGGAATGAAACAGCAACAACTAATTCTTTAAGTGATTGCTTGACCAAGCGTCTTGATTGTTCACCCACTCCCCTATCTACCCCAGGTCGTCATGGTGATGATAAAGTAGTCCGTCTCCAAGGGCTCTCCGGTAAAACACAACCGTTTCCACTTTTCATATTCCTTCAGACGCGTTCTTTCCTTCAGCTTCGACGCGGCGAGCAGCAGAAGCAGACTTTAAAATGACCATATCTGCACCTCCATTACTCTCAGGGCAAAATGTGGAAGACTTTTCAGTCTATATCATATCAGACGCAGTACATTTTAAAACTTTAGTGAAACTTATTGTCTGCTCTGGTATGACAGGACTGCACCAGTCTCCATTTCACATCAGGTGTAGTTCCAATTAACAAAGTGCAAAGACTGAAGTAATTTCACTTCCTTCAGAACCAAACAAATATTTTGTCTCGTAGATTCCTTCTTTTCTCATTTCAAACATCTCAAATTTTCCATATTGTATCCACAGCAGTCAAAACGTCTTGTTTAACTTCCCTCATTCTTATTTTTTTACTACAAAATAATGGTTCTACTAAATAGAACTCGGGGAATGTTTTGTTGTTGCTTCATGTAGAAGGCAAAGCAAGTGTTTAACAAAACAAGAGAGTGAAAATAGACAGCTAAAACTTGGATTTGAACATTGTCAGAGAAGAAGCCTGTCTCACATTTTCAGGAAAACTGTTCCAGATTATAGCTGCATAAATCTGAAACGCTGCCAGCAGGAGGCCAGTCCCTGTGCTCCTCAGAGTCCCAGCAGGAGACCAGTCCTTGTGCTCCTCAGAGTCCCAGCAGGAGGCCAGTCCCTGTGCTCCTCAGAGTCCCAGCAGGAGGCCAGTCCCTGTGCTCCTCAGAGTCCCAGCAGGAGGCCAATCCCTGTGCTCCTCAGAATCCCAGCAGGAGGCCAATCCCTGTGCTCCTCAGAGTCCCAGCAGGAGGCCAGTCCCTGTGCTCCTCAGAGTCCTAGGTTCATATGGCCATGGAGAGACTTGTCCAAAAGCAGAGCTGCTTGTGTCAATTCTCTATGATTAATCAAATGTAAAAAATTAAATTATATTTTTTACTCTTATTTCTGACATATGAAATTATATTTTTTGCCAAATTTGTGCAGCCCTACATCACAATAGCACATCTCACAACATATTTCCCAACACTTCAGGCAGAAAGTTTTCAGCACTGCTTAGAAAGCCCAGTGTGTGTTAGAACGTGCTCTTCAGGTGCAAATATGAGCAGAGACGTGAGAGCAGGAAACATGCGCTCATGAGGAGGAAAGACAGATCCATGTCCTCAGAATGTTTATAACTGAGGAAAACAAAGGCAGCATGAGGTTTAACTGTGGCTGATTTGACTTTTCATTTCACCATCATTTACAAATCAAATTAGTCTGACAGTGAGAGACTAGTGTTTGAATGAGAAGGCTGAATCAAGCACAAGAGAAAACTAAACCTTATCCAAACCATCCATCCTTCTTCTTCCCCTGAATCCATTTCTGGGTCGGGGGGTGTCAGTCAGTAGCCTGGCTCTGCCAGACCCTTGTAGTTCCACCAGAGGCGTTTGGCTGAACCACATGTGTGAAGTGCAGCAAACTACATGGGTCTGGCGAGAGTCAGGCTAGTCAGTCAGAGCTGCTCCCAGGACACACAGCACCAGCCCCTCGTCACTCATCGACTATCTCCCCCAATTGATCAGAACCTTTTGAGAATATTTTTCTCTTTTTAAGCAATTATGAAATTGAAGGATGTTAAACTGTTGGCACTTTTGTACAGTTTGAAGACCACTAGAGTAAACCTCTTAGTGAAAAACATCTCACTTTTGTCTTTAGTGTTGGTGTAAGATGGCTCATGAGAGATCTCACTTTCAGGGACAATACTTGGAACAATCACATGAAACGCAGAGATGCCAGACTCCATTGGAACAGGATGAGACCAGAAGAGTCCAGTCCAAGACCACGGTGACTCATAATACTTAATAATATGTTACATAGTCTCACTATTATAACTTGTGTTGTTTTTAAAGGAGCAGATAATTCAATAGGTTCAACTCCCTTCAGACAACTAATCCATCTTACATTGTGCACTAACATTAGAAATATGCTAAGATATTTATCCATGTTTCATTTGATACAATAAAGTTTTTATTTAGTTATATTATTTTCCATTATTTTCAACAATTATTCTTCATTAAATTAAATATAAGAGCATCAACAGTATTTTCTTCAAAGGCAGCGACAGATGAGGGGCCAAAAGCCTTATTTCTTACTGTTATTTATAAATATATTGTATCAAATTGAATTGAAAGTGTCCTGTAGCGAAATGCGTCCCTATCGACTCCGAGTGATCCCCAGACAGATCCAATATTGTAATCACAACAACAACTTCAAAGTGGTGCTGTTTTGTACAGTTCTTAAAGCTGTTTTGTTTGGTTGCTAGCGGCGATCTATCCGAATGCAAATGTCTTCTGAGGCACCATTTCCTTATCCACATCTGTAAACAGCCATTACTATTCCAAATGCATTTTATCATCAGGAGAGGAGCCCGGCCTGACGTCTCATCTGTTCTGCCTCAGCTGCAGTCTGCTGGAGTTGAGCTTTAAAAAGGCTGTCATCTGTGAATTGGACCTTTTCATACGACGCACAAGTTCAACAGTGGAACCGACGCTTTCACACTTATTCAAACAGCCGTGTGTGCGTGCCAACTAACAAAATACAGATCACACACTTATTGTAGCATGAACATATTTTGTCTGAGTTGCAGACATACCTCGTTCTCTCTGATTTCATATTTGTTTGCATGTTTCCCTTGGCTTTTCCTCCGCAGCTTCTTCAGGTCGGTCTGTGTGCGCTCCAGAGAGTCCTGCTTCAGCCTGTGCTCCGACTGGTAACGCTTGAATGTGGCCTGGACACAACAACATCATTTAGTCAAAGTATCCAAGTGAAGGTTGATGATGGAGCATAGGCTCGTGTTTACTAAATAACAGAGCCACAATGAAAATATAAGATATTTAATCTATTTAATTTCTAAAAGAATCTGTCTCCTTTCCCCACGGCAGCCGAGCACAGAGCCAGAGAGAGTCCCGTCTGGACCAGTGTTGTGGACAAACTTGTCTGATTACCGATTGAGTGTTTTCTTTTGCTGTACTTTATGTGAGTTTTTGTTGTTCTTGAAAATGAAAATAAATAAATAAATAAAGAATTGAAAAAATAAAAAGACAATCTGGTTCTTTACTTTACGGTACAATAAATATGTGTTGTTGTTATTGTTACACATTGATATAGTCCCTCAGAGGTTTTTGGAAATTCTCACTCTTCACACGTTGATAAGAAAAAGGACATTTGCTTTCATCAGTGAAAGGGTTAACTTCCTCCCCCTGTTTTACTGCAGCGCATTAAGTTTAACAGCATTTTCTGACTTATGTCACGACTTTTCCTTGACCCTTTCTCACTTTGGTCACTCTTGGTGATAGATGCAAATCCTGTTTCTAATTGTAGATATATTATAAACTTCACTTATGCATTTTTCCTGAGTCCAGTTTATAAATTCATCTTGTCGTATCTTATATTGTATGAAGATGTGGGGACTGCACAGATTCTACAATCTACAAAAATTGTAGTGGTCATCTAGAGTCCCATGTTTACAAGTCATGTGTAACGACCACGAGCCCACGGAGGCCACTTCAGTTTCTGCTCACGTTCATGTACTTGACATCCATCTCTGTCTTCTTCTCCAGCTCCACGATAATGTCTCGGTGAAACCTCTTCAGCTGCAAAGGGCAAAAACAACAAGTTCACGTACGTAGAGCTGCACTAAACACAGGTACTTGTCACATGCTCGATGGCAGCGATAAGAGCGGGGTGACCTCCACCGACCAAGTTTCTATCATGTGCAAAGACATAACCCATCACCGCGGCTTATGGGCCTTTTAAAGTTAACTATTGACTCGTCCATCAGGGCTCTCGAAGCCGGTCACAACAGAACTGAACTGAGACTAAACATGCTTCAGATGTAATCACTTGAATGTTGTTCTGTAGGAATTCCTTGCACGCATGTCACTTTTAGTTAAAATCAATCCCTCTCACTTCAGATATTTGAAGCATTTTTATGCTGTAGGGTTGAGAATGATTCTGTAGCGTTTTTGACAAACATTATTATTTGCATTGTTACAAAGCCCTGAGTTTTGAAAATGCGCGGAATGGCTTCACTAAAGGGTATTAGCCAACGACAGCTAATTGTGAGATTCCACAAAGCGAGCCCTGGCCACAGTCTGCTAACCCCTGAGCATTAGAAGTGTGTCCGACAGGTTTGGGCTCTCAGCGCTCGGGAATACAACCATCATTAGACTTTGAGAAAATGGAAATGTTTTTTAAGTGGAGTTACATAAATAAATGAACTTATAAACTTCAGTTCAACTTATACTTATATTATGATAATTTGAGTTTTGCCGGTGTAATTAGAATAATCTCATCTCATTAAAAATAGTTAAACATTGAAAATGATAAAACCAATCATCAGCACTGAGGCACAAAGAGGCTCGTCTTCTTACATTTTCTTCCATTTCATTGTGGATTTTTCGATGAGCTTCAGCAATTTCCATCAACACTTCACCTGCAAGAACAAAGAGGAGCTTATTTATACAATTGCAACAAAGACAAAGGAATACGAGAAACTCTTAAAGCACTGAAGCTTTAATGTTCCTTGACCTCAGGCTCCTGCTCGTCCAATATTTGAACAGGTGTCTATACGTAATAAAAAAACATACAATTGTGCGACCAAAGAAAAGTCTCCATTCAAAGGCCCCTGACAATGCACTAGATCGCAGCCGCATGAAAGAATGGGAGTGTGTCAATACTGTAAAGACGAGTGGACAATTGTAGTGTAACAGTTTGTGATGCTAAGAGTACACAATGGGGCACTATCTGGACTGCACCGGGGGTTTACTACAGGGCAATAATTCTAGAGAAAATGTAAACCTGAAACAGCACATTAGGGACACATGGGCTCGTGACTCTGGCCGTGCAGGCATGTTGACCACGCTGATACGGACACACTGTATCACATGTGTAGACATTTGGATGCACGATACAGAGATATTCATATACAAATAATGGAAATGAAGATGTTTTGTGCATTATTAAAACATGTTTTAAAACTCAAGAAATATGCTGTGAACAATTACTTTTTCATATATGTAGAAGTGAGGATTTCTAGTACAGCTCACATGATGTTACCTTGATAAAAACAAATCTCCCAAAGCTAGTTTATCCAGAGCATATCATGACTGGTCTCATTATTGCATAAAGACTGGTATAAAAGTACTTGGCTCTTTCTTATTCCACCTGCCACAGCCACATGAGTGTGGACTAGAACAGGCAGGGGTAAGGGGCGACTGCGGTCTGGGAGAGCAGCTACAACAACATTGCCCTCTGAAGGTCAGCAGAACGTACTGGTAAATGCAGCCTTTGTGCGGAGGGAGAGGGCCGGGCTGTTTGTACAAACACCAGCACCAGTCCACCTGCACGCTTCACCTGAGGTTAACAAGGTGTGAAGTCTATCTGATATCAGACCCACGCGCAGCTCAAGACTTTGGTTCTTTATGAGGCGATAAAAGACACTATTAATATCACAAGGAAGTGCGAGCAGCTTGATTACACTGAATTTCTACGATAAGATTTTCACTCACTTCAATTCGATATATTTTTTTGCATTGTCCTGAATAACAACAGTAGTTATTATCTCGGAGGACTTTACAAAGCTGTCGATTCGCCGACACGGATCAGAGAATCAAACAGTTCATCTCAGGAAATAAAATGATGGAAAAGACCCATGGAGCCATAACGGGCAGATGACCAATGTCCATAAATATTGTTGATATGGTTTCCTATAAATAAAGCAAAACATCAAATTATCAAAGTGGGGCAGACAAAAGAAGAGGCTTTCCTTTACACTCTTTCACACATATATACAATACTTAAGATTTCTCCTCATTTATCTGCTTGGCTCAGAATGTGTGAATGAGTGTATTATATATGCAGAGACAAATGGTTTGGTCGGCTTTGTCGGGAGAATTTAGGTCTGTAATTGTGCTGTATTGTAATTAATTGATTCGTTTTTTCCTTTGCTTTATGCAACTTGAAAAACTACCAACGTCCTGAATATTCACAAAGAAAGTTAGAATAAATTAGACACTAAGATTAGAATCATATTTTCATAAAACCTCTCTGCACATGTTTAAGTCCATGATACCAGTAACATTTTATCTATACTGTATATACTATTCATCTGGCTCTATAACAAAGACACTTCAGGGAGGAGGGGGGGGGGGGGGGGGGGGGAGAGGTCTTGAGAATTGTCATGCAGTGCCTTAACTTCTCTCATTTAATGATTTTAATGTATTTTATTGTTATTTTTATTCATGTTTTTATCTTTTAACTCTATCCTATGTTTGTATGTTTTTAAGATTGTGAGAAAGGAACCAATGCATTTCCTTTTGGATCAATAAAATATACATCTATCTATAAAAAAATTATACTATTGATAATGATAATAATATTTGATTAATTAGTTAGTTGTGATAAATTGATAACTTACATATCCAGCAGTGATCATTACACTTCCCTAAATCACTAACTCGAGCTTTCAGTCGATGGAATTTGCCGTAGTGAGATTACATTTGAAAGCGGTTACACAAATATGGAAAACATGCAGTTATTGATGATTCATAGCCTCATGATTCACAGCAGCTCAATAATAAGTCCTGTGCACTCCCACCTTGGCCTTTCTCCGCGCTGTCGCAGAGGACTCACATCTCAGCACAGACTACACCAAATATTGTCTATAAATACTGTTTGTTTGATCGGTCACACACACAAGTATCGAGTCTGTGTTTGCCGTGGCACTTTTACCACATGGCTACACCTTTTTAAAATGGTTTGTCACCGACGCACTTTATGAGCCATAGAAATCCTTTGCCAACTCAGCCGGGTCCTGATAAGAGGCCATGGGCGATATTACTCAGCACAAATGCATGTCCGGTCTGTTCAATCTATACTGGTTCTTAAAGTAGCAATATGTGAGATTTTCATGTCAAGTCATCATTAAAGGGCCCTAATCTCTCAAAAGGCAAAAAAAAAACTTGCTCTTTTCCAATACTTATTTAACTGATAACTGTAGCTCAGAGATATTCAAATTTCAAAATCAGTTTTACAGCCCCTATATCTTGTTGTTGTGGTTTTTATTTTGATGTCCCGCCCTCCGTTTTACCAATCAGAAAGTCTGCTCACCGCGTCGAGCTAATCTCTCTAAAATAAAATTTGGCCGCAAAACTAAGGTCCTTGTTGTGATTCTCAAATCATTAACGACAAAACAAGGATGATGATGGAACCAGGATTTCTATCTTTGTGAAAAAGGTTTTGGTTATAGATTTGTTGTTGACAAAACAGATATTATGGACCCATCTGGAAAAATGAGTCAGGGAGAGTGCAGTACCAGTTTTGGCCAGATTTTTTACATACTGCTCCTTTAATATGGGTGAGTTTTAGACAAATCAGCAAGATGAAAATGAAGAAGAACTCAGAATGTTCACAAATGAAAATAATGGAAATAAAAGGCAGAAAACAAAAGTCCAGGAAACAAAACACAGAACTAAAGCACACAGAGAAAATGAAGCCTGGCCAGGGGTATAAACAGTATAAACACAATGGACGAAGAACAAGAGGGAAAGAGCACAGGGCATTTCACTGGGAGACACATGAGGGCGGGGCAGACAGTCAACAGAACAGGAAGTAAAAGTCTAGATAAGTACAAGAAAACTTTAATTACAAAATACTACTATAAAATTCCAAATCCCCACCATGACTAATGTAGAAGAATCTAACCCTGCATCTTTCAATAACTACTAACGTCACACACAGAAACAGAGTGAATGGTCAAACCCATTTTGGCACCATACAATAATACAAAATTTAAAACCAAATGATTGATTTTTTTTTTAATGAAATTGAGAATATTTACTTTATCATTTCATGTAATATAATTTTGAATGACTTTTGAACGGCAGCAAGTCCTAAGTAGCTCTGAAACAGTTTACAATCGTTATGTTTCTTGCTTTTTCCAAGTTTTACATTTTATTTATTTTTATATATTTTAGTTTCACCCTGATCCAGACCAGAGCAGAAAGGATGCAGCATAAAGCCACTACAGGAATGCATTTTTTTTTAATTTTTACTGTATATGCTAATAAAGCGTTTAGAATTTCACTCTGAACCAGAGCAGGGACACTGGTTCGAACCAGTGGGGGCGGGTCCCGGCTCAAAAGTGGCCAAAATGACGTCCGCTGACATGCTGCAATACCACCCCTGGTCGATGGGGGTGGACCTGGAAGAAGAATTAGCCAATGCTAACATATAGCATTGGCAGACCTCTCGAAAACGTCTTTACAGGATGGAACAAAAGTTGGCTTTTGGCCCAAAGCTCCGTTCCACATGTGTGTCAATGCTGAGGGGGGTGGATTTTTTTGGTCCACTCTTGCTGTGAATTTTTGAAGTCTCTCGTTCAAATGAATGGAGCTGCGCAGCGCAGATGCGTTTTTTCCAAGCCCCGGCGATCCAAGATGGCGCCCTATTCAAATGAATGGTTGTGCTCAGTGGCGCTTTGTGACGGCATGGGGGCTGAAAGATTAGCGGAAGTTGCCTGAAACTCGCAAAGATCTATGGGAAACTCGCCTGTATTTGGGCATAGTCTGGTCCTCCCGGTTGCGCGCAGTGGATGATCTGCGCAGTGTGATGATCCTCACGCACGTGCACAGAGGGGCTCGGCCGCGCTCTGACCAATCAGAGCAGTTCCTCAGAGCGGGAGTTAGAGCGAGAGCCAGACGAGCAGAGTTTGTGGCACTAAAGTGTGGATTTAAACAAAACCAAAGGATTTAAGAAGAAAAAAAGTTCAGGATGACAAGGGACACTAAAATCCCCACAAAATCCGATCTTTATGAAAGCTGTAGGTTCTCTGTCAGCTGAGGTTGAGCTGTTTTAATATGCATTGAGTTCTATGGGGAAAATTTCTGGGTGGCCCACGTGAATTTAGTCTGGTTCAGTCTGCAGTACCGCGAGAATCCCCTGAGCACATGAGTTATTCAGCTACAAGCTAGTAATACCCTATCCAGTTAATATAATACATCCATGGTTTTTTCACAATTTTCTTGTGGGCGGGACCACTCGCGGCCATTTTGGATAGCTCCAGTAGAGCACTATTTTTGGCCCATTAGTTAGAACGGCGGAGATAGGCGTGACTACGTCCGTTAATATATACAGTCTATGGTTTGAACCAAGCAGACTCTGCACAGACCAAACTTTGATGCAAAATATTTTAAGTAATTACTATACACTTCATTTCCCACTATTTTATATTTTTGGTTGACAAATAAGTACTGTATAATATTATCATAGCTCCCTGTACAATACTGATTTTATTGCTTTAAGTGAAAATACTTTAAATATTTCTTCTATAAGCCTGGGGGTCCATTAATGACAAAACAAATATATTGTGTTGATTGAAAACAAAATGTGGCGAAGCAGTGACGCTACGCAGAATGCATTGCAGAGCAAAATATA